GTTGATTTGACTGCAATTCTACTTGTTCCCTGTTTTTTTGTCTTTTTTTTTTGTTTATTTTTTTTGGTCTTTGAAAGATTGCCGACATTGATAAGGCGCCGTAGGAGCCACAGAGTTAGAGGGGCTTGGTCAGTGGAAAATGGAGGGACATCTTCTGTATCTTTTTAACTTATTTCTCGGTGGGCGTTTTCTCTCCCGATAAGTGTTTATGGAGAGAGAGAGAGAGACTAAATAGCTCAAGTTTAAGTCATCTATCACCTATCCATCAGCGGACACGAAATGCCAAGTGGTAATTTACCGATAAAAGTGACTTTAAGATGGTTTTATTTAAGCAGGAAAGCTTTTAACGCAGAGAGGGAAATATATAAAGGTATTAAATGGGGGAGAAATGAGAAAAAAGAGCTTAAATAGATATTTAATAATTTATGAAATATAAATAACTTTTCCTTTTAATGAATTTCAACTAGAAATAGTTGGTAATTTGGCTATTTTGAAGTTTTAGAGTATAGGAAAGGTAATAATGGAAAAATATTATAACTTAAAACAAAATTAAAGTTCATTACTTTAAATAAAATTTACAAAAGTATAAAAAATCTTAAATGACTTTTAAAACCTTTAAATAAATATAGATTTCTACCTTATTGTCACGCATTTAATATTTATAATAATTAAAAAACCATAAAATTGTAATTATAAAACTGTCTAGACATCATTTTTGCCTAAAACCTCTTAAAAAAATGACTTACTTTTAATAAATATTATTTATTAAATAAGTTTTAAAATACTAAAAAAGAAATATTGATCAAAGTAATGTATAATTTAATTGTATTTTTAACAAATTTTAACTTCAATACATAATTTTAAACCCCCTTTTAAAGACCCCTTTACATGCACACCCACCTTAAGGCCAAGCCCACAGAACAGCTGTTCCCGTTCGCAGAGTTAAATCCACCTTTAGATTTTCCGATCGCCAGACAATTACCTCATGTGCAAACTCGCATAAAGGTGGCCGAGGTCAAGAGCAATGGCCAAAAAGGTGCGGCCATTAAAAACACCTTTTGAACACCTTTTTCGAGCATAAAACGTGAAACCTGCACACCGACACAGAAGATCAAGTGCCAGTCGTACGTAGGAAAATGTTTCGTTATTTAAATGGGAAAATATACAACTGGGGGAAATGGAAAAATGAATGAGGAAGAGAGAGAGAGAGAGAGAGACAGAGACAAACTGACAGGCGAAAATGGGAAACACGCAGCTTTTGGAAGCGTTTTCCTCGTTTAAAAGTGAAAAAGCCGCAGTGGCCGCATGTGCCTCCCCCCTTTAAACCCCTCCTGCCAGGCCGCATTAACCCCACACCCCCCTCGAAAAACCGCCGAGACACAGTCGCAAAAATTCATAGACGACAACACGAGACAAAATTGCATTTTGGTCCAATGTGTGCCTCGGCCTCTCCTCTCCTTTCCCCACCGAAAAAAGCGAAATACAGAAAGAACCGCGACGCGTCAACCCCTAGGATACAAAATAAAGAAGGAAAAAAGCGTAAAGGGGGTTGGTTCTGCTGCCTTTTGGGGAGCCACCAACAAAATGGCAACATAACATGCAAAAGATACGCCGCAAAAGCGGAAAAACCCCCCTCATGCAAAGCGGAAAAGCAGCAGCAGCACACAGGCGCAGGAGTTGCGCTTAAATTCCCATTACAGCCATAATGGCTGCGGGTGTATCTGTGTGTGTGTGTGTGTGTGTGCCAGGATGGGTGTGTGCGTGTGTGGGTGGCAAAAGAAAAATGAAAACGAACTGCGCAGGATCATTAAGGCAAAGGCAACACACAAGCTGCGTAGCTCCCCAAGTCCTATCTCCTTGGAAAAAAGAAGAAAAAAATATGCGAAAAAATACAGCAGCACCAGAGAAATACATAGATCCTAAATGCGAAATGTCAGAAATTTATACAAACACTTAAAAAAAGAACAAGGAAACATTGGAGAGTCACAAGAACAAAATGATTAACTAATTTTAGAGGCAAATACAAATGTTTATTATAAATATCATTAAAATAACTTTAAGAAATTAAATAAATTAAGAACTTTTACACACAAATATGCCTTTGAAATCTCTTTTAAAGTGGCTTAAAAGTATAATACCAAATGTTACATTCAAATTAAGCTACGAAATATTTCTGGAGATTCGAAATCTATAAAAACCCTTGCCAGAAAGAGTGCTACAAAATTTTATTTTATTTTATAACATACTTTTAGACGCTTCTTTTAATGATTTCCATGGTTTCTCTGATCAAATTTACCATAATAAATAAATATAAATAAAAAATAAATACAAATAAATACATTTATTTTTATCAACTAAAAATAAAACAAAAAACTATTTTAGAATACAATTTATATATTAAAAGTTTAAGATTATATTTTCTTATATTTTCTACCTCATTTTAAACATATTTTTATTCGCGTGCAGACACACAACAAAGAAAACTGCCTCCCAAAAAAAAAAAGAATAAAATCGCAAAAATGGTGGCTCCCAAAAAATAAAGACAGAAACACGCACTCAGTCAGCCAAAATCACACATGTCTATATAGGGTAGTATTATATAGCAACATTTTGGAAGAGCAAAAAAAATATATAAAAATACAAGGAAAGAAGGAAAACAAGAAAAAAGGCGCACACATGCCCCCAAGCTACCTAAGAGATACTGCCAGAGAGAGAGGGGAGAATGGAGAATGGAGAAAGAGTCTCGGCAATTGGAGGCTGAAACATGGAAGTAAATGCCGGCTGTCCGTCTGTCAGTCTGTCCAGCCTGTCTGAATCCGAATCCGAATTCGAAGGTACTTGCAGCTTGAAGAGCAACAAATACCCAACAAAAAAAAATTACAAGCCAAGTGCGAAGGCTTTCTACTTTTTTTCTCAGATTTAAAGAGGGCTTAGGGAATACCCTACAAATAAAAAAAATAAATGGAATAAATAAATAATAACAATAATAAATAAATATAATATAAATAATAAATAAATTATAAAAATAATACATATATAAATTATTTTGAAAGTATTTTTAAAGACAGACATATTTTTTTATAAAAAAAAATAATTCATCAGAAAGCTAATTTAAGCCTACAATAAATATAAATATTTATTTAAGGACTTAAGTTTTAGGAATTAATGACATTAATAATTTTTAAAATAAAGTAAATTCGACAATATATAATTTTAAATTGTTTTAAAATAATACGTTTAAAAATTTTAAGCTTTTTCTGATACTAAGAAAGCGAGAAACAATTTTCAGTTATTTTTAAATTTTCTACTGTTCAATTTTTAATATATCCTGTAACAATTCTTCCAAACATCGTACTACCCCCTTTAAAGAGCATCCAGAAATCCCCGAAAAAATCCGAAAACCGGCATAAAATTGGCGAAAAAAATAAGGAAAAGAATATAACCGAGGGAGCAGCAACAATAAAAACAAAAAAAAAAACAACAAGAGCAACGGACAACGGCAGCAGCCAGCAACTTGTCTGCTCCGCCTTTATAAATAATTCATGTGTAGCTACAGCGAGTGCGAAAGATACGCAAGATACAGATACACCTACCTCCCCACTGACCCCCCTTTGGATGCCCCTAACCACTCCCCTTGAACAAAAAAAAAATGAAACAAGAAAAACACACACAGGCAGATACGCGGCCACGTTTAAAGATACAAAGATACAAAGATACAAGCAAGGCAACAGATACAGATTTTATCTGTGTGTGCTGGCCAGAGAGTGTGAGTGAGTGTGTGTGTGCGTGAGGCAACGAAACATTTAAAACGTGCTAAACGCGCGTCAAAGTTTTTCTTAATTTTTCATCGGCAGCAGGAAAAAGTTTTCCTTCTTTTTCTTGTACTTTTTTCTGCCAGCCAAGGATTACAGGCAGCAGCACATATATTTTTATTTACTAAGGGTTTGGGGATGAGGAAAAGGGACAATGAGGGCAAAATCGGAGTAGAATAGGGCGGGGCTTGTACATAATGTGGCAATGATTGCATTGATTTTTTTTCTTCTTTCCTTTTGGCAGGAAAAGTTTTTTTTTTGGAAGAGAAGAGGAAACTCAACTTAAATACTTGAAAATGGTTGCTGCGTTTTTGCCCAGGATTTATGAATTTTTCAAATGTTTTTCCTTCGTATTTCCCTCCCTTACGGCAAAGGGAAAAACTTTTTGGCAGTAGAAAGTTTCGTCCAGAGGGAAAAACTCGGGGGATTATTTGATAACAGTTTGTTAATTAGCGCCGTCTTTGCTGTCTCACTTTGCTATTTGTTTACGTTTCCAAAAGGCATAATTGGCAAAATGAATTTAAGTTTTTGCTGCAATAAAAAAGAATAATAAAAACTAAAACAAAAACAAAAAAATAAAATGCTGAGCTAATTAAAATAAGCAGGGGAAAATAAGGGAAAATCTAGGGAAAAGTTGCAAGTGAAACAAGTTACTTAGGATTATCAGTAACTTTTTGCCGACGGCTAAGGTTTTTTTCTGTTGAAATTTAACTTTGACATTTTTATGAAGACTTTGGTGAAGATGAAAATATTTAAGGAACTTATAGCATTTTTTTTGTAACATTATATAAAGAAAAATCAAAAAAAAATTTAAATAAAATTGTAAGATTAATATTATTAATAAAAAACAATAAATAGTGCTTCTAATTTCTCCCTCCATTAAGTAAATATTCATTTAAAAAAATAAATTTTTAATATTTCTAATTAAGAAAAGACTGACAAAAAAATATATTCCAATTAAATATTAAACCTTGATCGTTTTTTTGGCTAATACCTTCTCTAAATTAATATTATGTATTAATATGAAAAATATTTTAATCTTAAAAAACCAGCTCTATTATTATTTTACCTCTCTTTTTCTTGGACACACATCAATATTTACACTCCATGCCATTTTTCTCTTTCCTGCCACAAAATAAAATCATAAATACTCATACGAATTTTCCCCATTTCCCTTTTTTTTTGCAGAAAAACAACGCCTGTCGCATTGCGTTGGTTGTGGCGGCCAAATACACGATCAGTATATCTTGCGCGTTGCCCCCGATCTCGAGTGGCATGCGGCGTGTCTGAAGTGCCAGGAGTGCAGGCAATTCCTGGACGAGAGCTGTACGTGTTTCGTGCGCGATGGCAAAACCTACTGCAAGCGTGATTATGTTAGGTGAGTCTCAATTGCAATAAAAAATCAATCAATAAATGAATAAGAAATCATGGTTAAAAAGGGGGAAAATAAATGGATCAATAACATATATTTTATATCATGTTTACAAAGTGTAAACATGATTTTAATAAATGTATAAATCAATTTTGGAAGTTGTAAATAAATTAAATTAAGAATATATTTACAGTGAAGCCTTAAAAATTGCTAAACTTTCAAATAAAGTGTCTAAAATTATTTAATGAAATTTTTAATTAATTAAATTGGTTATTTATAATTTTGTTCAATTTAGTTTGGGCCTCATTTAAAGTGTTTTCAAAGCCAAAACTAATTTATGAGACATTTCTGACATATAAATTATAATATTCATACTAAAAAAACTCCCTTAAAATAAGTAAAACACACCTAAAAATCTCTATAATCTGCTTAAATCTACTTTTAACAAGTTTCCTTATACGTTTCCCTGAAAAAACCAACCCATTGAACCCTGAAATACAAATAGATCTCCCCGAGGGAACCCCATAAGTAGCTCCCAGTTTCAAAAAGATTATCTAATTTCCACTCAACCCAAGCGATTTGGGAACCCAAAACCTATTTACTTAGCCCTCGAAACCCACACTCTCGGCCTGTCATGCGCCTGGCCTTTTCATCAGTTTTTCAACTCCACAATTGTAGCGTCCGGCAAACGTTTTATTTACGAGTATTATTATTATTTTCTTCGTTCGTTGTTAGCCAGCCTTGTTAGCCCAGTCAATTAGCCCAAAGATGCCAGATTTACGTAGATTTACTGGCTATATGCTATACTATATAGGTTCTGATCAACAGCTGGTCCAGTTGCCGCCACCGCCGCCGCTACTTTGGGGTTCCATCATCGCTAAATGTATGACGTGCAATAAAAAATACACGGTGTTTGAGCCTCTCTTTTTGTTGTATTTTTGTGATTTTTTGTATTTTATTGTGTTTTTTTGCCATCATAAAGCCGGCTATCGGTCGCAACTATTTGCCATGCAAATCTTTGAATAATTGATTAACACGTGCAAAGCTATAAATTAACACTTTTCCACCAGCAGCACACACGGCGCGCTCAGATGATTGATGAGCATGCGACTCGGCTCACAGTCATCGATGTAGTCGCTATGTCGGCAAAAGGCTGACAAAAGAATTTTTATTTTATAGCCATAAACGAGCTCCTCTTCCCCAGCTGTGTGCCCCTACCTCCCTCGCCTCCTTTTGTAAAAATTTCGACCCTTTTTGTGAACTTATTCAAGGCTGTTTACAAAATTTTAATCATGGGATTTTACAGGGAACTTTTTCCTTAAAAATCTAAGTTTTTTTTAGGGGAATTATTTAGTTATAGATACTGGTTTATTTTTATAAAAAAAGAGTAGTGATTTATATTTGTTTTTAAATTATTTTGTATAATTTAAAAATTATTAGGGATATTTTGTATCAAAAGAAGACTTCTTTAATTTCAGTTTAAATACTCTTAGGCTCTCTTACTTTTCTATTTTTCCAGGAAAATATTAAAAATAAAATTTAAAAATAAATTCAGAAAAATATAATATAATATAAGTTATAAAAATGTATAAGGCTGTAAAATTATTAGTAACTTATTACCCATTGAAATCACTATTTAAAATTAGTATAAATAGAGTTATCCATCGCAATTTTTTGACTTTCTCCTTTGAGAGTCAATAATTATGGTTTATTATTTTGTTAAATTTGGCAATGGTTTGGTTTTTTTGTTTACTGATATAAACAAATTAAGTTAAGTGCTGCCTTGAATTGGGTAAATTATCAGCAATAAATAATAAGCCTTAAGTCATAATTTAGTCATAATCAGTAATGAGAATAACCTTGAATGAACCAATTTAATTAAGCCAAATAAATTACATAAAATATGCCTAATTAAATGGAAAAATAACTAAGTTATGTATACAATATTAATAATATTTTAAATATATTTTCATATTTTTTTATATTATAAGCAAAAAATAATACAATTTTTAATATAATTTAGTAATTTTTAATAATGATAACTGCCTTAAAAGGTTACATAAATTGGTTTTAAAACTATTTACAACCTTTTTTATATATCTAATTTTTTATTCATCATCTTATTATATTATTATATTTTTTCCAGATTATTTGGTACAAAATGTGATAAATGCGGCAACTCCTTCAGCAAAAATGATTTTGTGATGCGGGCCAAAACGAAAATCTTTCACATCGAGTGCTTTCGCTGCTCGGCGTGTGCGCGGCAATTGCTGCCAGGTGGGTTTCTTCTTCTCTTTATTAATTATTATTATTATTATTTCCTTTACTCAGTCAATATTCTGCCTTGGCTTTAATATTTACCCAACAAATAACGTATTGTTTACCCACCGACAAAAAAAACAGGTGATGAGTTCGCGTTACGCGATGCCGGAGCTTTATACTGCAAGGAGGATCATGATGTTCTCGAGAAATCCTCCCAGAGCAGCCTCACCTCCTCCTCGGTGGAGAGCAACAACAATATTAGCAGTAGTAACAACAACAATACCAACCTTAGCAACAACAACCATTCCAGCGAATTGGGTTCAATGTCAGGTGAGTTGTGTGGACTTTGGATACTTGATTTTAGGTGCTTCACTTTAAGATTGATTTGGGGATGAGATTTTAAGGGGAAAACCAAAGAAGGGTTTTTGTTTATTTATCATAACAATAAAACCCTTCAATCTGAAGCTCTGCAAGTTGAAGAATTGTTATCTTTCTTTGTCTGAAAGTCTTGCTTTTGTTGGTTTTTGTTGAGAGGAAAATGTAATTCAATACAAAGTTCTTGTTATATATTTATTTAGTTAATTTGGAAGATATTTCAATGACTCAATTATTAGCTTTAAATTAGAGAAGAGAAGCTCTTAGTTATTCCACCTAAAATTAAGCCAAAAAATAAACTTTGTTCCTTGAAATGTAAGCCACATTTCATTACCAAAAGCTAAAATGCCATCTAAAATTTGCCCCCATAATGAAAATTATAATTTATCTTGCAAACATAAAAATCTTGGCCGTAAAAAATCAAGGTAATTAGTAATTCCAGTTCCAGTTTTCCTAGTTCAACCCACAGCTATCTTTTTCACATTTTTTTTATGGTTAGCCCGAGACCATTTCCTTTACCCACTATCAACTGCGATTTTCCCGCTACATTTTTCCACCGAAATGAATGAGAGAGAGATTGCCAATCCTAATTAGCCCAAATTGGTCGGTTTCTTGTGAATGGGAAACGGAGCTTCGGCATCGGGTTTTTGTTCTTAGAAAAAGAGAAAAGAAACAACGTTACATCCTTGTAACTGATAGATAGCGGGTGAGGAGTGTCAATAGGAATCGGCAAACGTCAAACAATGTTCGACAATTGTCAAACCATATCGTCAACATAATCTCATTGTTTAACCAGAACGGAGAACCAAGAGAGTTGGCCAGGAGGAGTTGGCCTTATCAACATGGGGCGGCGTTGTCAAACGAAATGGATGCCAAACGTGTGTGGCTTTTTTCCCTCTTCTTGTTGCCCCCCCCTCCTCACGTCATTTTGCAAGGGTTTCCTCCTCCTCATAGACAGATAGACATAGAGCCAGCTTGGACAAACAAAAACTTTACAGTGCATTGAAGCATTCAAGCGGGCAAACATTGACAAGCAACTTCTTGGGAATTGGACTTTTTGTTTGACTGACTTCGATCGACGGATCGACGGATCGATGGGTCGACGGGTCGTATGATCAATCAGCCAAGTCAAGCCGAGTCAAGTCAAGCCAAGCATTCCCCATTCATAGTTCGGCATATATATTCACTTGCCGTTTATTTGTGCTCAACTCGAAAACGGCATGCAGTCTGTTCGAGTGTTTGCCAAACGCGCACAGATCGCGGCAACTTTGAAGTCGTAAGGCACTGAGAGAAATGGGGGGAATTAGTAAGGGTTTTAATAGGGAATAAATAAGGTAATTTTAGAGCTTAAACAGAGGAATATCCTATGAAATTAGGTGGTTAATGAATGATTTTATTAGGGTATATTTTGAGATGTTTTATTTTTTCTCAATAAATTGCCTAGATATACCTCATAAAATATTTAAAATTACCCTAACATCCTAATTATTTTAATTTAAATACAATAATAATTCATTCAAAATTAGAAAATTAATTTTTCGCCTCCCAAAAGTACCCCAGACACTGTACAAAATATTAACCTTGATTTGCCCAAGAGTTTCTCTCCTATTTTTGGCAATTTGCAACCCCCGATAAGAACAAAGTCTACAAAGAAATTCCTTCAAAAGAACCGCACTGTCTGCGATAGGCATCGCATTGGATCGATCAGAACGATCAAAAACTAGATAACTTCATGTTTCGGGGGTTGTGAAACACGACTTAATTACCCAAAAGATCGAAGCGCGTGTGCCTTTGATCTGCACATTTGGCGATATATATGTATCTTATTTTTGGGTGCAAACAAAAATAGAAAATAGAAGCAAAAAAGCAAGCTATTTTCCAAAAAACGGCACTTCAAAAGGCTGATTTTGTTCTACGATTTTTGCCAAAAATAGCCAACAAACTGATGAAATTCCTTTGTTTTTTTGCCATTTGCAGATTCTGGCAGCGAATCGGGCTCACACAAAAGTATTAGGGAAAAGCGACCCTCGGGTCCCTCGGATGGCAAGCCAACGCGAGTTCGGACCGTGCTCAATGAGAAGCAGCTGCATACGCTCAGGTGAGTTCACTTAGAACTTTGAGTTAAATTTTTCTGAGCTTATTTTTAACTGAAAAATATTATAAACCCTCTCCTCAGAACCTGTTACAATGCTAATCCGCGACCTGATGCGCTCATGAAGGAGCAGCTGGTGGAGATGACGGGTCTCTCGCCCCGCGTCATCCGCGTCTGGTTCCAGAACAAGCGCTGCAAGGACAAGAAAAAGACCATCCAGATGAAACTGCAAATGCAGCAGGAGAAGGTATTACTCTTCAGAAAGACTCTAAATATTTGGATTTATATCTAACTTGATTTTTACCCTCGCAGGAGGGTCGCAAGCTGGGCTATGGCGCCATGCAGGGCATACCCATGATTGCCAGCTCGCCGGTGCGACACGACTCCCCACTGAATCTGCAGGGTCTCGACGTGCAGACATATCAACCGCCGTGGAAAGCCTTAAGCGACTTCGCCCTGCACGCCGATCTCGACAGCAATGGGGCGATCAATACGCACACGCCCGCATTTCAGCAGCTGGTCAATCAGGTGAGGTTTTACCTGAGGGTTATGTTACCTCAGGGGGGGGAGATAAATCTTTATAAAGTATAATATATATTTTTTTATAAAGTCTATACCTAAATATTGACGATAAGCTAGGCAAAAGTAGCTTTATTATTGCCTAGGAAAGTTAGAGAACATAGATATATTGATACTTTATCGATATTTGATGCAAAAGTCGATATATAAATCGATAAACTTGCCGAAAGGCAATTTTTATCAATTTGGATAAGCTTTATCTAAGCCAATCAACTGAATACAAACAAGATTCTAAAATTGTATGATTTTTAAAACTGGTTATAGTCATAATATGATTAATAAAGGCAATAGAAATCATTTAAAATTACTCCAAGAAACAGACATCGATAAAGTTCAACGAAGATGATTAATGGTTTATTAATCATCTTCAAGCATATGTAAATAATTATTTCTAGACTTTACATCAACTTAATTTACAATTACAACTTGTAAATTGCTATTAAATCAATAAAAATCAATCAATAATAATTATTATTGATAACAATAAATAATAATAAATATCTAACTAATTTAAAACCCATTTCCCTCTCCTCTCTCGTCCCCCCTTAGATGCACGGCTATGACCTGAATGGGATGCCTGTACTACCCCCGCATCCGCATGCCCACCCAGCGCAAGGACCGCCCCATCAGCATCCGCCGCCTCCAGGTGGACCGCACAATCACCAGAATCCCCAGCAGAATCCACAGCAGCAACAGCAGGGACCCGGGGGCAGCAGCCTGGACTCTGGCATAACGTCGCACCATCATCCGGACAGCACCGACTCCTACGTGACCTACCTGGAGAGCGATGACAGTATGCAGGGCAGTCCGTAGACAATCGAACAACCGAATCTAATCCAGCTTCTTTTGTTGCTCCCAGAATCCAAACTGGCGCTGACCCCGTCGTCCTCATCCTCGGCCTCGGCGGGCACTTCGATCTCCTCGCCGCCATCGGGCGGCGGAGCTGGGGGCGCAGGAGGCTTGGGTCTGGGCGTGGGCGTAGGTCTGGGCCTAGGGCTGGGTGTCGGTGTGGTGGCCGCCAATCAGTCGGCCACCGAGCAGCTCATGCAGATGCTCCAGAAAGTCACGGGCTCGGCATCCCCCGCCCCACATGCCGTGCTTTAGGGAGGGTAAAACATACTGGGGATATTGGCAGGTTACAGTCGAACTTTGCTAATGAGAATAAGGTTTATTTCAATAAAAATAATGAGAAAATTCTAGAGTAGCTCGGGAAGCTCTAAAGAAAATTAGTACATTTTTTAATAATATTTTAAAAGTTTTTAAAGAGTTTTTACAAATTTTTTAGAGTTTATTTATTTTATATCTTACAAAAATTATTTAAATTTCATTCAAAAGAAGTTATCAAGTGAAAATCATTACAACAAAATTTCAAAATTAATATTCTTTTACATTTTACAATATTTAAAGTATAAAAACTAAAGTTTAACTAATTTAAATGCCCTTCAAGTTAGCAAAGTTCGACTGTAAATTTGGGTTTTGTGCAATCGTTTTTGCCCCTGTTTTATTTTATATTCTACTCACTCTCTCACCCCGCTAATTTGTAATTCTAATCTCTTGTAATGTATAAATTTTAATTTTAATTTGTGTTTGATTCGGTGCCAAAAAATAGTCTGTAGGCCGTTGGCATTTTTATATTCCGAAGTATAAAATCTTGGCTCACATTTTGTTACACCATTTGTTGTTTGTTGAGTTGGGAAAAAAGAGATATAAATATAAATTGAAAGAAAGAGGAAAATTTAAGAAAAAATGCTCACACACTTGAAAAGTTTTAACAATAATTTTTGCCCCTAAAAAGTCGAAACAAAAATTATAATAAAAAGCAGAACCAGAACACGTTACTTCGCATCAAGTAGGGAATTTCATTAAGCATCAATTTGTAAATAACTTTTATAAATATAAATATATATATAAAAACAAAAACTATAAACAAATATATATATTTTCATTCAAAATGCAAAAAAAAAAAGAAGAGAAAAGTGACTCGTGTGTATTATATGTGGAGGAGTAGAAATAAACCCTAAAAAAAGCACTTGGCAAAAAAAAAAACTTGTAAATCGAATTAACAATTTAAGTTCCATAAATGGTATGGCAAAAAAAAACACAAAAAAAAACACAAAATAATTATAAATAAATAAATGCAAAAACAAACTTAAAAAAAAGCAAAGTGAGAAAGAAAAACTGTAACTAAAATCTAGACTTATTTGTTAGTTTTTAAACATTTCCGAAAATGCATTATAAAAAGCGGGAAAATAAGGGGAAAAGGAGGAATAGAAGACCGAGTGATGGCGAAAAATGTACCAAGGATGTTTATATAAATTGTTTCGTAAAACAACCTAATGTATTTTCAATAATATTTAACTAATATTAATAATAAACAGTGCATAAGTAATTTTAGTAACTATAGAAAATGTTTAAATGAAATTACAAACGAAAATAAAACCACAAAAGCAAAAAAATAAAAAAAAAACACACAAAATAACATTAAAAAAATGAAATGGAGTTTTGATTTGGTAAATATTTTAAAGAGGGGACTTACCGAAATTTAAACACTTATTAGTTTTTAGTTTTTCTTTGGCAAAATCTGAAAAGAGGAAAACATTTTTAAGAAGTTGGAAACTTGAAGAAATGAGAAAAAAAAATCTACGTTTTATTCTCCCAGTGTACAGTAAGCAGTTGACAAGCAGTTCAATGCGACACTGCTTGTAGTGCTGCAAAAGAATAATCGAGTATCGAATATATATCGATTAAAACTTCAATAGCGACATCGAATGAAAATATCGTAGTTCTTGCATCTCCAAAAAGAAGAATAACAATCCGGAAAATCTGGCATGTTCTGAAGTTTTTCTTAAATTTCTCTATTAAAAATCCTTCAAAATGTCCATTGCTAAACGTGTGCAGGTTCGTAATAGTGTTATTAACAATATCCACGGTTTAATTAATAAATAAATCCACAATTTAGCAATGGGCGACGTTTGCACGCACCTGGCACATCTATGACTGCACCTGGCAGAATCCTTTCGAGTCGGCTAAATTAATTAAAACTCACCTGATGGGTCTGCACAAGCCTATTTATCATCCCATGAGTAAGTGTCCTTCACATAGTTAAGTTTTCGTTTAAGTATTTAACGCGTAAGTGGTTAAAATCCATGTTTTTAAAAGGCATTTCGGTTGCCATTACATCACCGGCGTGTTTTTCGTTTTGGTGTTGTTGTTGCTGGCGCTGCAAGTAAAGAGAATGAAAACAAAAGTAAATTAAGCTGCGGAAAATGGTAATTATTAAGATAATTTGAGTTGCAATTTAATATAAAAAAAAAGGAAGACAAAAGTAAAATAAACTGCGGAAAATGGAGTTGCAATCGAAATGTTAATTAAAAATGTTTAAAAAATAAATAAACCAATGTCTACTGATCAACAGATTAATTCGATTTCTCTTATCTTAATTGTAAATGAATTTTTTGTTCGATCCTAAGAATTAAAATGATTTACTTCCATTTCCACGGGTACATTTCCACTTATTCTTACACTTTCCAGCAAACGCTCCTTTCCCAATTAGCAAACTCCTGGAAATATTCCATTCTCTTTTACCTCTTGAATTTTGATTGCCCATTCTTTTTTACTTCTACCATTTTGATTGCAACTCTCTTGTAAGCCTCTCTCTCTCCCTCTCCCCTCTCTCTCTCTCTCTCTCTCTCCCTCTCTCAACCGCTGTTTTTTACTTACCGTTATTCGTCCTTTTTTTAAGGTTAAGTTTTTCGCAATGGACCAACCCACTAAATCTCCGTAAATATCATTTTCCAGATGACTGCGGTGACCATGTGGTGCTCATCAACACCCGGGAGATCGCCCTGCCCGGTGACGAGTGGGTGAAACGGGTCTACTTCCACCACACCGGCTATCCGGGCGGCGCTTCCTGGACGCTGGCCTGGCAGCTGCACGAGAAGGATCCCACGCTGGTGATGAAAAAGGCGGTGTACAATGCGATGAACGGCAATCTACAGCGGCGGCACACCATGCAGAGACTCCACTTGTTTGCCGACGATCAGGTGCCCGAGGATCTCTTGCAGAACGTCACAAATCAGATACGGACGCCGCGTTCCGTGCCCCAGCGATTGGATCACATTGACAAGGAGACGCTGGAGAACTTCCCCAGCATCATGGATTATCCCAAGGATTACATTTTGCGTTAATTTGTTGAATTCATTACTTGTAATTAAGCGAAATACACTTTACATATAAAAAAAAAAAACCCGCGCGCGTTTTTCTATAAAGTGAAATTACCGGTTATATTGGTGTTTTCCCGATGAAAACCCAATGCTATGACCTGACCCGACACTTCAGGCATCTACTGCAACACTTTTCCGAGGCGGATAACACTTGAAAAACGGATAAAAGTCCGGAAAACTCATTTTCGCGGCAAGTTGGTATTATTTTCCGAAGTAGTATGACCAGTCAGCAAAGCGCCTGAAAAGGCACGGTTTAGTATAGCTTGTAACTATGGTATTTTGTTTGCACCACAGTCACACTACGCGTCACCGGTGATTTGCCATTTTCATCTCGTTTTTATTATTTATTTTCCATCTACGGCGACGCCTACACTGCAATTATATACTATATAGTAAGTGGGGTATCCGATTTATCTGAAAACCACCAACAGCTCTTGGAAAGAACCACAAATCGGGGCTTATCTTGCGGCTGGTTTTTGTTTTCCTAGCGATAAGCTTTATCGCAGACTTTAAAGTCTATATAAAATCCACTTTATTCTTTTATTTCAGTTCCAACTCGCGGCTTGTCCACTTTGCACAGACCACTCCCGATTTACCAGTTACAAAAACGCTATATAATGGGTCGCTTGGGCACTGTTGATCCCAGCTCGTACTCCCAGCCCGATTTGGTCAAAACGGAGCACAGTGTCCTCAACTGGAAGGTGGATTTTGCGGCCACAAAACTGCAAGGAAGTGTGCTGCATCGCTTTAATGTGTTGTCTGCAAATCTGGAAAAGATTGTGAGTATATCAGGGGGAGCTGGAAGAACAGGGAAAGAGCTAGAAGAGCTGAGAGAGCAGGGAAAGAAGTGGAAGATCAGGGAAAGAGTTGGAAGAGCTGGAAGAGCAGGGAAAGAGCTAAGAGAGGTGAGAGAGCAGGGAAAGAACTGGAAGATCAGGGAAAAAGCTGGAAGATTGGGGAAGGAGTTGGAAGAGTTGGAAGATCAGGGAAAGAGCTGAACAAATCTTGCGCTTTTCCCATCCCTAACATAATCCTTTTTTGCTCTCCTTAATTGCAGCTCCTGGATGTCCGCGACATTAATGTCACCAATGCCACGTTGCTGGCCGGCGGCAGCGAGTTGCCAATCAATTACTTCATCAGCGATCCCGTGGATGATATTGGCCAGAAGCTAACGCTGGAGTTGCCATCAGGAACGGCTAAGGGCAGGTAAGAACCACACATCACAGCTAGATAATCTAATCTCCAAGAGAGCCCATAAATAATCGGAAACGAAACACTTGTGTGTAGCCTCAATGTTCGCATCGATTACGAGACCTCGAGCAGTGCCAGTGGCCTGCAGTGGCTGAATCCCGCCCAGACTTTGGGCAAGGAGCATCCCTACATGTTCTCGCAGTGCCAGGCCATCCATGCCCGCTCTGTGTTTCCCTGCCAGGACACGCCTTCGGTGAAATTCACCTACGATGCTACCGTGGAGCATCCCAGTGAGCTGACCACCCTGATGAGTGCCCTCATTGACAAGAAGGAGCCTGGAAAGACGCAGTTCAAGCAAGAGGTGCCCATACCCGCTTATTTGGTGGCCATTGCCATTGGCAGATTGGTTTCCCGGCCGCTGGGGGAGAACTCCAATGTCTGGGCCGAGGAGGCCATTGTGGATGAATGCGCCGAGGAGTTCTCCGAGACGGCGGTCATGCTTAAGACAGCCTCGGAACTGTGCGGTCCCTATGTGTGGAAGCAGTACGATCTGCTGGTGATGCCCCCATCCTTTCCCTTTGGTGGTATGGAGAATCCTTGCCTGACTTTTGTGACGCCCACCCTGCTGGCCGGGGACAAATCGCTGGCCGATGTGGTGGCCCATGAGATAGCCCATAGCTGGACGGGTAACTTGGTGACAAACAAGAACTTTGAGCACTTTTGGCTCAACGAGGGCTTCACCGTCTTTGTGGAGTCCAAGATTGTGGGCAGAATGCAGGGTGCCAAGGAGCTGGACTTTAAGATGCTCAGCAATCTCACCGATTTGCAGGAGTGCCTTCGCACTCAGCTGGAAAAGACACCCGAGCTGAGCAAGCTGGTGGTAAATCTGTCGGATTGTGGACCCGATGATGCTTTCTCCTCAGTGCCTTATATCAAGGGATCTACATTCCTGCGCTATCTCGAGGACTTGTTTGGCGGCCCAACTGTTTTTGAGCCCTTCCTGCGGGATTACCTGAAGAGATATGCCTACAAATCGATTGAAACGAATGATTTCAAGGCTGCTCTGTATGATTACTTCAAGGATACGGACAAGAAGGATCAGCTGGGAGTTATAGACTGGGATTTGTGGTTGACTAGCGAGGGCATGCCGCCTATTATACCCAAGTAAATATAAATTGAGTCTGATCTTAGCTCACATTAATATTAATTTAATTGCTCAAGGTTCGATGAATCCCTCTCCAATGTCACCAAGGAACTGGCCAATCTCTGGAGCTCCAAGACTGTGGCCGAACTGAGCGACAACAAGGACATTAAGCAGACCATTTCCATTCACCAGCTCATTGATTTCCTGGGCAAACTGATTGAGAAGAAGGACATTGTTGACTTGAACGAAAGCAAGATTGACCTCCTGGAGTCCACATACAACTTGAAGGGTTCCAAGAATGCCGAGGTTCGCTTCCGCGTCAATCGCTTGATTATCCGTGCTCGCCTTATCAAGCGTCTGGAGGAGATTCTGGAGTTTGCCAACTCCAATTTCCGCATGAAGTTCTGCCGTCCCATTTATCGCGACCTGGGAGCTTGGCCCGAGGCTAAGCCAGCGGCTGTTCGCAACTTTGTCAGCGTCAAGGATCAGATGATGGCCGTGTGCTCGCATACCATTGAAAAGGATCTGGGTTTGAAGTAAAATTTAAGTCTGAAAAATATGATTTTATGCATTTTTTTGAAGCATTATTGTAAATTCAACAATAAAATTGTTGTATTGTTGTAAATTCAACAAGAGTTGTTGTGTTGTTGAACAATTTCTTTGAAACTAACCATTTTTTATATATAAAATTTAGTTAAAAACTCACTGAAGTTTCGTTTTTCTTGAATTATTTTTTGTTTTTATTAAAAAATAAGCAAAACTACGTTTATAACAAGTTGATTTCCATTTCCATGCTCATTGTAATTTCTAATTTCTTCAATTTTGCTTGCAATTTGTCGCGTTACCTTGATACCGTATTCTTTTTTCTTTGTTTACCAATTAGTTTTTCCTTTTGTTCATATATATATTTAGTTATAGCTCAACACATTGACCAATTTTCAAATGTTTTCTTTGGTGTTCGTATAACTAATCAAATGGGCTTCGATCTGGTTGATCTGCTTCGTTTCAAATTTCATCTGGTTGTTCTTTAAATTCTTTAAATTTCTCTCTCTCTTTGACATACACACACAATTTATTAAATTTATTATTGTTGTTTGCTTCGCTCTCGGCTTAAATATTTTCTCTCTCTGTGTTTTTTGGTGTCTCATCCCGACGAGTTTTGCCTTTAAACTAATTAACAGTTTGGTTTCTTACATTGACCGAAATGCTTGTGCAACAATGCTTCCTTCCAATTTTGTATTCTCGAATTCTGGTAGCTGAGAGATCTCTGTAATTCTTCCGTTTCGCTGTTCGTCGTCTTCTTCTTCTGGCTGAGGAATTAAAAACTATCACGCACTAGAATTATCATTGGAACGGGACGTGGATGGACCGGCATTGCCCTGATCATCGCCCAGCACGAAAGTGGGACTCTGGCGGGATGTATAGTGGTAGCCTTCTCTATAGCGCTGATTGGGTTTCGACCGTGCGGTTTGTGTGTGACCCAATGCTGGACGCTGATTGTTGAGCTCATTGGGTCGTTTGGCTAAGGATTAAAAATAATTAAATAATTAATTAACTAAGTTAAGATGAGATTTTTATGGTTCAGGTCTTCTATTGCCTATAAAAGAGAGAGAGCTTAAAAGAACTACTCTTTTTGGGAGTTTCTTAATGAAAGAACATCCAAACACAGGCTTAAATGAGAACCTTTCTTCGCAAATAAAAATCCTACTTTTTGTGAGCAGCTTTTTCTCTTTCGACCGAAGAACCGAGGGAAGATACTAGTATCCTTACCAGGTATATAAGGCTTTTGATTATAGGACGATTGTTGTTGTTGGTTATATAGATCCGACGATGTGGCATTGCCATTATGATGATACGGCGTTGCCTGCAGATCGGTGCTACAATTAATGGGACTCATTGGCGTCATCTCGCGATCCTCGATAAACAATTCGCTGGCATCGTCGGGCACCTGACGGTACTGAGTCCAGGGCCAGGATGCAATGCCCGATAAAAGAAATGCCTCCAAGGCGCACAAATAGCCTATAATCTATATTTTAAAAAATTTTTTAAATTAATATTTATTGAATATCATTAAGTAAATAAGTAAACCTCACCCCTGTGGCCAGCAGCGTGTCCTTGGAATGCTTGGACACCCAGGTGTATTCAGTGGCATACAGCACCATGTGGACAAGCAATGTGGAGCTCAAAATAAATATCAAACCAATACTCAGGTACATCCACGTATTCTGTGGATAAATATTACATTATATTTAAGATTTTCCAATTTTAAAAACTCCACAAAAAACCCACCACTTTAGTCCAATTGAATGGGAACATGAGGGCTATATGCGATATATCCAGAAAGAGCATGAGGCATGTGATGAGTAGCGAGAAGAGCGCACAGAAGACCATCAGCCTCAGGCGTCCGATGAGTGGCAGTAGAAAGAGGCCCACCTGTACGGTGCCTGCAGAGCATTCGCAGGCCAGACAGGCGGCCGAGGATAACTATTTAAATTTTAAAATTAATTAGAACAATTTAGAGCCTCCATCCCGATCTAAACTTACCACCAATAGTATGCGCACAATCCCTGTAGGCGATTTCAAGTGTTGCGGATCACAGTGGAGGGCCACGCCCCAGGGCATCGGGGTGTGTCCGCCCCTCTGCTTATAGTTGGCATGCGAGTCCCAGGAGGTGCACGTACCCAGCGGCGATTCCAGGGACAACGAGTGCGAATGGGAGTGAGCTAGGGAGAGCTCGCCGGCCCTGCTGCCAGCTATCTCAAAGTCCTGCTCATCTTCTAGCTGACAGCAGACCGGCTCCAGCTCTAGCTCCCGAATCTCGTCCAGCAGCAGTTCTATCTCGTCCGTGCCATATAGATCAGATACAGACGGTATATAACGTTGGGGTTGTTGCATTGCCCGTGCCGGGATGTGTCCCACATCACCGATGGTTGCCCCTCAACTGTCAAACACTGCCGCCTCCTCGTCTTGTCTCCTCTACACGTTTCCGTTTCCGGTTTCGTTTTTCCGTTTCCTTGTATACGTTTTACTGTTTTTCTCTCGATATCTCTCCTTGTGGCTTCTCTTTAGGGGTCTCTTTTTCTCTCTTAATTAACTGATTACCTGAAAAAATATTAGTTTATAAATTATAAATTTAATAATAGTAAATATTGGGATATCTTTAGGTTTATTTCAAAACTAAAAAAATCTCCTTGAAAATGAGTCTTTCTCTAAACTTTTCTCTTCATTCCCTTAAAGCTATTGAAATTGATAACTGCCGAGCGTTGCCTGCCCCCGAGGCTCATTAGGTTCCAGTCTCCCCCTTACCCCCCTATTTCCATTCCCATACCCCCTCTGTGGCCTCCGCCTGTGCATAACCATAACGGTAATTTGATATGAGTCGTCGACGACGACTTTGACGTTGCCGCTGCCTGGCTGTCACTCATACGCCATGTGGGCCGCGCCATCGAGGGGCTATCCCCCAGGGTGCTGCCAATCTGAATACACTTTCTCCAGCGTATAGACGCCGCGGGCAACGACAACTTTCTGGGCAAATACGCGTTTAAACGTAAATATAAGGAAAAGTAGTAGAATTTTTAAAGGAAAAGGGGGGAGTAAGAGTAGCCAAGGGTGGTGAGGGGAGAGAGTTTGGAAAGAGCCTGGTGAAAAGCAAAATCACAACGATAATGATGATGGTGATGGATGGGCCTATGTTTGGGAACTTCAAAGGAGCAGAAATAACAGAAAAATGTAAAGTTCAATAGAAGGGAAAACTTTTTAAATTATGAAAATATTTTTTATTATTTTGAAAATCAAAGAAAATATTGGAATATTGGAAATTTTGTTAAAGTTTTCGGAAGATTGAACTAAAAATTAAATTCTAAATTCTAGAATTTCTAAATAAATATTATAAAAAAAGAATAAAAAATTATAGAACGCTAAAATGGTTTATAAAATATTTTTCTTCAGTTTTAAATTTTTTATAAAATATATTTTCTTCAGTTTTTTAATAAATAAATAATTTTTTTTCAATTAATGGCCTTTTCTTGTACAAATTAATTGCTAAATAATGACCATAACTTAATAATATTTATTTAAAAATACCTTAAAGTATTAAATTCTTATAAGATTTTAGTTGTATTTAATTATTTATTTAATTCTTACAAGACTTTAATTAAATTTAATACAAAATTAAAGAATAAAATATATATATATTTTTCGAAAATTTTACTACAGTAAAATAATTTATTTTATAATCAATTTAATTTAATTTATATCTATTATAAATTAAGTTTTAAATTAATAAGTAACAAATTCAAGATTATTTTATTATTATTAATTTTAAATAAAAACCTTACCTATGTTCAAACTCCCTGATAAATTCCCCCATCACCTGCTCTGTTCCACCCACTTAATCCCCCTCAGAATCTAATTAAAATCCCATCGAATCCCTGCCAAATTGTGTTATGCACATGTCATTATAAAAGCCACTGCGAAACTATTTCCAGCTCTTGTGCATTAATCACAGAGATTCCCAGCAGAGTTACCTCTTGGCTGGCATTTCATTTATTATTTTTTTTAATTGCGTCTGAAGCGCGGTGTTCGATGGGTCTGACTCCCTGTGGATACCAACCAGAGGATGTGGTGGCTGCCAACTGGAAATTAAATCGAATTGGTTTCGTGTGTGTGAGATTCCCTTTATTTTTTCACACTTTTCCCCTTTTGCTGGATTTTCCTGCTTGCCATGTTATTTTTCCACACACACACACACACACACACTTGGACAATTAACACAGTCAAGCAAAGGAGGTGGTATGCTGATGGCTACATGAAAGCCAAACTCCCAGGAGAAAATTTCAACAATTTTCAGATGTCCGGCCGCATTCTCCTTGGGCTGTCATAATCAGGACATCTCGGATGAAGGTAGCTTATGCTCCTTGTTGTCAGTTGTCCTGCTGTTTTTGTGCAGCAGCAGCAGCACAAGGACTCCCCGACAGGACAGGACACGAGAAATGCAGCTGGAAGGCAGGCAGGCAGGTAGGATGTGGCAAGGGGTCAAAATAGCACATGTACTTGCACTATATATGCATTGGTATGTACATCTCTCTCGGGACAGGCAATGTAACAATTTGTTCCATCTCTTTCTCATTGCTCTTACTCTCTCTCTCTCTCTCTCTCGCTTTCTAGTTTTTGTGAAGTTTTTGCTGTGCTCGTGCTGTCCTTGCTCTAGTTTCAGCGCCCGAATGTCCTCAGCCTCCTTTTTGGTCTTCGGTCTGGGTTTCCAGCCTCCTCCCCCCAATCCACGCCCTTATCTCTCGGCCCGTTATCGCTGCTGCTGCTGCCGCTCGAGTGCCTAATGAGAGTCCTTGTCAGCAGATCTCCTGGCCAAGGACCTGCATCTCACTACCTTATCCAATTTACCCATCGATTGTCGAGCCCAGCTCTCCCTCTGATTTTATCACCCCCTCCAGCGAGTGATTCAGAGATAATGCAAAATTGATTCAACACACACACATGCTCTCGTTAAAATTCAATTAACGCATTATTCAATCATTGAATTGCCAGTTGAAAGCATAATTTATATATGAGAATTGATAATAGAATTGATTATTGAAATAATTATTCAACTATTAATTGATTTGAGCTGTTAAATAATACGAAAATTATGCTTTTTAGGTGACGGGAAATTTCTGGAGGGGAATATATAATATTATAAATATTGTATTTATTGTTAAAATAATAAGTTTTGTGTTAAAAAAATTTAAATTAATTTAATTAAATATATTTATAGAAATTATATGAATTTCAACTATAATTAAAATTAAATCCCCCAGGAATCAGTTACAAATATAACAAAAAACCTCTGCTTTTAAAGTTTTTATTCAAATTTTAATTTAATTACATCAAATATCTTTTTAAAATATATTAATTTAAATATAAACAAATTTAAATTGAATACTTAAGTACAAAATATACCAAAAAACCCTAGTTTTATGCCATAAATTACTTTCCTTATCTAAAATCCTTCTACTATATTGCCCACCCAAGTATCTGTGCATGTGATAAATACAGCTTTTTGTGCTTGAAATCAATTATGCTGATCGGCATTTATAAACTGACTTGCCTTCCTGCGAGGCTCCTACGACTTCCTTCGAGGCAGGGTCGCCAGGCGGCCACAGGAAGTGCAAGTGCTGTGTATGCAAATTTATTGTCAATGGAAAAAGGGGGCAGCAGGCATTGTAAAGGAGAGCTGAAGGGTTGGACACTCGACGTCGCCCCGACTGCATTTCTTATTTATGAACGTGCATAGACAATGCTTTCGGGGTCTTGTCCTGCTCCTCCTCACAGCTCGCAGGACATGTGTGCTTGCAACTTTTGTCGCATTCAATGGACCAAAGTTGCCGTAAATAACTTTTAATAGAATTTTTAATGGGCAGCTCGTCTCGGTCGGTCGTCGGAATGAATGGCCTTTGGGCAATTTGGTTTTAATATAGATTACCATAATGATTTGCCAAATGCAATGAAATGTGGTTGAGAGGCTAAAGAGAGAAAATAAAAAAGTGTTGAGTGCGGTTTAGAAAGGATATGGTTTTGGGTTTATTTTTAGAACAGTGAGGAATGGTTATTGGTTATTTTATATTTATAAAAATGGTGTAAAGTTCTTTTTGAATAAATAAAATGTATTTTAACTCGCTTAGAATGAATATAAAAGCATTTTTTAAGGAGTAAATATAATAGTATTTATTTTTATATTTATTCTAAACGTATAAAAACTAAAGGTAACTATTAGAAACTACCCTCAACACTATATCACAAAATAATCTTTGTAATATCTTTGTTCTTAAAATTATAGATAAAATGTATAATTTATTATTTAAATAATTTTAAACCTTATATACATTCCTGTCCAAATCTCCATAAGTTTTTAAGAATAATCTAATATTAAACCAAATATTTAATCATTTCCCAAGCACGTCTAGCTCTCCTAACTCTTTCGCAAATTTTCCCTTTCCCAGGACCATCAAATATTTTACATTATTAATCAATTTCCATTTCAAAAGCATTGGAAAACTTTATGCATTTTAAACTAAATTTCTGGCCACACGAACTCTAACTTATTGACTGAAAAATAAATAGATGAAACTTGCAGGTGGGGGAAACTTATCAGACAAGTGCACACAATAAACCATGGCTTAGAAGGGCCAGGAAAAACTTCGGACCTGCGTATAAATTTTGGCTTTAAATTATTGGAATATTTTCAGTGCTTTGGTCTTCTTTTTTTTTTGGCGGCTATTTATTTTTCGGCGTTGTTGCCTGAATGCAGACAACTTGACTATCGTCCTCAATTCTCAATGCAGGGAAAAACTGCGGGAACTGTGTGCTGGGGGTACTGGGACTGGAGGACCTTTTCCTACTTATTATGCCGCCGCATGTTTCTCTATGTTTGCTCTTTTGCGGAATTATCGATTACAAATGAATATTTCATTAGGGGGAAGGGGAACTGAAGGGAGAGGGCGCCAAATGAAGCGAAGGAAATAGGGAGACTAGGGAGAGCTGAGGGGAGCCTCGCACCTGGCTGACTTCCGCTTCCGTTTCCGGGTAGCGCGACACTCTGGCCTGGCGATTTTCAATTAAAATGCAGCATACTTTTCGCGCTTTCGTTAAGCATTCTTTAAGCACGGTAGGGAAATATTTACAGTGAGGAAAAATATTTACTTTTTATATTAAAATATTTAAAACAAAGTAAATTTTCCTATAAAATGTTTAGCTGGTTTCAAATCACTTTGGAATATTTATTGTTTAATTAAAACCAAAGACAAGTTTGATTTTCAATAACAAATACTTGATTTATATTTAATTTATCTATTTTTTAGTATTTTTAATTTAATGAAAAAACATTTTCTATGATGAAAACCATTTATAGATTTTATTTTAGCAGAATTAATATATAAAATTAAATATTAGAGAACATTTCTTGTAAATTAAATTCTTTTAAAATTATTTTTATTTCATAATTACTTCTTAAAATTCTTTTTTAATCTTTCCTTTTCACAAATATTTTATTTCAGTGTATTGTACACATTCCTTGCCATTTCTTTTTCCTATTCTCGCTCTCTCTCCCTTTTGGGCTCTTTAAAATGCTGTTTAATGTATGTCCCCACTTCTGTTTTGTGTCGCATAATTACCAATGCCAGGATAATTAAGGCAGCGCCGTGCTGCCAGGCCAGGACACACACAAAAAAGGACAACGAGTCCCGAATGCGGGTCCCGACCCGAGGGACTCCCCAAAACAAAATTGGGTATGGGTATGCAAAGGGGGACTTGGACTGGAGGACCAAAAAGTAGGTGGTGGCTTCAGTGGTGCGAGCACGTGACTAACGGTAATGGCACGCCAAATCACAGGAGAAATGAATTGTTTGCCGGGCGGGAGTGCTCGGAATGCCAAATGCGAATAAGAGAGAGAGAGAGTGTAACAGGATTTTCAGCCCAGGATGTCCAAATTATATTATGCTAAAAATATTTTATAGAAGATTTTATTTACTAACGAAGGTGTCACCTTTTTTTAACTACATTTTGGGAGTAGAGAAGGTTTTTGGTGGAAAGATGTGAACTATAAAAATGTTTAAAATTGTTTAATAAATATTTTTACCTTAAAAAGGTTCATAAATAAATATAGTTATTGTAGACTCTAATTTCTTATGTCTAAAAATAATATATAAAACTCATTTTAATAATATTTTAAGATCCTAAAAATAGTTCCTAGCTTATTAGATAAAGAAAATCACTTTCTTAAATTTTATTTATTGCTTCAAGACACTTTTATAAAATATTTAAAACCCAAATAAATTCCCAATTAAAATTAAAACAAAGCTTAAAGTATACACCTCCTCTTTGCCTTTAAAAGCCAACCCTTAAATCAATTAAAGATAAAACTTGTGCCGCCCTCAGCTTTAATTTCAATTAAACAAAGGTGTTCAGAGCCTTGGAAAAAGGTTTCCCCATTTCCCCCATTTCCCCCTTTTTCCCCTTCTTTTTTTTAGAGGCAACTCGTGATCCTCTTATGCAAAACTCCTGCAAAACTCCACTTCAGCCTGCCATATATCCTGCATATCCTCCATTCCCCTTTGCCCCCCAACGAAACTCGAGCAGAAAGTGATTAAGGCTCACGTTTCGGGATTACGTAAGCTCCTACAGGGATACTTAGCCAGCTGGGCCGTTGAAAGCGTTTATATACATATATAGGGAAACGGTGAGAGAGTGTGTTGTGTGTGTGTCTGCTAAGCATATCATGTGTTTATGCGCGATTCCCCAATAAAACCATTTTTACCTGGCTTTTCGGGGCGTCCCCTAACACGTGAGCTTCATATAAAAAAAAAAACGAGAGTAAGGAGAAGTGGAAAGCAGGCCTCGTCATTTCATGGACGTTGCAGCACGCGAGGGGTGCCCCTAGCCCCCCTGTGCCACTATTTTTCCTCTTTCACTTTTGTTGGGATTTCCCTTTTCGCCTTGTCCCCCCTCCGAGCTCTGCGTAAACACAGCTATTAAATGCCAACTGACCCCAAATGCTGACCGACTCGGTTACAGTTGCTCTACAATTAGGAAAATGAATCTAGGAAAATGTGGGAAAATTTAGGTAAATAGAAAAATTAGAAGTAAAAATGATTTGAAAATTTTAAGTAATATAGGAATATATTATATATTTTTTATATAATTATTTTTTGTAGCTAAATAATTTTGTTATAAAAAAATATTCTATAAAAAAGATTTGAGTACCTTAGGGCATTTTCCGATTTACTAATTGCAGTTTAATTTATAAATATAATAAAATAGCTAGACTTATCTTTGGTAAAAAAACTAGATTTCTATATATTTTTTGTATTATTTTAAAAAGGTTTTTTAGACTAATGTCATTTTTTTAATATTCTTATAATATTCTAAGTGCTATTTCTAATATTTAATACAAGAAAATTATCATTAATAAAATTCCTTCGTATTTAAAATAAAAAAATATTATAAAATTATACTATGATTTTACTCTACATCATTTCCTATATTTAAAGACCTTGTGTATTTTAATTGTTTATACTTTTAAATATATTTGTAAATGGTTCCGTTTTAATCATAAAATTAAAATATTTCGCAAAGTTTTTTACTAATATTTTAATTGACTCGTTTATATATCGTATTCATACAAAAATAAATCCTAAAAATAATCATTTTCAAATCAAAACTTTGTAAATTAAACTTGAAACTTTACCATGATTTTAAAACCCTACTTTAAGCCTAGATCCTCCACTATTACAATCTTTAGTGACATATAAAACCAAGTTAAGCCTTAACCAACCTCGATTGTATTTAATTGCCCCCCGAAAAGCCACTCCCCCCTCAACGAATTGCTACTAAACGGGCGGTGCAACAACCTCGCTTAGTTGCAGCCGGACGACCTTGAACCAGTTTTCATTTCTAAAAAATTTCCCCGCACACAAAAAGGGCGCAAGCAGGGCAACTTATTAGAAGAAGACTTTTGGCAAACTTCGAGAAACTCTCGCAAATATCCAGGAATATTAATCAGGCTCTGAGAGTCTAACAGCAATTTAATTGCAGCCACATACTCGGACGCAGAGGATGTGCTGTGGGTGGATGAAGGATGAGACTGGGGAGATGAGGATGAGCGTGAGGCTCCTATGACAGCAAACTAAAAATAAACAAATGAGCCAAGCCAGAGACACACAGGGAAAAAATAGACGACACAGAACGAGTTGTGGCCGAAGCGCGGAAAAGTGCGCTTGCGTAAGGAGAGGAAAATTAGAGAGAAAATTAAAAGGAAAAACAGACAGGGAGAGTATGATACTCTCTCAGCGAAAGAGAGAGCCGAGGTTATTGTTGTGGCTGCAGAAGGATTTCAAGGAAGTGAAATAGCGCTGCAGACTGAATTTTTCACACAGACAAAGTTTCCTATCTGCTTCCTCTTCCTTCATTTTCCTAGGCTTTTCCTAGCTGCCACTTCCTGTGTATCAGCGAGTGTGTGTGTGTGTGCGTGTGTATGTGCGGTGAATTGAAAATAGATTTTTTGGTGATTTCACATTTAGTTTTTGATCTTTAATTTTGATATGAAATATATAGAGAGAATAACTAGTTTTTTTGTATATAATTTTGAAGATTATTAAATATTTTATAATATATATTTTATTAATAATATTTTATTATATATTTTTTTTAAAGATTAATAAGTATTTCGATGTTAACAAACATTTTATTCCTTTATAATTTTTTGTAATTAAATGACAAATATTTTACAAGACAAATAATTCGTAGAAATTAATTATTAAAAAATATTGTTATCGATTATTAAATATTTTATAATATATATTTAAATAATAATATTTTATTATATAATATATATTTTCAAACATTTCATCTTTAATTTCTGGAATTAAATGACGATATTCCGAGGCATGTTTTTCCGAGAAATTAAATATGAAATAATATAGAATGTTTATAAATAGTTTCCCTAATTAAATATCATAAATTAGACTGTTTTATTACTATTATTATTATTATTTCCCCTTCAGGTTCCTTGAACTCTGAATCTACCTGAATCGATTACTGACTAAAGACCTCTAATGGCAGGTAATTCCTTCTAAGAGCCCCATTTATATTAAATATTCCTCTATTATGGCTTCCATAAATTCAAGTGCTAATTATTGTTGGGTAATTAAGTATCAATAATAGGAATAATTAAGCATAAATAACAAAAGATATTCTGCTTTAGGAATTATTCCAAGGCATTAACGATGTTTTACCCATAATATATAATATTTTGTATATATTTAGAATGTTTTTTTAGATAAATAAACTAAAAACAAAGAGCTGTAATATTTGTTTATTTTTTAACTTGGTTTTCTTAATTTAAAAATTAAATTTGTTGAACTATTTTATAGCTGGACTTTAGAAACTTTTTGAATGAAAAAGTATTCCTTTTGCTTCTTTTATTGTTTTTATTAAGATAACTAATTATATTCTTTAAAAATGTATTGTATTTTCTAATCAAGTCAATAATATAATACAATAAACTTTGATAAACTTATCAACATTATTCGAGTTGAAATCTACTCCATTCAGTGCTCACTAAACTAATAATGAAGTTAAACATTTAATTTGTTTAATAAATAAATTATAAAAAATCTTTTTAGATAAATAAATAAACAAACTATCCACTCCAATACTTATTTATAACTCTATAAACCCCAATTTGTTTTATATTTAGCCAAGAACTTGGTTCAATTGAACCAATTCGCAGGCTGAACTTTTGCACCAACACAAACAGGCTCGCACGCCCCATAGGCTAGTCTGCTCTCCTCATAGTAGCCTTATCCTTTCCTCCAAGAGAGTGTGCCAGTGTGTGTGTGTGGCTCAAAGTGTTATATTGACATTTGGCTACATAATGATTTATGCTGCTGCAGGAGAAGCAGAGGAGCAGCTCGAGCGAACGAGAAGCGATCTCTGGCTCCTTGTAATTCCTGCTGCTATTTTTAGGGGCAATGGCCATAATTTATTTTTATTTACGGAAAAGGAAGAGCACAAGGAAAGCCACACACACACACTCACAAAAACACTCATCTATTGATGGATTTTTTTTTGTAAGGGGGCAGGGGGCAAGCGAAGGGCAAACGCTGGAAAGCATGCTACGATTTTTGTGGCGGAATCTCGCTGGGCTTCGAGGGGGTTTCAGCAGGGTTTTTGGGGGCTAAGGACTAACGTGTTCGTGTATACAACTAGTTAAATAAATTTACACTTGACCCACCTTTTTATATCCACCGCTATATATGTATATATAGCTTTTTTTATATACTATTTCTGTGTGACTCCCAAATGCGCGGCACGTTTCTCCGTTTCTCTAGCAAAAATCTTTCGAAAATGGCTCGTTTTTTATTTTATTTATTTTTATATGTGTTGCACATGTGTGTGTGTGTGTGTGTGTCTGTGGCAGTGTGTGTGTATGGTGTGTGTGTGTGTGTGTGGTGTTGGTGTGAGTGGATGGCGGGTGGCAATGCCAGTTCATTCATGGACCAAAATCTGCTCGATGTGTGTGTGTGCAAAGCAGGAAGCTGGCATTTTTTATTTGCGATTTCCTGATTTTATTTTATATTTTCAACTCGCCGATTTCCGTATTTATTGAGTTTTTTGTTGAGCATTTTTGCACTTGATTTGATTTTTTCGTAGTATTTACAAGCTTTCTTTAGGTGTTTTTTTCTTCTTATTTTATATTAACTCCGCGGCGCAGCAAACAACAATTTTCACACATTTTCACACACACACTCGCACGAAAATCATTGCTCAGTATGCACGACGGCTTTCCACGGGCTTTTCATTTTCCCAAACGCCAACCCGCGCCGCCTCGCCTTGCCATTTGGGCCATGCTGCCTTTTCCGACTTTTCCTGCTTTACTTTTGCTGCCTTTTCTACTGCCTTTCAGCATTGGCTTCTAAGAACTTTTCTTTGGGGCTGGAGGGGGCGATCGTTTCTATATATATTTGATATATATTTCTTTATAATGCAAAACAGCAAAACGGAACAAACGTCAAACCAAACTGAGTCTGAAACACACGCTGTTTTCTATCGCAAAAAACGCGAACCGACTGCCACGAAAGCCAGCAAACGACTGAGCCCCAAAAGCCCCAAAAAAGAGAGAGAGAGATGTTAATGGAGAACTCTCAGAGAGAAAGAGAGAGAGTAGGTAGGGGAAACTGAGAAATTGAGAAAGCTGCGTGCACATCCTTTGCAGAGGCGTTAAATGTTCCCGGAACCAGCTCAGAGGAGCCAATGAAAGTCATTCGAGATATGATGGAAATACACTGAGAAAAGGGATATATTTATAAAAATCCCTTTTAGCATTCACCATTTTATATAAATACATTTTATTAAAATTATTTAAGGAATATTTAACCCTAAAATTACTAAGTAGATACTGATGACACTGAAACATTTGCTATTGCTTAATATAATAATATATATAAAATATATAAATTAGGGAAATATTTTTAAAAAATCTAGAAAAGTTTTTTAGAATTACAAAAAAAAAACTCCAAAGTCTATATTTAAAATGTAAAAATTTCAGCATAAGCTTTTTAAGAAAACAAATTATTTATAGAACAAAAAGTTAACAAATCTAGTAAGTCATTTATAGAACCCGCAATCCATATTTATTGAAATAAATTGCCTTAATAATAACAATAATAATAATAATTCTATCAATAATGTACCTGTTTACCATTATTAAATTTTATAGCTTCAAACAAATGCTTTTGATAACGCCCTATGCTCCGTATCAATTTTTATTGCAGTGCACAGCAAAGAGCGGGTCGCTGATAAGCTGGAAAGTAAAACCGAAGCCCCAACGAAGCTCGTCTATTGAGATCAGTTGTGTTTGAAAGACGGAGAGGAGCGAACGTGGCTCTGAAGAATTGAAAATTAATAGAACCAGGAGAGCAAAATATACGAACCATACATACTATATAGTGCAGCTATACTAAATAGAGCTTAGAAGTCGGGGTCTTCTTAATATATATTTCTGGGAAATCGAAACAAAATGGAAAGGTAATTTAAAATCTTTATATATAAATATATATTCCAATTCTCCTATATATTATATTTCCTAGTTTCTGGCAAGAGTTGAAATCGCTATTGAAGACCCTGCTCTGCTTTGTGGTGGCTTTGATGCTGGTGCCTTTGCTGCTCTTATCGTTTCTGTGTAAGTGATCGATCCCCAGCAGTGATCGATGATCAATGATCGATCGGTGATCATCGATCCGCGACACGCGCTGTGCCTCACTGATAAGCCACATAAATCAAGAACTTCAAAAGGGGCCGGCTATATAAATATAAATATAATCGAGGCATGGGTTGATTAACCATTAAAAAGGATCAGAGGTTTATAGAGAGATCTTTAGAGAGAGATAGAACGAGAGAAGAGAGAGAGAGAGGTTAGGAGAGAGTGAAAGAAAGAGAGAGTGAGTGAGATAAGGCTTTTGTTTATAAATAATAGATTACCTGTTGCACCTTTGCGGAACCCAGACGAGCGGCCAGGCGAACCTTGACCAACTGAATTACTCATAAAATTTTGCCATTGATAAGCCGGCTCTTCGATGCTTGATACCGGGTAATCGCCTTGGTATAAGGGCATATGAGCTTCTATCTGGTTTTTTGTGTTCAATTTTTATATGTTAATCGTGCGTAGATTAAATAATTTTGGCAGACTCATGCCTTTCTCAATAAGGTTTTTATTAATCTTATATACTATGAACTTTAGTTTTACGTTTTCTGTACAATTTAAAATTAAATATAAAAAGGATTTTTTTCTTTTTTTAATTATTTTAATATTACAACTCAAGGGGAAAACAATGTTTCATTAAAATAATATTTTTTTATGGTTTCTAAAACAATTAGAGGGCATTTTATCTTCGATCCAACTATCCTTTTTTATATTATAACCTTTTAACTTGGTCTGCTTTTCTTTTACTCATTATATTTAGTATTAATTATTATTAAAAATATGATCTATTTAATATTTGTTCTTCCAGGCGCCCACCTTGGCAACGAACTATCCAACTATGTGCTTAGCATCAAGTATCCCAACCTCACCATCTCAAAGTCCAACAAGATCCGGACTTTAATCGACACGCCAAAGAATGCGGGCATCTTTCATTTTCTGCTCCAAGTGGAGGGCAATTGTGATTTCGAGAGGATCAAGCGTTCATATGCCCAATATCTGACGGATCTGAGAGATAAAACGGGAATGCTAAGGTTTCCCAAATTGCGACAAAAGCTGGTGACTTGCTGGGGACACTACGCTTGGGTTAATGATAATAGGTGAGTTTTTAGAGGAGTATGTAAATTTTTTAATATTTTTATACTTCTATATACTTCCTTATTCCTCCCCGTTATAGTGGCTTCAATATCAACAACCATGTCCTGCTCAGCACCCACAAATACCGCGGCCGTCCCGTCACTGAATCGAATATCCAAGACTATGTCAGCGAACTGGCCACCAAGTACATACCCTCGGACCTACCCCAGTGGCAGGTGATCGTCATACCCAACTCGGACAGCACTCAGCCGTATTACATACTCATAAAGCTGCATCATCTGATAATTGCCGAAGAGGAGGATCTGCATGTGAGTGAAATGCTGCTACTACAGGATCCTCACAAGAAACACCTGATGACCCTCAGTGATGGCTTGGAGCAGAGAAGCTCGAATCAGAAGCAACTCTCCCATTTTGTGCGGAAACCGGAGCACATTAGTCGTCTGATGAATCACTTGGTGCATCTGGTGATCTGTCGCTGGCAAAAGTTCATCTACGAATTTGATTCCCTGGAGACACCCGATGGTGCCTCGTCTGCGGTTCAAGTGAGGAATCTCAGTCAGTTGGCCTCTTTGGTCCTGATAATCCTGGTCAATGTGTTTCTGGGCTATTGGAGGAGTCGTTCGGTGTTGCAGAAACTCAAAAGGCGTTCGGTCACCTATAGAAATGAAGTGGGTCGCTTTCAAACTGTTAGATTATTACTAAACAGAGAACTAGAGCAAAGAAATCTCAGCTGGTTGGTGGCCAGAAATGCCATATACAACAGCTTACAGCCCACTAACTTGGCCAAGGTTTGGACTCGGTTTCTGTGGCGGTTAAATCTCAATCATGTTTTGCTTTTACCCTATCACTTTTATTGCGAAATTCTGGCCTTTACTGATGTCCTGATCAAGGGTCAAACTTCTTACTCCTCGACTTACTGTGCCAGACTTCATTTATATGTGCCCCTCTTGCTCTATGCCCAACTGGAGTTCTTCAAGATCTGTTGGGAGCTCTTCAAGGCTCCAAGAAATATCTATGAGGTGCTCTTTGAACAGCCCACCAAGGAGTTGAATATCCTACACAAAAAGTCCTATTCAGGCAGAAAAATAGTCTCCTTTAGCAGGTCTCTAAGTGGAGCCCAACTCAGGCTGCGAAATAAGGATAAATTCAATAAGGATCTCAGGGAATCTGACTTTAGTTTGACTTGCCTAGCTGGCGCTGTTCATGATTACTTAGACACCTTCTCGGGGGATATGCAGGTTCCAAGATACCTTAATACCACCTGCAGGACCATAGACAAGGGATATTTCACAGACAGAGTGGGGGATAAGTCGAAGAATATTGGTGGTGTGGTCTTTTTGCAATTACCTTTGAGGGAACCCGATGCAGATCACACCAAAGAACTCCACGATGTTGTGGAGAGAATCAGGAATCAGCAGATCATGATATATTTGGCTTCAATAGGTCAGACCAAGTTTAGTCTTCTGACTTCCTTGATACCTCATGTTCTCACCAAAATCTTTATAAACTTTTTCTCATACAATTTCCCCATTACCATCACCGAGATTTATGGAGCCACTGATGAGTTCCAATCGGCTTGGGGTCAAAAAGTTCAGGATGTCCTTCTTTTCCGGCCACCACAATCCAAAACTTGCCTTTCCTTGAATCTCCATCGCTTTGGGGACAAATACCGCTTGGCTGTAATGGCGGATACTCACCTGGCCCCGGATCACACGACCATCACGAGGTCTTTTGAACGTTATATGGAAACAATCACTCTGTGAATGGGTTTCTAGGAGAAAGGGGAGTCCATATTTATCATGTAAAAATTTTTAAAAATATATATAATAAAAACTATTTATCCAAGTCTCTCTACTTTGAGTCTATAATCCAGTATTCTGGTTGATATATGTCCTACGAGAAACCTAAAACTCGTATCTCTCTTCAAAATAATTCTCATCTGGCTCCATGGAAAAGCAAAATAAATATCGTGGCGAGCTGCGAGAACATTTCTTAGCAACCAGAAATGAAGTAAGTCTCCTGAATAACCAACTAACTTGATCTTTGATCCTTAACCATTATTTAAAAAGCCTAAAAGAGACAAGAATGGGCATCGTATACCCATGGATGAGGATCGTCCTTATAGAGAGAGATTCCATTATATGGAAAACTCCAACCAATGCTCTACTCACACATTTTTAATGGATGCAAGGGACAATAGCATTGAGAATTTAAAATGTCCTTCGGGTAGGTGTGTACATCCTCAATATGATGCTCGAGACTATCGGGCTCCTCCGGAACCGGCTCCGGCTCCTGCTAAATTATCAAGGAATTATGACAATGACCATCAATACCATCACCAGCAGCATCCGGTAAATATGAAAGAGATTTTCAGAGGGGGAGGGAACTTGTTGAAAGGAAGAGAAGAGCTTTCTTTCAATATCCTTTTTAACCGTTCTTTAGTGACCTTTTAGCGACCTCAATTCTCGACCTTAAGTAACTACCTTAACCCTCAGAATCATTGTAATTGCAAAAATTCAAGGAAACCAAGTCATAACACTCGTAATCCCCACCGAGATACTGAGCCTGAAAGAGCCGAAGGCGGTGCCGATTGCCTTGTCTACAAAAACCCAGGCTACCGCGAACCCACATCCGATCGAGCCGAAGATGACCTACAGGACCCAGTGCCTGTCTATGAATATAACCACAAGCAGTACCAGGTGAAGGATCCCCCTCATAAGGACTACGAGAAGGCTCGATCTCACTGCGCCGCCACGGATAAGTTATTCCGTCACAAGTATGGCTTCCTCAGCGACGATTCAGGCACCTCCAAGAAATCGAAACCCTCACAGAATACAGTTATCAGCGCCAAGAGTGGCAAGGATATTAGATCCCTAATTCGTTCGCAAATCCATTTGCAACAGGCATTGGATCACTCCCTGACGCATGTAGATCGCGGGACACCTCCAAGGGAAGTTTACCTTGGAGATGATAAGAAGGAGAATGACAAGATGTCAGGACTAGAAAAAGTGACTTCACCAACTATGAATAAGCTGAGGACTCCCAAACGACTGCCTGAAGATATAGATATGGTTATTACAGAACCCGAACTGGACAAGTTTAGCCCCATAGATCCCAAGTCAGATATGTTTAGTGTGAGTGCCGATGATGTCGTCAGCTCCAGAGTTATTGACCCGATGATAAGGAAAATCCAAAAAATGTATCTAAACACTCTCAGGGAGGAGATGAGCATCATGGAGTACCTGGGGAAGGTGCCCCGAATGGTCAGTGATGTTTACCGAGGGGCCGCTGGGAGGGATAATCGAAAGTCCTCAGATTTTAAATAACTCGATTTATTTTTTCAATTGAGAATTATATATATTTTATAAAAAAGAAGTTTATTCTTGTAGGAACCAAGAAAATAACGTAATATTTCGGTTTTTAAGAGATGTATCATTTATTTTTGAAAATTATTTACTGAGGAAATATGTATACAAAATAATATGTCTTTAAAACAATGTTGGTAAATTTAAAAATTAATTAAATAATAAATAATAAAAAATAAAAATATTTAATTAGAGCAATCAGAAAACAACGGTATTATTTATGTACTTCATGATCCTTTATGTACTTAGCTATTATTTAAAAAGAAAATATATTAAAGTTTAAATAAAAAAAAACAACAAATTCAAAATTAACTTAAATTAACTGCCAAATTCGCGTGACCTTACTCGTTAAAAATAAAATACTAAAATGCCACAACGCCCAGCCATCATCTACGACGGTATTTCCAGACGCCCCGCAAACGGTCACACTGCGCGAATGGACAAAAATTAGAACAAAAAAAAGAGGCGAATTCGCGAATTGATGAAAACGCCGCTGCGGAAATTTTGCCAGCCGAATGAACACCCACACGCCGGAGCGAGCGGGTGATTTGCAAACGGAGGAGCGTAAGATAAACGGCACGGCGGCTAGCTGAGAGGCGTCACGTAGACGGTGCGACTCTGATCGATATATTCAACACAAGCGCACCCACACACACACACACGTACACACATACAGACTCGGGCGCGTACGCACACGCACACATGGAGAACACTCGAGGAGGAGGTGGCGAAAATAACGTAGAATCAGCCACCGGCGGGGCTGATTTGGCCAAGGAAACGGCAGCGGAGGAGGTGCAAAAGTTGACGACCAGCCATGTGGAGGGAATGGAGCCCGCAATAGGGGTAAATAACAACAAGAATAAGGCAGAGGCGGCGGAATCGGCAACGGCGGTTCTTCTTGTGGTGGAAAACAACAACGCAAATGCCCGCGGAAATGTCAGTGCTGCAGAAACAACAACAACACCAAAAGCAAATACAGAGGAAGCAGCAGCAAGCAACAACAATAATGCATTACCAATACAACAACAACAGCAGCAGTCAGGCGATGGGAATGCAATTACACCTACAACAATAGAAGAAGAAGCAGCAGCAGTAAAGGCAAAAACAAATACAGAAGGGGACGAGGCAACAACAAAAACCACTGCGACAGCGGCAGAGAAAGAAGCAACATCAAAAACAGACGAGAAGACAGGTAAAGTAGAAAAGCAAAGAATTTCGCAGAAAACAAATCCAATGCCAACTAATGTAACCTCTCATTTCCCCGAAACCCCCCCGCCCACGCACACCCACAGAAGAGCGCAATCACAAGAAGAAGAAGAAAGATAAGGAGCGCGAGCGAGATGAAGATAAGCATCGGCGCAGCAGCGCCACTAGTAACCACAACAACAGTAGTAGCAGCAGCAGCAAGGATCGGGATAGAGAGCGTGAACGCGAAAGGGAGCGCAACCGGGAAGGCAGCAATCGGGAGAGCAGCTCCAAGTCCTCCAAAGAGAGCGATCACAAGTCCAGTTCCTCGCGCAGCAAGGACAAGAAGTATCATCGCAGCGACCGCGACAGGGAAAGGGAGAAGGAACGAGAGCGCGATCGGGAAAAGGTGAGTGGGACAAAGAGCCAAACTAAGGAATACTTCCAGGCTGGAAGTTTATTGAGCCTAGGCTTTGAAATACTTCCATGCTGGAAGTTTATTTAGAGTTTCTTCGATTTCACTTAGTTTTCGCTGGAAAAAACGTGTCAGAAAGATTGGTAAACATTCATTCTAGAATCTTTTCACTCATATTCTCATCCACGTCAGATAAAATCTTAAGTTTTCCTTGAAATTGGGGTAAACAAAAATATGTAACTATGATATCACCCGCTTGGAATATTTGTACATTATGAATCATGTTTCTTTGCTATCATAGCAGAGTAAAAACTGTTTGGAATAAGTTCCAATGATTTAGTTTCCACAGTTTTCAATAGAAAATTCCTCTACAAAATGTAAAAAAGGGGTTTTTGAGCAAAATATTAGGCTTCTTGAATATTCGCTGTAATATCTCATTATTATCTTAAAATGTATAAAAACCTAACATAAAGTTATAACAATTGTTCTTATTTCTACCCACAGATTCCCTCCTCATCGTCCAGCTCCTCGTCACACTCGCATCGCCGCCGCAGCTCCGACAGCAGCCGTAGCAGTCAAAACAGCTCCTCCAAGTCCAAGGATGCGGCAACGGAAAACAACCTTAGCCAAGCGGTCACAGCTGCCCTTGAGCAGCAAATTAAAGTAGAGGAAAGCATCAAAAAGGAACCAGTGGAAGTTAAACCAGAGCCGGAAGCGGTAGCCCCCTTACCTGTACTTAGCAACAGCATCAAAACAGAAGCGGAAATCAAAAAGGAGGAAAAGGAAATAAAACCTCTGCTAAATGGCGAGGCAACGGGGAAAAGCCGCGAAGAGGTTACCCGACAGCTCAACTTTGGGGACAAGAGCAGCGTCAACTCCAAGCTGATGCCATCGCCAGCACCGAAAACCAACTCCTCGGGCTCGAACTCCGCCACAACCAACAATCATTCCTCCAGCAATCGCAAGACCTACACATCTTCGTCCTCATCCTCTAGCAACCATCACAAGGGTTCATCCTCTTCGTCGTCCTCATCGTCTCGTCACTCTTCCTCCTCATCATCCTCGTCGCGGGACTGCTCCAAGTGCTACAAACGCTCCAAGATTCGACGTTCCAGCATGGGTGTACAGTGCCTGCAGCATGCTCCTGTCCCCGGGCCCTGGCAAACGGTGCAGAGTCTACCGCCCAAGCCCAACCGACAGCCACCAGTTGGCTTGGAGAACCTCAAGTATGGCTGTTACTTCCAGGTGGAACAGTATCCCAATGGCGGAGCGTCCATTGTGCATCTGTATCAGCACGAGATTGATGCCCTGCCGCCCGAGGAAATGGAGGAACTGGTGGATGAGTTCTTTGGGGTTTGCTTCGCGGAGGATGAGCAGGGTTATGCCCATCATGTGATGGGCATAGTTCACGATGCGGCGCGCTATCTGCCCGATCTGCTGGAGCACATGGCCGAGAACTACTCGACGCTTACGGTGAAGGCGGGTGTGCTGGGCAGGAATTCGGATATTGAGACCTGTACGATGTCGCAGTATAATGAACAGGTGAGGGATCTTTAAGGATCTTTAAGAAATCTTTGTTATTGATCTTTCATTTCTCTTCCTCCTTTTAGGTTGTTCGCAATTATTGCCAGGGAACCTTTCGCTATGGACCTCTACATCAGATCAGTCTCGTTGGCAAGGTCCATGAGGAGGTTGGCGGCTATTTTCCTGATCTTTTGCGACGCATTGAAATGAATCCGTTTCTAAGAAAGGTAAGTGGATAATAGTATTATTTGTTAAGATAAAATTCAATATTTCTTGACTTTTTATTTAGACAATGCCTTGGGCTTGTAATTCCATACTGCAAACGGATCCTCGCCAGAGTAACGATGGACCCATCCTATGGATACGCGCTGGCGAGCAGCTAGTGCCCACAGCAGAGCTAAACAGCAAGACGCCGCTCAAGAGGCAGAGGTTAGTTCTCTAAAATTAATATAGAAATATCTTTATTAATCTCAACAAATCTCCCTTAGAACCCGCATCAATGAGCTGCGCAACCTTCAGTATCTGCCCCGTTTATCGGAGGCTCGTGAGACCATGATCGAGGATCGCACCAAGGCGCATGCAGATCATGTGGGACATGGCCACGAAAGGATCACCACCGCTGCAGTTGGTGAGCCCACATTTACCTCAATTTCCTTCTTTACAATGTACTAACTTTCCAACTACTCCTCCAGGCATCCTTAAGGCCGTTCACTGCGGTCAAACCTACAACCAAAACCGCATCACCAAGGATGTGGTGGCCTTTGCCGCTCAGGACTTTAATCAGATGGTGGAGATGCTGCAGCTGGACCTGCACGAACCCCCCATCTCGCAGTGCGTGCAGTGGATCGAGGACGCCAAGCTCAATCAGTTGCGGCGCGAAGGCGTTCGCTATGCTCGCATCCAGTTGTGCGACAATGACATTTACTTCCTGCCCCGCAACATTATCCATCAGTTTCGCACGGTGACGGCCGTGACGAGCGTAGCCTGGCATCTACGCCTGCGACAGTATTACCCGGGCCAGGAGGTCATCAATGAGCGGAACAATCCCGTGCTGGCCGAGACGCCGCACTACAAGGAGAAGCAAACGATATTGCCGAATCCGATTGGACACGATGAGGGTGGCTGTGGGGGCGTGGGCAAGAAGACGCCCTCGAAGCGGACGCACGATGGCAAGGCCAAGAAGAAGCTGATTGATCTCGAGCCGGGCAAGGAGCGGCGTTCCAGTGAGAGCAGCCTAGATGAGCAGCCGTCATCCTCGCCCAGTCAGAATCAGGAGAGTAGCGGAAGTGGGAGTGTCAGTGCCGCTAGTTCGCCCAAAAAGAAGCCGGGTAAGGATGACTCCAAGATAGATATGAGGAAGATGGTGCTGGAGCACAAGTACAAGCTGACTAAGGCGGCGGCAGTTCTGGGCAGCCATGAGAGCAAGGAGAAGCCTAAGAAGGATAAGTCAAGGGAGAAGGAAAAGGAGGAGAAGGAGAAGGTCAAGGATAAGGAGAAGGATAAAGAAAAGGAGAAGGATAAGGAAAGAGAGAAGGATAAGGAAAGAGAGAAGGATAAGGAAAGGGAGAAGGATAAGGAAAAGAAGGACAAAGATAAAGAAAAGGAGAAAAAGGATAAGGAAAAGGACTCGGAGAAGGATAAGAGAAGCGACCACACGACCAAGAAGCATCCTGCAACGCCAGCCAAGACCTCAACCCTAAGTGCACCTTCGCCGGCCAAGATGCCACGCCTAAATAATGAAGCAGCTCCTTCAATACCCACTCCCATCCCCACGCCCACCCCTCTTCCAACTCCCATACCCACTCCTGCCTCCTCCATACCCTCCACACCGCCTTCGATCTTGTCCGGACTGCCACCGCCACTTGTGCCTCAGACACCGCCCTTCATTCATCATCATCGCTTGAACCAAAAGGAGCCGGAGATCAAGATCCAAGTGAAGATTGTGTCGGATAGCAAAAGCAGTGATAATAGTAGTACCTCCAGTGCAACAGCTCCGTCTCCTGCTCCTGCTCCTCCTCCACCGCCACCTCCTGAACCCGAACCCGAGCCCGTGGACAATGTGGGCAACGAGCTAATTGTGGAGAGCACACCAGAGCTGGACGAAGCGGAGGTGCCAGAGGTATGTGCCGAGGAGGAGATTGTGGAAATGGATATACCCATACCCAAGGAACCGCCGTCGCTGACTCCCAGGGAAGTCACCTCCATGTCTGTGTCAGTAATTCGCCAACCAGGAGGAGCAGCACCCCCAGCAACTCCTCTTAATATTCCCCCGCCGCCTTCAAACGCTGCTCCTCAAATTGTCAAGGTCGTACTGCCCGCCTCCCTCACTTGTCCGAACATCACCCGCATGTCTGTGATGTTGCCACCCCTGCCACCCTTGCCGCCTTCAAGATCTACGGCACCGCCGCCTCCACCGCCGCCACCGAGCAGCAGCACAACCAGCAGCTCCTCCCCCCTGAAACCCACCTACAAGACCTTCAGCCTGCCCTCGCACAAAATCATCATAGCTGGCGGCAATCGGGTGGCCATGAATAAAGGAGCTAGCAAAACGCCAGTGGATCTGCTGGGCTCCATAATGGCCAGCATGGACAAGCCGGGAGCGGGTGGCAGTAACTCCTCAGCCAACACATCGACGCAATCCTCGGCCACAACGAATAATAGTTCGCTCTCCTCCTACGCCAACTCCAACAATAGTTACTAAGCAAAAAACAACTAAAATGGAGCAGGCAAGGAGGAAAAGCAGCAGAGTAGAGGCTTCTCTTTATGGACTTAAAATGTGAAACTATGTATAGCAGGAAAGCCAAAGGAATTGCTGGGGATTTTAAAGATTTAAAGGTAAAACTTTCTCAATTTTCCAGGGATTTCTTTGGCCTTCTTTTTTATATTTTGTAAATTTAATTAAAAGCCTCTCTTCAGGTTTCTGTTTAACGGAAGCTTAGAGAGGTATCATCCTTTAAGGGAGGAAACCCCAAAAAAGGCAGAAGGAGCAAGGAAACTTTAATTATATGTTTCGATTTTCTCCTCCTTCAGCCTTGAGTAGGATCTCCACCCTCCCTAAATTGTATATAGCCAAAAAAAAAAGCTTATTTGTAGACAGACACACACATAAAAACAACCACAAAAACCTATATATTTTATATTACAACAAAAAAAAATACGTAGATTTGTAAGCTCAAAATGCAAGACGACGACGACACTTGATAGAGATGTAGTTTTTTAATTTATTTACAAACACCGCTGGCACTTTTAAGCTACAACAATTGTAATGTTTTTTAAATGCAGCCCAGATAAAGGTTTAAATTTAACTGTTATACGTGTGTATTTATTGTAATGGCACGCACCTTTACTGAATTAAAATATTAAAAAATAAAAAATCCCAGTTTTGATTTCCTTCAATAACAACTTTTTTGAAAAGTGTTTTTGAATGTGCGTAGAACAATATACACACACACACATTTATATTATATATATATAATTATAATTATATATAATTATTGTAGTATAATTATATTTATATATATTATAATTATATATATTTTACCACATAAATATATATATACACCAATATATAACTGTAGAGTTTAAGCCAGCTTACAAACACGTTGATGAAACAATAAAGATTCGGATCGTACAAAAATATAAAGAAAAATATAAGAGTATAACAGTTTTATTTTCTATAAAGTAATACAAAAGATACATTTAAATCGTTTTAAGCTAAGTTTTATCAGATCCAAAAGCCACCAAAAAGACATTGCAAATGGGAAATGTGACACAAATTTTGTCCCAGACAGCCTACAACTTGGAGCGCAGCTCCTCGATTCTACCCTGGGCGGAGCGCTGCAGGTCCATCAGTTTCATGGCAAAGCCCATGTTGCCCTGGATCTTGATCTTGCCCTGGAAGAAGGCCTTCTGCGGCGGCAGCTTGCCAGTGAGCAGCTCAAACACATCCTCGTCGCTGATAATAAATGTGACATCGCACTTTTCTGTAAAAGAAAATCCAGGATAAAGTACATTCAACTTTAAAGGATGCAGTTCCCAACTTACGCGTTCCATTGAAGATGATCTTGCCCTTGCCCTGCTTGGCATCGATGACCCAGTAGCCTGTCTGGCCATTTGGACCATTGTTCACCTTGAAGCCATACACTGCCCTCACCTTCTCGATCAGGTTGTCCTTGTCCTCCTGCATGGCTTGCTCCAGGAGCCTCAGCAGAGGAGCCACCTTGAAGCCCTCCTCGCTTGTGGCCGCTTTTCCTGCGGCAGTCAAGTTACGGACCACATTGTTGGCCGCGGGGAAACCCAGACGATACAGGGCCACCACCACAGCCCCACCCAAGCCCAGGTTGTGCTGCAGCGCCAGCTGAGCTCCCGGCACCTGACGCTTCTCGGCCAGACCTCGCAGCTGCCAGCAGAGCTCAGCGCACTGGGCCAGTCCAGTGGCTCCCAGAGGATGACCCTTGGAGATTAGGCCGCCACTCGGGTTCACCACGAACTTGCCGCCGTAGGTGTTGTCTCCAGCGTCGATGAACTCGCCGGCCTTGCCCTCGCCACACAGCCCCAAAGCTTCGTAAGTCACTAGCTCATTAGCCGAGAAGCAGTCGTGGAGCTCCACAACCTGCACGTCCTGCGGCTTGTAGCCACTCTTGGCGAACAATCGCTGGCTGGCCAGGCGGGTCATATCGGTGCCAGCAATCTTCATGAGGCTCTTGTCAGCAAATGTGGAAGCCGGGTCGCTGGCCATCTCCATGCCCACGATCTCCACGGCCTGCTTCTCCAATCCATGGCGACGCACAAAGGCCTCGGAGGCCAGGATGGCTGCTCCAGAACCATCGGAGGTGGGACAGCACTGCAGCTTGGTCAAGACTCCCTCCACCACCTGCGGGGACTTCATGATCTGCTCCAGAGTGTACTCATCGCGGAACTGCGAGTATCTGCGAGGAGAGAGAAACGGAGACAGATAAAGAGCTGGATCAGCTGCATATGGGAGTGGAGTAACCTAGTCTGCTTATTCAAGCGATAAGATAAGCTCGCTTGCGAGGTGAACTTTCGACTGAAACTTACGGATTATTGACCGAGTGCTTGTGGTTCTTCCAGGCGATCTTGCCGAAGTGCTCGGGCTTGGTGCCGTACTTCTGCATGTGCTCCTTGCCGGCGTTGCCGAAGATCTGGGCAGCCATGGGTCCAGCTCCAATTTCCGTGAGCTCGCCCATCTCCGTGATGTGACGCTCCATGGGGTTAGCTCGGTCAAAGTACTGCAAGGAGGGGAGTTATCTAGGTTATCCAGGCACTGGTGAGGATCTATAAGTACCCACCTTGGAGGACAGCGATCCCCGCTCCATCTTCTCGAAGCCCAGAGCCAGGACACAGTCCGAATTGCCGCTCTCGATGATCTGCTTGGCCAGGTACAGGGCACTCGAACCCGTGGAGCAGTTGTTGTTCACATTGTACACCGGAATGCCGGTCATGCCCACCTCGTATAGCGCCCGCTGGCCGCAGGTGGAGTCGCCGTAGACGTAGCCGGCCACCGCCTGCTGCACCTCCTCGTACTTGATGCCCGCATCCTGCAGAGCCTTGGTGATGGCCTCCTTGGCAAAGTCCGGGTAGCACACATCCGCTCGGCGGCCGGGCTTCTCGAACTGTGGATTTATTGTGGGGTTAATGGCGATAATCAGAGATTAGGGGCACTTCAGGGGGGCCAATGGAGCGATGCTGATAGCCAGAAATACGCCAAAGATAGTGGCAAACATTCAAGAGGAGATTAGCGAGCGAAGTGCAGCGCAGTTCAAAGTCCGCGGCGATTAATAGATGACTTGTTGCTCCATAATTAAAGTTCCTCTTGACAATTGCAAAAGCTCGGCTTTTTCTAAGCCTTTGTTTTGGTCTCCCTTTTCTTGGTCTTTTTCAGGCTAATTACTTGCCTTGGTCATGCCCACACCGACGACGTAAACGCGGTTCTTTGTCATCTTGCAGCTGCAGCGAAATAAGTAATTAAACAATAACTGGTAAGACCGCTTGGGAGCGATTAACTAAGCTAAGTTAGTTTCTTGTTTTTTAGGGAAAACAGCCGCAGCAGTGTGACCAGACCAGGAGCCAGAGCTAAATACCAAACATAATACCAATTATGCAGCGTTCACACTCAATGAAGTAAGCAACTGAGCGCCAATTTTAAAGTGATTTTATATATTTAAGTTTAGAAGTGTAATTAACTATTTATATTACATAAATATATTTTTTTTAAATGTACATCTATTAAATGGTTACATAAATGCGGCTGTTTGACTGCAATTGATTTTAAAATGTACATATTTGTAATTAACCTTTATTTGTTTATCGTCCTGCAGTGAAAGGTTAGCCGGCGCGCCCGATTTAGGGCAGAATGAATAGATATAAAGGTCACAAAGGGGTAAATAGCACTCCGTATGCCTTATTAATTAATTAAACTCTAATATATGGACAGTAATAAAAAATCTATTTGGAAGATAATAAAAGTTTTTGTGAAAATAAAAAAATGTTTAAGTTGTAATTTTCGGTTTCTTAAAGGGTTTTATAATTTTATTTAGTGAAGCAGTCATTTCCGACCCTATAAACCATATATATTCTTGATCAGCATTAGCAGGCGCTTCTTTCTGGCCATGTCCGGAAGAAATTTAATTTTGAGCCACTTTTGCAAAAAAATGAAAGGGGTTACATCATGATTTTTTTCAAAATTTGATCGAAATTTTGATTTTCTAAAATTTTAAATTTTGGATGCAGATTTATTAACATTATAAAAACAAACCCAGAACAGCTTTCCGAATTGAAATTAATGCATTTTTGGCTTAGTTATGATATTTTTAAGCTTTAGTTTCAACAAAAATTACCATATAAAATTTATTTTTTTGTATTATTGTCTTTATATATTATTATTATTTATTGTATGTTGTATTAATTAAATTATTAAAATAATCAGCTTAATAAAACTAGATCGAATAATGTTATGAATTACATTTGGTTAAGTTTTGTGATTTTTAAACTTCAATTTGTTAAAAAAATTATCAAAAATATGAAAAATATCCGTTAACAAATGTTGATATTTTTTTGGGTCTTCTTAAGGTTATTTATATTTTATTTAGTGAAGCAGTCATTTCCGACCCTATAAACCATATATATTCTTGATCAGCATTAGCAGGCGCTTCTTTCTGGCCATGTCCGAAAGAAATTTAATTTTGAGCCATTTTTGCAAAAAAATGAAAGGGGTTACATCATGATTTTTTCCAAATTTTGAGCAAAAATTTGATTTTTTGAAAAATTAAATTTAGTATGCAAATTTGTTAACCTATGAAAAACTAGCTTAGAAAACCATTCTGAATTGAAATTGATGCTTTTTTGGCTAAGTTATGCAGTTTTTAAAGTTCGATTGGCTTAAAAAATTACCTTAAAAAATATGGAAAATATACATTTAAAGAATTTAGATATTTCCGGTTTTACTGAAGGGTATTTTTATTTTATTACGCTATATGATATACAAACTCACCTCTTATTTTTTAGCTTCTCCAAAACTAATAAAACAATTTGGAATTGAACTATTTATTATTAAATTGGTTTTATTAACATTTATATTATATTATCTTTATTATACATATATGTTTTGTATATAAAATATACATATACTAATGCAATCTTTTGTTCACATTGAAAAACATATTTTGCTAGCAAAAAACATACAGTTTTTACCGCCAAAGCGCCACATCTTATCTTATCAGAATTATACGGCTACATAGTACATATATAATCTCGCCACCGGCTCGACTTCGCCTCATTCGATATAGAAAGTTCCGTCCGATTGGAGATCCCGCAGAACCAGCAACATGACCAAGACCAGAGTTTACGTTATCGGCGTTGGCATGACCAAGGTTCGTCTGCCGAAGATTGACCTTTGTGCCGCGAAGTCTATCTATCCGTTCTCCCCTTCCAGTTCGAGAAGCCCGGCCGCCGAGCGGATGTGTGCTACCCGGACTTTGCCAAGGAGGCCATCACCAAGGCACTGCAGGATGCGGGCATCAAGTACGAGGAGGTGCAGCAGGCGGTGGCCGGCTACGTCTATGGAGACTCCACCTGCGGCCAGCGGGCGGTCTACGAGGTGGGCATGACCGGCATTCCGGTGTACAATGTGAACAACAACTGCTCCACGGGATCGAGTGCCCTGTACTTGGCCAAGCAGATCATCGAGAGCGGCAACTCGGACTGTGTCCTGGCTCTGGGCTTCGAGAAGATGGAGCGGGGATCGCTGTCCTCCAAGGTGAGTACTTATAGATCCTCATCAGTGCCTGGATAACCTAGATAACTCCCCTCTCCTTGCAGTACTTTGACCGAGCTAACCCCATGGAGCGTCACATCACGGAGATGGGCGAGCTCACGGAGATTGGAGCCGGACCCATGGCTGCCCAGATCTTCGGCAACGCCGGCAAGGAGCACATGCAGAAGTACGGCACCAAGCCCGAGCACTTTGGCAAGATCGCCTGGAAGAACCACAAGCACTCGGTCAATAATCCGTAAGTTTCAGTCGAAAGTTCACCTCGCAAGCGAGCTTATCTTATCGCTTGAATAAGCAGACTAGGTTACTCCACTCCCATATGCAGCTGATCCAGCTCTTTATCTGTCTTCGTTTCTCTCTCCTGGCAGCTACTCGCAGTTCCGCGATGAGTACACTCTGGAGCAGATCATGAAGTCCCCGCAGGTGGTGGAGGGTGTGCTGACCAAGCTGCAGTGCTGTCCCACTTCCGATGGCTCGGGAGCAGCCATCCTGGCCTCCGAGGCCTTTGTGCGCCGCCATGGATTGGAGAAGCAGGCCGTGGAGATCGTGGGCATGGAGATGGCCAGCGATCCGGCTTCCACCTTCGCTGACAAGAGCCTCATGAAGATTGCTGGCACCGATATGACCCGCCTGGCCAGCCAGCGGTTGTTCGCTAAGAGCGGCTACAAGCCCCAGGACGTGCAGGTGGTGGAGCTCCACGACTGCTTCTCGGCCAACGAGCTGGTGACCTACGAGGCCCTGGGGCTGTGCGGCGAGGGCAAGGCCGGCGAGTTCATCGACGCTGGAGACAACACCTACGGCGGCAAGTTCGTGGTGAACCCAAGTGGCGGCCTCATCTCCAAGGGTCATCCTCTGGGAGCCACTGGACTGGCCCAGTGTGCCGAGCTCTGCTGGCAGCTGCGAGGTCTGGCCGAGAAGCGTCAGGTGCCGGGAGCTCAGCTGGCGCTGCAGCACAACCTGGGCTTGGGTGGAGCTGTGGTGGTGGCCCTGTATCGCTTGGGCTTCCCTGGTGCCTCCAAGGCCAAGTTGTAAGGGGTGGGTTTTAATTTTCTGTAAATATTTTGTAATACAAGTAAAGTTCTTTTTTATGTATTTAATAATGATAATTTTTTAATTATTTATTATTATAAAAGTGGTTTGGGATTATCAAATCCGCTTGTGCTTTATCTTGGTTGCTCCTCCATTGTGACTACTCCTACAAAGACGCCTCAAACCCATTATTGCCAACACTGGAAGCAGCAGGAGGAGAGCCACCACTAGGTACACATCCAAGGAGTGATAGACAAAGCGCGAGAGATGCACAGCACTGGGCTGAATCAGAGGAGCACCTCGAGTCTCCGCCACATGCTCCACCCACCAGATGGCCGTCTCCAAGGGCGTCTGTATGCGACTATTGTAAGTCGAGGCCACCTCCTTGGCTCTCACTTTGAAAGTGGGATCCAAAGCCTTGGTAACAGCTTCATAAAGAGATTCCTCATCCAGCTTCTTGAAACCTAACTGCACGGCCATTCCTCGCTGCACCAAAGCTGCTATATTCAAGGATTGATCACCATAGACGGGCACTCCAACAATGGGCACACCGCTGGCCACTGCCTCTGTGGTGCCCATAAGACCGCCATGGGATATGAAAACCCTGACATTGGGGTGAGCCAGGATATCCCGCTGTGGCAGCCACTTTCTGATGTGCACATTCCCTGGCTTATTCGGCATCGTGTCGTTCTCCCACTTCAGGATCACCTGCTGCTCCAGTCGCCCCAAAGCACGGATAATGCCAATTCTTCTTGATTCAGAGAGGGAGCTCAGCCTTAGCTGAGACCCAAAGCTGAAGAGGATCACGCCTTTAGGGGCATTGTCCAGCAGCTGTTGGAGATCCTTAGGCAGAGGCTTGGGTGGGGTTATGTGCACACCGCCCACTTCAATTACATTAGGAGGCAGTGGCTTGGGTCCACTGAGAGAATAGTGTTGGTTAATCAACATTAGGGAGGTGTTGCGCACCAATTCCTCGGTGGAGGGCAGGCCAGAACCGAATCTCTGACGGATTAAGGCATTGCCAGCAGGAACATTGAGGGTTCTAGGGGAGGATCAATGAATTATTTGTTAACTTCAAGTTGATTTTTCAGCAGCAACTCACTTGTAAAGCAAATTCATGGAGTGTACAGTAAACCAGTTGGCCAATCTCCCAGGCAGGCTCATCTCCTGGGACTTTCCCTGGAACAGAGCCGATATATAAGAGGGTATCAGTGGGACACCAAATCTCTCATAGTGCCAGGGAGCCAAGGCACAACTGGCCATGGCTATAACCGGTGTTTGGAGCACATGGGACACGCTCATCAGGCAATCCGTATTGAAATGCTCCATCAAGATCACATCATAGTAGCCAGGAGGATGCTTGAGGATCTCCTCCAGAGCCTGACTGTTTAGCGTGGTATTGCAGGCCTCCTTGCCCATTTTGTACAGGATGAAGAACTCCACGTAGTGGGCAAGGAAGCTTAAAGGGTGTTCAAAGTCCTAAGAGAGAAGAGGTTTTTAGAAATAAATCAAAAATAAATTATAAATAAATATAAATAAATATAGAGCAGTTACCTCCAGGTGAATGGCATCTGTTAGAGAGGCTGGCGGCAACTGGTAATCCTTGTAGCCCTTGGGCGGCTCCTCATCCCTAAAGGGACTGATGACATCCACATGGTGACCCGCCTCGGCCAGGCCGCGCACTATGGGTTGGAAGAACTTGAAGTGACTCATGGCTGGGTGCGGGAACATGCCCAGGATGTTCAGGGAATGGCTGGAAACCACCAGCAGGGTGAGGAGTAGGAAGAGAGCTAGGAAGAACTTCATCTTAAGGCTGAAAAATAGTACAGAGAAGAGGAGGTAGGTCAAGTTCAAAGTTGCATCAGTTTGACAAGCCTTTATAAAGTATTTATTATATTTATATAACCCCTTTTAATCTCTGCACTTCTATAATTAACTACTACTTTTTTCCAATCTTTTTATTTAGAAAATAGAAAACACAAAACAAATATTCACCGGCGCTTTGTGCGAGAGAGATCCCAAACGGTCGGTAGAAGATCATCAACTGAGCACCGGTCAGAGCTCGTTTTCGCTGTCAGCAAATAAACATAAAATATACTCGGGAATAGAGATGTATAAATGTTTGTTTGTATATATTTACAAACAGAACTATCACGAATTACGTTGACAGCTGAGCGAAGAGAGGAGAACAAAACTCTCTTCGCTGTAACCTAGCTTCTCTTTTAATTACTTTCCATAGATCAGGGCTCATGGAAATATTCATGAAATCCAGAGAATCTCAGGTAACAGAGACACCTTTCTGGTGAAAGTGCCATAAGTGAAATTTTTCATTGTTTAATTAATTATAGAGAAGCTAAAAACATGTAATAAAAGGTGAATATGTATATGATATAGCGTAATAAAATCAAAATACCCTTCACGAAAACCGGAAATATTTAAACTCTTTAAATGTATATTTTCCATATTTTTTAAGGTAATTTTTTAAGCCAATCGAACTTTAAAAACTGCATAACTTAGCCAAAAAAAGCATAAATTTCAATTCGGAATGGTTTTCTAAGCTAGTTTTTCATAGGTTAACAAATTTGCATACTAAATTTAATTTTTCAAAAAATCAAATTTTTGCTCAAAATTTGGAAAAAATCATGATGTAACCCCTTTCATTTTTTTGCAAAAATGGCTCAAAATTAAATTTCTTCCGGACATGGCCAGAAAGAAGCGCCTGTTAATGCTGATCAAGAATATATATAGTTTATAGGGTCGGAAATGACTGCTTCACTAAATAAAATAAAAATAACCTTTTAGAAAACCGAAAATTACGACTTAAAAATTTTTTTATTTTCACAAAAACTTTTATTATCTTTTAAATATATTTTATATTATTGTCCATATATTAAAGTTTAATTAATTAATTAAATGTTTGGCTTTACAGTTTAGCCTAAAAATGGGCTAAAGAATTTATAAAAATATATTTTAATTTAAAGAAAAGTTTAATTTTAAAATGTCTGAAATTATGCAACAAATTTTTAGTCAAACATTCTAAAAAAAAAGGAAAACAAAGCAACACCAAATGCTATTTTTAGAAACATAAATTTCTATTTCTCCCACAAACAATTTTAGAAAAATTAAAACTATAATTTACATACAGGATTTAACATAATATACATATTTAATTTTGGCGGCACTAAAATCTACAAGTCCCTGTTCGGAGGTGGAGGTCCTTTACACCTAAAAGTCTCTTACATACACAACATATATAAAATATCACATACACCACAGACACTACGAACTGAGATTAGGAACAGGCTTCATCCTCCTCAATCCCTCTTTGTCTTTCCGGTGGCTGCTGAGCCGCAGCAGCGTCGGATGAGCCACACCCAACTGGCAATGATGGTGCCCAGAGTAACAGCCAGGATTGCATAGCAATCTAAAGAGTAGTACACAAATCGGGACAAGTGGACGGCACTGGGTTTCAGTAGGGGTGCTCCGCCAGTGTGAGCCACATGCTCCACCCACCACAAGGCCGTTTGCAAAGCCTGCTGAGGTCGGTGATTGTACGAATGGGAAACCAATTTGGCGGCATCGTAGTACCTAGGGGAATATTAAGGGAAATATATTTATTAATTTCAGGAAATTTTGGTAAGTTTTCAAGTGTTTTCTTAAGAGATTTTAATCCTTAAAATAGGAAAAAAAAAATGGTTTTTATGTATATTTTACTTATTAACAAAATTTAATTAGGTTTAAAATAAATAAGGGTTTGATTTTAAGTATTTTCTTATAAGATTTATAATTGTGGATCCCTTGAAAGGTTTATTATAGCTAAAGCTTGACTTTTGTGATAAATTTCTAATCTTTTTTAAGCTATTTTCAGGCTTACAATAATTTATATAAAGTGATATCACCTTTGTTTACCTTTAGAAATAATTGAGATTAGTATTTAAAGCTCAAAAAAACAAAACACGCAAGCGTGAAATATTGATCTAATTAATTTAAAACAAAAACCTGATCCTACTTAATTGAATTTATAATTTATAAAGTTGTTTTGGAAACGAAATAAGTTAATTTAATGCTAAGTTCCAGTACTCACTTCTTATCCAAGGCTTTCTTGAGGGCCCTCATCACTGTATTCTCGCCAATATCCTCAAAGTTCAAGATGGTTCCCATTCCCCTTTGAACCAAGGCGGCGGTGTTGACAAACTGATCTCCATACATGGGTGTGGCCACCACAGGAACACCACAGTAAGCCGCCTCCGAAGTGCCCATGAGACCACCGTGCGACATGAACACCTTGACATTCGGATGACAGAGGATATCCCGCTGGGGCAGCCACTTCATGATGTGCATATTGGGCGGCTGATTGGGCAGCGTCTCGTTCTCCCACTTCCAGATGACCTGCTGCTTTAGACGGGCCACAGCTCGGACTATGCCATCCCGCTTAGAGGCTGACAGGGAGTTGGCTCTGATCATGGAGCCCCAACTGATGAGAATCACACCCTCCTCGGCATTGTCCAGGAGACGCTGCAGGTCAGCAGGCAAAGGCTTTGATTTCTGGATGTGAATGCCTCCAAGTTCGATGACATTCGGGGGCATGGGCTTGGGTCCACTCAGGGAATAGTGTTGGTTTACAAAGAACACGGAGGTATTCTTGACCATCTCGCCCACGGAGGGCAGGTCGTGGCCGAATTTGTACTGAACCAAGGCATCCGCTGCGGGGACGGAGATTAATCTGCGGGATTATTATATATAAAATATTATTAATTAAGGTTTTGGATATTTTAAATTAATTTTAGAACTCACTTGTACATCCAATTAAGAGCATGTGTACTAAACCAATTGGCCAACCGCCCCCCAAAGTCCATGTCCTGTGACTGAGCCATAAACAGCGCCGGCACATGTGAAGGTATCAAAGGAGCACCCATCCTTTCGTAGTGCCAGGGCATCATCACACAGCTACTCAAGCCTATCACGGGTGCCTGCAGTTGATGGGCCACGCCCATCATGCAATCCGTATTGAACTGCTCCATGATGATGACATCAAAGTAGCCAGGACGACGCTTAAGGATTTGCTGCAGTGCCTCTGAGCGCAGCGTGGAGTTGCAGGCCTGTTTGCCCCACTCGTGCAACAGAAAGAACTCCATGAAGTGGCCGTAGAAGGTGCGTTTTTCGAAGAACTAAATAATAAAATATTTTAAAATAATAATAAGTAAGAAAAAATAATAATAAAAATATATTAAGTAAACAGTTTAAGCTAAGAAAATAATATAAATACATTTATAGAAAAGGAAAGAGTATTTCATAGATTAATAATGAATATAACTTTAGGAACTCAAAGAAAAAATTATCAGGGTTGGGAGATACTTGCTGGAAATAAGCAGTATTTTAAAACACTTTTATAAATTACTATACAATATTTAAATTCATTATTATAAGCTTAAATTATTTTATTTTAAGAACCCATTTCTAGCAGTTAAATTTCTATTCATGGTTTGTTTTTATACCCTTTGAAAGGGTATTCTAATTTCAGTCAGAAGCTTGCAATAAAGGGAAAGAGTCATTTCCGACCCTTTAAACCATATATATTCTTGATCAGCATTAACAGACGCATCTTTCTGGCCATCTCCGGAAGAAATTTAATTTTGAGCCATTTTTGCAAAAAAATGAAAGGGGTTACATCATGATTTTTTTCAAAATTTGATCAAAAATTTGATTTTCTAAAATTTTAAATTTTGGATGCAGATTTATTAACATTATAAAAACAAACCCGGAACAGCTTTCCGAATTGAAATTAATGCATTTTTGACTTAGTTATGATATTTTTAAGTTTTAGATTTAACAAAAATTACCATATAAAATGTAATTTTATTTATTATTGTATTTATATATTATAATTATTTATTATATATTTTGTATTAATTAAATTATTAAAATAATCAGCTTAATAAAACTAGATGGAATAATGTTATGAATTACACTTGGTTAAGTTTTTTGATTTTTAAACTTTAATTTGTTCAAAAAATGATCAAAAAATATGGGAAATATCCATTAAAAAATGTTGATATTTTTTGGGTCTTCTTAAAGGTTATTTTGATTTTATTTACTGAAGCAGTCATTTCCGACCCCATAAACCATATATATTCTTGATCAGCATTCACAGGCGAATCTTTCTGGCCATCTCCGGAAGAAATTTAATTTTGAGCCATTTTTGCAAAAAAATGAATCATGATTTTTTTCAAAATTTGCCCAAAAATTTGATTTCTTAAAAAAATTAAATTAAGAATGCAGATTTGTAAACCTAGAAAAAACTAGCATAGAAACACTTTCCGAATTGAATTTAAAGCTTTTTTGGCTAAGTTATGATATATCAAAAATTACAGTTAGTAAGGGTATACAAGCTTCAGCTTCCCGAAGTATAATCTCATCCCTAACTACCCTTTGTTTTTATTACTTCCCATAATTTACAATGATTAATGTGTAGCTTCTTCCGTTAATAGTTTTTACTTAACTTTCGTGAGTTATTATAAAGGCTTAATAATAGTTCAAAATTTCCAACAAAAACCCGCATGTAAATTCCCCATTTTCCCCAGAAAACACTTACCTTCAAATCCACACTATTCGTTAGCTTATCCGTGCCGGTCAGGGGGTAATCCTTATAGCGAATGGCCGGATGTTTGTCCGGGAAATGGGAAACCACACTGACTTCATGACCTGCCTCCGCCAGACCCCGCATGATGGGATGGAAGAAGTGAAAGTGGCTCACTCCAGGATGAGGAAAGAGACCCAAGATCTTTAGAGGAGCACCGGCCTCCACCTCCAGCAGATCGGAGCCGGCTAGGGTGAGGATTAACAGAAAGACAGGAACCAGCGGTGACCACATTTTGAGATCTAAAGAAGAAACAAAGATATTAAGATATTATTTTTAATTATTTAAGAAATTTAATGAAGGAGAAAAATATATATAAAATATTTTATAGTCGAGGAAAAAAGAAAAATTGTATACATTTTATATTCTTGGAAGGAAATTTATATATAATTATTTTTAAACAATTTTTCACGCTTTTAAATATATAAATTTTAAATTCTTCAAAGGAAATATTTATTTAATATTTTGTAAACAATTGTTAAACACTTTACATTCACAGATTATTTCTATATAAATTTTTATTAATTTATTTTGATATTTTTCCTGCTCAGGGTCTTATAGTTTTCCCCAAAACACTTAATTCTTAATACACTTTTTCCTACTAGCAGGTGTTAAAACACTTGTTGCCTTTTCAGTTTTTCCTTTCTTGGGTTTTTAGCATTATTTTCATCCGACCTTGAGTGGGTGGCGGGCGGGTGGCTCTGCGCATGTCGCGAATGCAAGAAATGCAAGGAAAATTATGTAAAGAATGCAGGCGAAAACACAAGCACAACAAAAAGCCAAGGAAAATTGCATCACAATAGGTTAATAAATTCTGTAGTTCGGCTGACTGAGGCCGCCTTTCCCCTAAACTGTAATTGATTGACTTGCTGAACTTCATGGATACACACACGCACACACGAAAGATACAAAATGCATCCGCATCGAATCCACACTTTCTGGATTTAAAAATCCTGTTTTCCCTCGGCTCTCACTCGCTTTTACTTACTTGTTCGACTGTCGACGAGCGACTGATTTGAAAATTCAGAGAAATGCAGGCGAGTCGAAAAGCTTTTCGGTCAATGTACGACGGAACAAGAGCGACTACGGCAGCGGCAACGGCGACAGACAATAAAAACGGACCAAAATTGCTCAGTCAGCGATCGGAAATAAATATTGATCTTCGGTAGAGATGGTAAATTGGTTTATATATTTTTAGAGAATTTTGAAATGTGTATATTTATTTCTATAAATATTTATATGTATTATTTTTAATTCTATTTGTATTATATATTTTAGATATTCAAGATATATGATAAATAAATAATAAAAAATTAAATAAATAATAGAAAATAATAAATAATAAAATAAATAAAAAAAGATATATCGAATAATAATATCGAAAAATATCGAAAAATATAGATCATTTATTATTATTCCCTTTTTTAATCCCTTTTTTTTTATTTTTTCAGCTATTTTTCGGCATTTTCTAAACCCAAAATCTGATCTCTAATCTCCCCCCAAAGCTTTTTCGGCTCTCCAACGATTCCACTCTCTCTCTCTCTCACAAGGAATGAGAGTCTCCCCCCTTAGAGAAAGATTGGGGGAAATGATCAGTGATCAAGTGAGAGTAGAACGCCTTGCCCTTGCGCACGAGACTGTCGAATATCGACTACCGGCTGTGAAAAGCCAATTTAGAGACTACAATAACAACAAAAATATAAAAATAAAACCGAGAAAAACAGACAAAGAGTCTCCCAAGTATTTATCACTCGGCACTCACATGTTGCCCCCCCACAAGGGGCGGCTTGCCGACTGTTTACATTTCATTTTGTACGTTTGATACGTACTGGTTTTTGGGTTTGTGTTTTGAAACGAATACGGAGGGTACAAGTACATGTTGGGAATCGATAATAATATATGCGTAAATTACTTCCACTATTGAACTTAGACTTTATCACGCAGCTGGAATATTAAGAATGTTTAGAATGGAATATTCCATTGATTTGTGATAAGAAATATTTGTTTTAGAAATATTTAAAATTGATTTGAATTATCTTTGTGAATTCAACAACATTGATTTCATTGATTGGAGTAAATTTTAATATTAAAAATTAAGATAAAAATAGTAAATATTATTTATAATTTACAATAAATAAATTTAAGTGGATTAAACCTGGAAACTACTTGTCTTTTAAGTGTTAAGTATTATATTATAATATATTATATTATACATAAGTTTTATTATACATAAGTTAAAATTAATTAAATGGTTTAACCTTGAAAACTAATTGACTTTTAAGTATATTAACGATGAAATTTTCTCTATTTAATTTGTTATTTTTAATACTTGTTTTATAATATATTTAATAAATTTCTTTATTTTATAGAGTATTCAAACTTTGTCTTATTGTTATTTTTCAATAATTAGAAATGACTTTGCTAATGATACGCTTGCTTAGCCGATAAAAAACATTTAAAAGTGAAAGCACTTCTCAGTATCGGTTTAAGTTTATTGAACTTATTGTTTGCCTCAGGTAACAGCAAGCCAAATGTTATATGTTTGCTTATAAAATGCATTAATTTTTATTATTGTCCAAGCCTTTGAAATTATTTAAATTAAATCCAGATGGAAGTTTCCTATGCACGAACAGTTCTTAAAAAAAACATCTTGTGTAGACATTTCGCGCGTAATCACTTAAAATCACGTTTCGTTGAATGTTATGAATACATATATATTAGGTCTATTCAGACACACGTATTTATGATTAATTTAAATGAATGTGTATTAAATAAATGTGTATTTGTAGAATATATGTAGATCTAAAGGGATTATCAAATGAAAGCTTGAAGGCTTGATAAGACTTTAGTAGAGCGTAATCTTCTGGAACAATTTGTTTTGAAATTCTTTTATAGAATATTTCATGTATTTCGTATTTTTCTACTAATAATTTATTTCCTAGGTTTCTATAAATAATTTAAAATATGTTGCTATGTAGAATAATACATGTTAATAATAACAAAAGGGTTCTTTTCTATTTTATTTCTATTTAAAATAATTATATAAATTATTACGTAAAACCCTCAAATCATTTACAACAGACTGAACCTGATAATTTGTTTGTTTCCCATTAATGATTCCTCATTAAGTCATTATCTCTCCAAATGAAAAGTGAAACTTGTTCTCCCCAAAGTTTATATTTTTTCAGTTTATTGTTTTTATTGCTGCTTTTGCTTTTTGCTTTTACCACTAAAAGCTACTCTTCCGACCAACCTGATCAGTTTCCAAAGACAGACTATAAACAGCAATAGAACTCCCAGCCAGAGCAGGAACACATCGATCGAATTGTAGGCGATCCAATTAATATGCCTGCCTCGGCTCTGGACAAGGGGAGCGCCGCCAGATTGGATTACATGCTCGATCCACCAGACGGCCAAGTCCAAGGGAGGCAAGGGACGCCGACGAAAGGCCTCTGTAGAACGGCGAACATTATCTGCAAAGCTGTAAATCAAAATTTATAAGATTAGATTTTCAATCACTCATTATTTCGCTTCACAAGAAACAAGACTCACTTTTTGTCGAGTATTACTCTCAGTCCTCTGGTTATGTGTTCTGTATCAAAGTCTTTGAAATCCACTATTACCCCAAAGCTTCGCTGCTCTACGGCACCTGCATTGAGGAACTGATCTCCATAGAAGGGCGTTATGAGCATGGGAACACCACAATGTACTGCCTCCGTGGTACCCAAGAGTCCTCCATGGGAGATGAAGGCCTTGACCTGGCTATGACACAACAAATCTCGCTGGGGCAGCCAGTCAAAGGTGTACAGATTGCTGGGTTTATCTTCTAGTTGAGAGGAATTATTATCAGTTTTCCAGCGCATTACAAAGTTGTATTCCTTTAGCTGGGAAATGCTTTGGAAAAGCGCTTTTCTTTTCAAAGCAGGGAGGGTGTTGGTATTGACCATGGAGCCCCAGCTGATGTAGATGATGCCATTGGGAGAGCTTTCTAAGAGGTCTAAAAGGTGCTGAAAAATATATATAATTATTGTGAAATTAATAAAAAATATTATTAGAAGAAATAAATATTAGAAATTTAATATTTTACTTAAACAAAAATATGAAAAATATGTTTGTTTTCATATATATAAGCCAAATGTTTTAAAACATAATATATATATTTCTTTTTGGGTTAAAAATAAACATTTCACCAATACTTTTCTTTGTCTTTCTACAAAACATTCTCTTAAATGTTGACCCACTTACTTAAATGCTTTAAAACATTTGCTAATCTTTTTACAAATTGAAAATATTTCCTGTTTTCTTATTTATACTTAAAACAAAATTAACGTAGGCTTATTTTTCAGTCTCTTGGCGAATGGTAAACATTTAAGCAGATCCATTATTTAATTTTTGATAATTGATAAGGCCTCATTTTATATGCACATATTTTATAAACACGATTTACACATGCTTTAATTTGGTCTAAAGTCTTCTTTGTGTCTGGTTTTAATGCCTGTGTTGACTGTTTTTATTTATTTATGATTTACATTTGCGGAGATTAGAGTTTGGTGAACCGCGTAGAGAAGATTAATAAAAGTAAATAAATATTAATGATGATTAATTTTGTTTAAGAAGATTGTAAAATTTTAAATCATATTTAATAAATAATTTAAAAACTCACTGTTTTAATTTTTACCTTATTTCAGCAAAGGAAATCATTAAAAAACAAATGTTTATCTTTTGATGCAAATCTTAATATAATATTTAATTTAATAATATTTATTTTCTTATTTTCACTCACCTTAGGCAGTGCCTTTTCCGGTCCCACCTGCAGACCTCCCACCTCCACCACATTCGGAGAATAAGGTCTTGGTCCCGTCAGCGCATAATGCTGATTGATCAGCATCAGACTTGTATTCTTCACGATCTCATGTATAGGCGGCAGTCCCTCTCCAAATCTCCGACTGATCAGGGCATCTGTGGCTGGTTCCGTAATCAAACTGTGTCAAGGCAAAACAAAAAAATCAACTGATAAGTTCTGAGTTTTCTAGGTCAAAAACAGAAGGTATCATAAATACCCACTGATAAAGCGTATTCACAACATGAAAGTGGAAGAAGTTATTCAACCGATCAATCAGACTCATTTCATCTGTGTAGGGCAGAAAGTTCATAGGCATTATGGGGTTAATCACTGGACTGCCCATTTTCTCGTAATGCCAGGGCATAATGGCACAGCTACTCAAAGCGATCACAGGTGCTTTTAGAAGGTGAGCCAAAGCCGCCATGCAATCGTTGACAAAATGTTCGAGGATAATGACATCGTAGCGGATTGGAGACTCCAGGATTTGGACAATCAAAGGGGATTTAAAGGCCACCTCACAGGACTTCAAGGCCCAATCGTTGATCATAAAAAAGGTGGGTATCTTGAAGGGTAGTCCCAAAGGCTTCCATTCCGTTTCAAAGACCTGAAAAGGTTGTAACAATTAATTAAAAACTCTGCAAAAGCCTTTCAAATTAAATTCCAATTTTTATTCACACTTTTAGCTAACAATTTTGATCTTGCCTGCCTTTCTAGTTTAGTTTATTAGCCACGCTTTGGCTTAGTTGATTATATAGATTTAGCTCTGCCACTCAAGCTAACAAGTAATTTTCGTTTAAAGCTCGTTTCATTTTCAATCTAGAATATTTTTAGAACTAAAAGCAAGGCTAAAACGTTTCTAAATTTAATTTTAATAATATCTTTTACCCACCTTTAAGTCCACCATGTCTGTGAGCAGGGGCATTCCCTGGAACACATAATCCGTATAGTTGGCCACCGGTTTTTCCAGCGGAAAATAGCTATACATGCTGATGTTGTGACCCCTTTCGGCCAAGGCCAAGAACATGGGCCTAAAGAAGTCAAAGTGACTTTTGCCGGGATGCTGGAACAGGCCAAGAATCTGGGCGGCTTCCGATTTGAGGGCACAGAAGGTGAGCAAAAATACAGGTAGCAGTAGCTGCATTTTAACTGCAAGTTGATTTTTTGTTTATTAATTTGTACATAATTTAAGGTTTCTTAGAAAATATTGTTCCTAATTAGTGGAAATGAGAGATCTCTACAGCTCTACAGATATTTCTTGGAGTTAAAACCCCACTAGATGGGAGTCTAAAATTTAAGTTAATTTAATTTAAATCACTAAAATCACTTTACAATATATAAAACTAACCCCCTGCATGGTCTCTCTTCCAAGAAGCCTTACAAAAGATCAAAGTTTATTTTAAAAGCAAAGACAAAAGGTTGCTGTTGGTCAGCTTTTGTCTGTTTCAGATACTTTTTTTGTATCTGCATCTCTGCTTGGCTGCACTTGAGACTTAAACGTTTGTATCTTTGTATCTTTGCAACTATTCTATGCTAAAATCGTGACCGGAATTTGACTGGCAATTGTCTTTTTGGACAAGACCTTTAGGCGACGACGGCTTTTCTCAAACGTTTCGTACGAAGCTGTGACCATTAAGAGGTGTCCACCCAAAATATTTTAATTATGGGTTGAGGTTTGCAGAATTTAATTTGCATTTCGGAGTGTTTTTTCGAATGGTTACGTTCTTTGTTCGTGAAAATTGATTGGTTTCGATGGAAACGAAAAAACCATAAATTAAAAAAAAAATTGTTGTAGCTATGGAAATTTAAAAATTTTAAGAGAGGCATGTTTTTAAATTCATATCATATAATTTAAAACAGAATTTAATGATCATTTTTTCACTACCATGTGAAGTTTGCTTTATAACATTTTTTTTATAATTTTCCACACATTTGCCTTTGTTCTATTACAACCATTTTTCACACCTTTTCCTCTAATTAACATTTTATTGAATTTGCATTTTTCTAGATTTACGATGACTTGATTAATTTGTTTCCTTTCCTTCGTTACCTTCTTAGATTTCCTTATAAATTAAGAATGCAACTTGTCACAGCCACGATCGTCGATCGACTGAAAAGCCAAGGCAAAAGCCGACTTAACTGCAACTGGAAACTGCCCTGTTGTTGCATTTTTCTTAACGTACCGAGTTTTCCGATATATGTGTGTACTTACCTATACTTAACCCAAAACGATCCGACACACACTCCAACCTCTGCCAGTCATGAGCAATTTGCGGTAGGCCATTAGATTGCTAAATCCAAGTTTGTGGATGCCAAGGGTTTCTGTGGGTTAATATACCTTAAAAAAGAGGGGGATCGGGTGAGGAATATGCAGATTACATAATCCTTTGTAGCAAATTCTAATAGGTGAAAACAATGGGAGAATGTTCAATAGATTTATTACGTGATTTTTATAGATGAGTAAATGAGTAACTTCTAGCGAGTTTTCACTGGGCGGAGGTGCAGACCGGTTTTTAATCCACGATTTAAATATTTATATAATGTATTCTAATATTTTGATTTTATGTGCCAATAATTAGCAATTAAAATATTAAGAGGATTATAGTGTCATTTTTGCAAACAAATTTTATTTAAAAACTGTCAAAAATGATTTAAATAAATAGTTTTTTCTTACTTTATTACTGTTTAAATTATTTTACATAAGATTAGAGTGCCTTTTTGTTTAAATAATATATTTTTTTAATTTTCTGTCACTTATACTTATTAATTAATTAAGAAAAGAAAGAGTATTTCAGGCTTTGCGGAGCCTTACAGAAGATTTAAGGTAAGAAAACACTTTAAATTATTTCAAATAAGTATTTTTCTATTTACTAAATATTTTAAAACACAAAAAACTGCATTTTTCGTTGAAGTTCAAGGCAAATTTTGTGTATTTATTTTCTACATTTACTTTACATTTTTCACTACCATATATCTTTGACATATCTGTAGAATAGAGAGTAGAATTCATAAAGATACATGTTTTCCCTAGTATACTTTCAGAGGTTCCGCTTACACTGCAGGCAGTAAATATTAGGCATACACCTTAAAATAAATTTTAAATAAAGTTTAAGCTATAAAAAAATAAAAATAAATTAAATATTAAAAACACATAGTTTATTACAAACGAAAAACTTACAACTAAAATTATTAAAATTAAATTAGAGCTATTAAATATTTCAAGAACCAAAAATAACTCCTTAAAAGTTAACAAGACTTCATATTACCCTATTTATAATTCATTTCCCAACTTCTTAATGCTCTCTAAATTACAGAGAAACCTTCTGTTGATAACAGGCAGCATCGTAATATACTTTCCGGACCAAATCTTGAAACTCCCAGAGTCGTCAGAGATTCGACATGCTCTAATTTTCCCGGGTCAGAGCTCGTCACTCGTCCCTCGACCCGCGCCGAGTTTTGCTAATTAAAATTCACTTTGACAATAACCGTAATTTCCGAGATACTAATTTCAAAATGTTGCACCCATATAAAATATATATATATCTGTGAGTGTCGTTAAAATTTAGGGAAAATAATAAGCAAAAATTTTCACGTCTCGCCTAATTAGCGCCCTCAGAGAAGTCACAACAAAAACAAAAGCAACTGGACGCTGTCAACAGCTGCAAGGGGGTGGCAAGGAGGTGGCAAGGGGGTGGCAAGGGGGTGACTTTTCCCAGGACTTTTCTTGGGCTTCCCCTTGCCTTCCTTTTTAATATTGGCGTCACGTCATTAAAACTGTGACTTAAAGTGTAAGAGAAGTGCTAGAATTTACGACAGATTATCAGAATCAAGTGGCGGAGGGAAGCTCGCAATTTTTCCGGCATCCGTAGAACTTTTCCTCAAGGTGTTGCCAACGAAATCGATAAGAATCTCGGGGTGCTTGGGGTATCAATTTATTTTAACGTCCTGACACTTAAGACCTCTCCCTCTGCCATTTATTTTGGCAATAAAATGGAATTTAAAATGATGGGAAATCTTATTGAAAAATTCAAAGATAAGAAAGGGTTGTGTGTGTGTGTGGTGTCCACACGTGTCCATTTTCCGCATTTTCGCCATTTTCCAGTCATTTACATTTAATAGAAGCGCATGAAATGATAAGCCATGCCAGGGTGTGTAAGGTGTGTGTGTGAAATTTATAACAAATCAATAAAATGACAATAGGTGCAAACTTTATCGGCGAGAAAAGAGGGCGGACCCCGAACGCCGTTCCATTCACACTTTCTGAATTAAATCGGAATTTTTGAAGGGAGAGGGTGAAACTTTTCGATAAACAATTTCTCGCACGGAAGTGCAATTTTGAAGTGAAGTAGATCCCGTGTATATCCTGTATATATGTGTATTTCCCTGTCCGTAAAATGCGGAAATTATACCAAGAAAGTTTCTAATACATTTGTTACCGCCAATCAATCGTGATTCCCCTTTTTCTAAAGGCTTCAGGGATTCCTTTGGTTATCCTTTGGGGAAAAACTTGGCCGTCAGATAGTTGATTGTGGAAAAGTTAAGGAAAGTTTTGGTATTCTGAAGAGATTAAGGCAGGGGGGAATATCTTTTTGATTATTTAAGAGGATTTTATTCTTTAAGAAATTATTTAAAAGTAAAATTTAAAAAATTTTAAATATTTTTTGAAGAATTTATAGGGTCGAGAATGACTTAAATTTAATTTTAATTAATTTAATTTTAAAAATTAACTAATATTTTTCACGGTTTTAGAAATCCCATTTAAATTGGGAAAAGAAAGCTACCCAGGGAAGTCCCATTGATAAACATCTCCTCAATGATTAAGTAATACCACCCAAAACCTAAAAAATAATGTTAATTTCTGCCATATCTAATCAGCTTTTAAAGTTCCATAATCGAATGTCTAATCGTCTTAATCTTTATATATCTTTATCACCTGCGGTTAAGACTAATCAACTCTTTAAGCACTTAACCATATCAGGGGAAGAAAGTATCTCACAAATTTCAACGCACAATTTTAAGAAAAAGTATCTCACGCACAAATTGAAGGCGTGAACATATTGCATGCCTGCTTGTCTTCTCATCACCTCAAGTTTCCAGACATTTTCCTGCCCAGATTTTACCTCCCCAGGCTTATGCTCCACCTTACCTACAGGTGTCTTTAATTGACAGGTTAAACTATTTATGGCCACGTCACGTGATCTATAAACGTGACGCCAAGGGAAGACAACACAACCCCCAGTCCTCGCTCCATTTTACCTGGGATTTCTAAGCCGATTTCCTAGACATTTTCAAGTAAGACGCTGCTAGTCTTCGTGTGTGCCGTCGAAATAAATCGATTAACAAACAAAGTTGGAGCACCCAAATGTAGCTGTGTGTTGTAGCTATTTCCGTGACAGTAATCAATTTATTTTTGGCAGTGCGCCGATTGCGTTTCCGCTCCCAGAACATGGACGAGCCTGAAAGTCTGTATCCTCAGCCCTTCTCCTGCTCCGCGAATTTGCCAATATCCCTCTTTTCAGGGGGGAATGGGAACTCTCGTTCTTTCTCTTGTCTGCGCGAACTGGAAAACATTTCATTTCGTTTTGGCTTTTGGCACAGCGATTTCCGCACAAATGTCGATAAATCATCAGAAACGAAATAGTCAGAGAAAGTTGAGAGGGAGGGAAGGGAGAGGGGAGTTGCACTGGGGGAAATTGTTGGGTTTTAAGCAGGAGATGTAGGTAAATTATAAGCAAAATTTTAGAGAAAGTAAGGTCACATTTTTTTATATTAGTTTTCTATTTAATTTTAATTATACAATTTCTAAATATTTATCTTAATATTTATAACTATTATATTTTTAATTACCCCATTCCTTAAACAAATTTTAAAAAATTTAAAAATGCAGTGTCATAACGCCATAACCATGTAGTATAAACTTTTTCCAGTAAAAAATAAAAAAACCTGTTAATTTGGAATATAAAAATATGACAAAAGCTTTTAATAACTTTTAAGAGTAATCTTAGATTTATTTTATCCAAAAATATATCCTTAAAAATATTTTTCACTGTATTTACAAGAAAGAAAAGTAAGATTAAACCTTTCTTGCTGTTGGCGTGATAGATAAGTTGACAGCTCCATTGAAGGGTTATCGTGGTGGCCTGTCTCTTAATCAATCTTCCTCCATCGCCTTCGCTCCATTCAGGCTTCATCTTCGTGGCAATTAATTAATTTGCAAAGAAAGCCAAGGACACGTGACCAGGATATGCCATATTACAAAAGGAGAATGGGTGCAAGAAACTAACATATTTTGTTTAAAAAAATTATTAAGAACAAGAGAGAGAGGGAGAGAGAGGAGGGGAGGGATGTTCCGTCCATTTGAGGAAGCAGCAGGACTTCCTCTTAAGGGTCAAGTGCTGGAATTGATGTTTCGTTTATGATTTATCGTCACTTACTGCCGCGTCATGGACAATCATCCTGGCTCCCAGTACTCCCTCTCCTCCAGCCTAATGGTCGACATATTGCAAAAACAGAAAACAAAAACTAAATTAGACATAAAAGGGGGTGGCAATACACACACACACATTCCCACTAGGTCGTTTCAGATAGGTCGTCATGCTGTCATAATCATCACAAGACACAGCATCCATCCATCGAGCATTTTGCAACGCCCCCTTAGATCCCACATTGCTCCCTTATCCTTTGGCATTTTACTGATGTAATAACCATGTTTTCAGCTTGTAATGCGGCAGGGCAACACAACTGTGTGTGTAGCAGGGGTGTCTCCCAGTCCCAGTCAAGGTTTCCTTAAGGGTGAACCGGGTTTCGGTCGGTTGCCCTTTGTTCTGGGCGCTACTTTTGAATTGTTTTTGAAGTTAAATGTGTGATAATTTAATGACTGTCGTCGTCGTCGCATCGCTTACAGGACAACATCTCCCACATTCTGGCTCTGGCAAAGCCACCCCCCTAAAGTCTTGTATAATAACTCAATCCCGCTCTGAAGTGTGCTCACTCGCTGAACGCTTAATTTAGTGGAATAATAAAAATGTTTTTGGGGCATAAAATCTGTGTGTGGTTGTGGACTGCCGATGATTTGTGCTGTTTCGATGTAACAGATTGTCTTTTAATGGCTGGAATCAGCCAAGTGTGCCCTGATCTCCCGGAAGGGGGGTTGTAGAGTGGGAAATTATGGATTTGTGATGAATCTCGGGAGCTATTGGCTTCCCCCTGGCAACAGCTTTTGGATAAACGTCATCGTTTGATAACTATTTTACCAGATTAACTAGTTCGTCGTCAGCTGATCTTTCCCCAGATGTTTAAGAAAACAAGTTTTCTGTTTACCTTTAGACATTTGCATACTAGTTCAGGTATTTAGCATAGAGAACTTGGAGTGCTTATCGATCGCATTTCTTCTAGCACAGGTGGGGGATTTTGTCTTGATTTTCCAAGGGATGAGTTTCTTTTGTACAGTTAATTAAGTCATTTTGAATTAGTCGTGTTTCCTTAACATTTTGAAAAGATTTTTAGATTGCGGAAATTGAGTTAAGATGTTATGATGTTGTGTTTTTAGCTAAATAAATAGGGAAAGTTTGCAAAGCATGGGTTTTCTAGCTTTAGTTTGATATTCTTTTTAAAAAAAGAAATACTGAAGTCCATTAACAGTAAGTTAAGCAATGTAAAAACTTGAAAATCAACTTGTTACATAGCTAAGTACACTTAAAAAAATAAATACATTTTTAATATAACGTAGGAAATAAATAAAGAAAACCTAAAAATATGATTTTGATAGAAGAAAATTAAAATAAAAAGAAAACCAAATAATTCGAGGGGAAGAAAAATAAAAAAAGGATATTTTAGGGTTTTTTTTATGTAGAACAAAATTTTAAAATAATTGTAAAATGTGTATTTGTGGTTTTCATTATTTCATTTTCCTTGGAAAACCATTTTTGAAGTCTCTTTAAAAGGGTTTTAAAAAATATTTAAGTCGTTTTTGGTCTTATTTACTATATTTTACTTGGTATATATTTTTAAGCCTAAATAAAATTTTTTACTGTAATTATGTACCTCCTCTTATACATATTTTAAGTTTATTTATATAAATTTAGCATAATTTCAAAGCCGTTAGGCAATTTAACTAAACAAAACTTGACCCAGTGACTGATATTTTTATTAACAAAACTTCCGGCTTAGAAAAAATCTCTCAAGTTCATTAAACAGCTTTTGCTGTGTTCTAAATTTCTCTTCAAGATAAATATTATTTTCTTCTTATTCCCTACACCTATGAAACGCACTGTCCTCTGTCTTTTTTTGTTCACCTGCAGCGCCTGAAGAAAGAGAAGCCAAACCCGAAAAAGCTAACAAAGATTTATGCAAATCCCAACGCTTGCGAATGTTTAAGCTTTTTGATTTCGTGGCTAATGTGAAAATATGGCGGTGGAAAAAAACCGAATATGAAATGTGCAAAAATCACACACTCTGGCACACTCGCACACCCACACTCACCCACAATTTGCATATGACAAAGTGAGGCAGACAGCCGCAAACAATGAAAAATGAAGGCGAGAATGCGAATCGCAGGCTTAGGCCTCTGGGGTTACATTTAATTTGGCAACAAAATATTAAAAAGCACGTGACGCAGGCGATTTATGAAACTCGATTAATTTGCTCAGATTTGTTGTAAATTAATTTATATGCATTATTTATTGCTTGTATTTATTGCATTTAAATTTATTTATATTTTGTGACAAATAATCAGGATTTTTTAACCATTTTCCTAGCAGAAATGCAGGTTATTGAACTGCTCCCGATTGTTGGCCACCATCTGGTTGTATTTGAAGGCTGTTGACTGTGGGTAGCCGGAACTGGACTGTACCGTCAGCCTGTTATTATTGTTCCGGAGGAAGCTATCCGCCGGACTGCTGGACACGGCATACTTGCCGCCCAAACCCTCCACGGGCCGCATGGGGCTCAGGTGCTTGGCCGGTATGGCCTTGCTGGGAGTGCGCGTTTGATGGACCATTTTGCTTCTCAAGAATATTTGTAGTATATGACTTTTTTAAAGTATTTCTTTCGAGTTTTCTTTCAAAATCAGGAGCTTGTAGCTTTTAGTGGGGTCGCGGTGGTTCAGGGCACACTGGAGAGACGGGTGAGCACGGAGAATTCCAGACAATTGCCGCAGTTGCTAGTGCGGGAGCCGCCTTTCTTAGAAGACAGATGTTTAGAGAGACTGGAAAAACAAAGGGAAAATACATTTTTAATTTGTTTTAAATACAAGAAAATTTTGAAAATATTTTATTTATTTAAAAATAAAAAACTTTATGCTAAGTAATAAACAAATATCTAAAATTGTATTTATTTATTTGTAAATTTTATAAAAATCTTGGCAGAAAGTTGCCCAAATAAAAATCTAGGGACTTGAAATCTCTCTTTAAAAATTCTAAAAAAATTTAGAAAATATTTTTTTGAGCTTTTAGTGAAGTAAAAAATTAGTGTTTTGAATTTTTTCATTAAAAACAATTGTTCAAAGTTTAATATTAATATTTTTGTTTAGTTTTGAGCTTTAAGAAAATTATATAAAAATATTTATCACGAAATAAATATATTTTTTTATCAAAGGAACTATTTTTTTTTAATTTTTTAATCATAGCATAAACCTTTTTATATCTTAATTAAGAAATATCATAAATATTTCTTTAATAAAAATCCCCTTCGTTAAAGTTTCTCCCAAACTCACCTTAAATTATTGAGCAGCTTGGCTTTGGTGTCCGGTGTCTTCATTGACACATTTGTTTTTACACTTTGGGGAAAATATTTTTAAAAAATCACTGGATTTTTGGATGGCTAACGACTGCGTTGGCTGTAGACTTTAGTCTGTTCGATATCGAGCTGCGGGTGAGGCTTTTATAGGCAAAAATCTCCAGCGATTTGGACTGATCTCATCACGAGCTCAAAGCGTGCTCAGTTTAAACTAGTTTCTTTTTTTTTATTTTTTAAAGACTTTTTGTTGTTGCTATGCTTTTTTGGGCTGACTATGATGCGAAATCGCCGGCGCAGACATGTGCCAAATTTCTTGTTTACGCCACCGTTTCGATGCGGTGCGTCAATGGAAGCGGGTTTGCCACGCGGTCCTCGGAGTAAACATGGTGAGTAGTAAACAAAGGAAACCCCAAAACGCAAACCGAAAAACCAAACACCAAAAACAAATAAACAAACAAATTAGCCAAGGGGATTTTTCAGGTATCCTTTTGGAACATTCAACTCGAAGCCTTTTGGGCCAAGTGTTTGGCCCGAAAGACACCACACTTTATATACACTTTTTGGTAGCTGGAATTTTAACCTGTCTGTATAAATATCTATTTGCTTTTTACTTTCTTTTTGCTGTCTGGGCCACGTTTTTTAATTATTAAGCCATGTGTCTGGCGCATTTGCATAATGCAATCCAAACGGAATTTTTTTGGCAGACACTCGAAATATATAACATTGACATTTAAAACAATCTTCGAGATAGACGTTCAAAGTACAAAAATTATATATTTGTTGGGATTATTTGAAACGGGTTTTTTTTTCGGGGGGAATTATCTATTGTCACGAAAAGGGAGTGAAGTTTGAGAGGCGAAGATCCTTGCCATGTCATTAAACCTATTAAATTAATGTCTAATTTGAACTTGTTTTTGTTTACTAAAGGGAGTACATGTCTGGAATATAGAGACCTAGCTAGTTTGACTATATTCGGGAATTAAAATGGGTTTTTTAAATATCATTGAACTCGGAGAAATAGTTTAGCAGTGAATAATATGAACTTGCAAACAGATTGTTAGCTTTATTTTAACAAATTTATCACATTTGTTGATATTTTTCCTTACTTTCCCTTCTCCCAACCCTTAGTACTAGATTCTAGCATAATATTTCCAACAGATCAGACATCTATATATCTATAAACAGCAGATTAAAATACTATAAACCGGCGCCAGCTTTCAAGTTGTTTTCTCGCTTAAAAAAAAAAATTGGCTGATGCAATGCAGCCAAGACTTTTCATCAGCCATCGTTTTATGCATAATTTTTATATATCCATAGTCGTCTCTGGCGATCTACATATTCATATATACCTGGATATACGAAAACATTGTTATGTTACATCGAGTACCAGGCATATAAAATATCTTTTGGCTGGGGAAAATCTAGGGATTTTTGGGGGAATATTTGGAATTTAGATGACGTGTCAAAAAAACTGCCGGCCGGCAACTGTCTCCGATTTTTGGAATCATGATGATCAAGATAATGTTTGCAGATCTAAGAGAGTGAGAGAGAGACAAAGGTGAACACTACGTGAGACATAGCAGATATGGTTTTTGGGGGTGATTTTTTAATACCCTTTAAGTTTTGAGGATAGTCTATCGGTTTGATGTAGAAAATCATAGCAAAAACTGGGGGATTACAGGGTCACTTTTTAAGGATATTTGTTGACCTTTAACTATGGAGTAGAATATTTTATTTATGATATCTATTAAATGAAAATTCCTCTCTATGAATATTAAATTTCGAGTTTAAGTCTCAGCTCAAGAAACTAAAAAAGTGCATGAATTAATTGCATAAAAATGAGAGAGACTACCTACCACTTCGGCATGAAAGTTGTAACTTTTTTAGGACCAAAGGTCACAAGTTTTTAGAAACAATTTTTAATTTTATTAAAGATATTAGAGAGTCCACTTCTTACTCCAAGAATGTAATAAATTAGTTTATATTTTTTAACATTTTCCTTATATTCCACAGTATCAAAAACTCGACTCCCAGCCCCTCCTTCGTCTTATTTGCAAAGGTTTCGCTGATAAAACCAGTTGCTCCGATAGCTCTAATTTGCATTGTCGTCGGCTTGAAACGGGTTCGCCTCAGACGGAGTCGGAGACTGAGGTCACCCCACCGGGGCTGGGCGCGGTGCCGGTGCGAGGGAGGGTTCACATCGCGGTGCCTTGGTATGATATGGATTTGGAAGTCGGAACAGCCTGCAGCTGGCACTGCGTTACTTGATCGTAGAACGATGACGCAGTTCCTCCGCCAGGCAGGCATTGCACTCGGTTCAGATCGGATCGAAGCTGATGAGATGATCGGAATACGGGGTATTTAAACCAGGTGCTGTGTCCGCTGGAGGGCCAGTAGAAAGTCCAGAGCAGAGCAGAGCAGTCAGTACCTGGGAGCGTGAGCTGTGAAATTTCCTTTCTTTTCCTATCACCAATGCGCTAGTTGCAAAACTTTGTGTGTCAATGCCAAAAATTAGCAACACGGATTCCAAACAGAAATTGTTGAAGCAGTCAAGGTGGGTGGACGATTTTTAAAAAAATTTTTTTAAGCCTAAACAAATCAATTATAGTGATAAAAAAGCAAAGAAAACATATTTTTGTGCTATTTTTGTCTTAGAAAATGTTATTCTTAATAAAATAATTCCTAGAAAAAGTTTTAAAATAGTTTAGCTTATCTAAAATATTTTAAATTATTAAAAAAATAAATCTTTAATGTTTTGTTTACTAAAAACATTGCTCACGAGTACTTAACGTGCAATAAAAACAGGTTTTTTGCAAGACCTTTGAGTTTCATTTGCTAATTTCAAATTAATTTTAATTAACTTAGCGCTTTTTTAAATTTCTATTTATAAAAATATTATATTAAATATTTTTTAATTAACTAAAAGTTATAAAATATATTTATTCATGTATATTTTCCCTTTACTCCACAGATTGGGCAAAAGTCTGTCATCGAAAAAAGGATCCCGCACGGGAAATTCGGCCAACAATAAGGAACTTAAAGTACTGACCCTGCTGCAGACTGTACCGTGAACTTTGAACTCTCTACGCAAGGCATTTGGAAGCGCGCAGCTTTTGAGTAATTGGAACAAAATTAATTCACCCAATCAAAAACAAGAAACTCCAACCAACGCAAAAATGGTCTATACCGAACGCAATGAGAAGTGCCTGAGCAGCTCGTCCAAGGACAAGCCAACTTCTAAGGACTACAACCGCTCCAAGTCCGGATCCTCTGGTTCAGCAACCGCTTGGAGTGGTCAGGCCTCTAATGCCGAGAAATGGAAGTACAACAATATGGTCCAGGATGATCGGGAAAAGTTCAATGGAATGCATTTCTCTTAGATCAGAGGAATACATATCCTGTTGAAGGAAGGATAACTGGGACCGGGGGAGCTGCTTGTTTGTTATTGTTACTTCTATAAGTTGGGCTTAGCTGGGTTTCGCTTTAAATTAGTTCTGTAAGAGTTTTGTTTATATGGATTTAAGTATTGCTATGTGATACAGAGAAGAAAAAACCAACAAAATTAACACTTCAATTGGTTTAAAAAAAAAAAATTAAATCATTAAGAGATGCGCAAAGAAATGTGATGAGAATTTTATTTGTATACCCTTGAAGGGTATTATAATTTCAGTCAACGCAGTGAAGGAGATTCTTGATATTCTTGATCAGCATCACTGGCCTAGTCGATCTAGCCATGTCCGTTTGTCCATAAGCAACCTTAAGAGCTCTTAAAAATCCCCCAAAAATTTCTAAATAATTTCCTAAACAATACTTTCCTCATTCCCAATCACCTATCAATATATTCCCTTGCCATTTGACATTGCCACTTGACTTGACTTGACTTGACTGATATCCAACGAATATTTTATTGTCTGCAACATTTGCATGAATTGCGGCTATTAGCGTGATTGAGCCAACTTTTCTACCCTCGGTGAATCCTGGACGGAGTGCACTTAATACGCATTAGCTACGCTTATTTGACAGCCTCAATCTGCCCGGGCCAGAGGAGGAGATGCCTGCAATATTGATGATGTCTGGGCCCGGCGCCACCCTCATTCTGCCATTTTCCCACCCATTTTCACCAATATAGCTTGACGCGTGTCCTTTTACCGAGAACAAGTGTATCTCCCACTGCAGACGCAAAAGGACGACGTCCGGTTTTCGTTACGATATGCGAGAGAGTGCGAAAATTTTTATAATTTTACAATTGTATTGTTGTTCGGACCGGAAGGAAGAGGGAAAAAATTCAGTGGCCCGAACGGGAGTGAGGAGAAGGATGCTTCTTCGGTTGCGGTTGTCCTTCGGTCGTGACACACGACTGAGCAGGACACGTGGCGTGCGGCTATTAGGAAAAGCGATTTCCTTGACGCTGCTAATAGAATTCTAGCACTCTCCGACAAACGCTATCCAACCATCCCACCCCCCCAAAGGAATAAGTGTTGTGGCGTTTTCGGGGTTTTTCTCCTTTCCGGACGAGGTGGCAGCAGCTGTCAATGGGATTTACACAGCGAAAAGATATCAAAATTGGGAAAGGAAAAGGTAAGTTTTTTGGAAAACAAGAGGTAAGTTAAAAGAATTTGAATTTAAAAATAAATTAGAAATGTGGAACAATAAAATCCTATGAATTTTGTAACCAAAACTTTATTTTCCCTGTGCATCTATATATAATTGGAAGCCTTCTCTCTAGTACATCCCAGTCCCATCTCCTCCAGCCTCTGTCTGAGCTGTGAGCCTTGTAATTACTTTGTTTCCTAGCGCCAGGAGGTCCTTCGGTCGTCAGCACCCAGAAAGATTCCTTGTCACTCTTTTTGGTGTTGCTTGTGCGATGCAATTAAAAGCGCTCCGCAGGTGTTCTTTGAACTCTGCCACCCATAATATAAACGAACATAAACTGTGTCTCAATTTTGGGCTCGTTGGCGTGGAGAAATGTGTCAGTTGCAAGGCTTCCGAAATGGGACATCGCTCTCTGATTCTGGATTTTATCAGACAGAAGCAATTATCACGTCATTATCACGAGGCAAAGCCACAAAACTGTTTGCTGCTTTGATTTTTCGATGTTTGTTTTAAGCACTAGGGGGTAAAAGAGGGTATATTAGGTTTTTTTTCAGCCTTTTAGCACGTGTCACTCAGGAAGGTCAAGGCAGAGATCAGCCGAGTCTATCGGTGCCTTAGAAACTGATTTCCGGCAAAGGACAGCCCTCAGACAGTAGCAACCCTGCCTCCTGTTGGAAAATTATGAATAATATCCGTAACTTCTGCCGAGACACACACACAAAAGTACGGTTGTAAATACCGTGAAATATGTACAGAGAGCAGCTTGCAAGGGGAAGGAAAAAAGGGCCCACACTTCACTTCAATCTCAGCCAACGCCTCCGAATTTTTGGAAACTCGAAAATAAATTCGTTGGCGGGGCGTGCCGTCAGATACAACTTCCGATGACAACCGACAGATGTTTTTTTCTTTTGGCTGGGAACAGGATAACGACGACAAACAGGAGTTGCGCCCGCTTGCAAAACACAAAACAATTGCCTCGTCGCGGATGTCTCCGCCATACAAATAGTCCAAAGTCGAATCAGATGCGAATTACAGTCATGTATTTGAATGTACTTGATAATGTACGGGCGTTGACATCACGGCAAAGGTGTTTTGCTGGGTTTTGCAGGGTTTGGGTTTCCACTCTGGGCACATGACAATGTCACTGCCACATGGCACACGCTGGATTTGGCAATCCTTGGCAAGGTGTGACGCATCGGAAATGGATGGGACTTTGCCTGATATTCGATCATATTCCAGCTGGTAAAAGATGGGGGCGGTGGCAAAGTGTTAAAGTGAATTATTAAAGGGATCCCCCCAAGGGGGAATTAGTTGAAAAAAGTGATACAAAATATTTATTGGAGGAAATTTAAATATAATTTAAGGGGAATTGAAGGTAAATACTAAGTAGGGGTTGCGAAAATATTTATTTAAATATATATATTAATATTTAAATATTTTAAAAATATAAAAAATGTTTTCATCAAGGATTTATAATATTTATAATATTAATTTCATACTCTCCTTCAAAATAATAATCCTTATAAAATTTGTTTTTTTGATTCTCTGCCTTAAAAATGCTTAAATTTTATTAAAACCCACCTTTAAAATAAAAGAAACCAAATGTATAAGAACAGAAATCAAAATCGCATCCAAGCTTAATTAATTTCCAATCAAAATAATATTTTCCCTTAACATAATTAGCTTTCCAATTATATATACCCTTCAAGCAAGATGTATCCCTGTCAATTTTAAAAAAGATCTCTATAACACATCAATCCCAGGATTTACATATATCATATCATATATTATATTAAATAACCCATCATAAAATTATGCAAATGCCAGGGAATATGATATACAAAATAAGCCAAACATTTGTCCACACAAAAGGTGGCAATTACACGATGAAAAAACACAGGAGGGAGACTTTGTAAAAATCTGAATCAAAAGCAACCAACCACCTCACACTGGCCTCCGCTTTCCTCTTTGTTGTTACGGATATATACTCGTATATAGGTATATAAATATACTCGTAATTTTTCAGCCGCCATTTCTGATCGACAGCTGTCATGAATGACAATTGGATTGCGGGAAACAGCAGCAGCAGCAGGAGCAGTAGGAGAAAAATGCCACTGAAACCGAGAGTCGCAGACTCGAAGCCTCTGCCCCTCGAGATTCTTATAAAATATGCAATAAAAATATGAAACCTCGTAATGATTGCCAGTATTTATAGATTTCAAGCAGAGACCCGCTGCTGCCGCGAGGTCATCAAATCGAAAACAACCGAATCGACATGGAAATTGAAATTGAAACAATGGCAGGCGGCGAGTCGCAATCGATGCCCCTTGCTTCAGGGGCGTCGTCCGGTTGGTAGGGGGATTATTTCAAGAGGAAACTGAACTGAACTGAACTGAACAGAATTGAACTGAAGTGGAGTGGTTCTCGAGTAAAACGCAGAAATGAGGTTGCTTTTTTGTGGGTCGTAACAGGACAAATGAGGAGAGTGGGATCTGATTTTGGGTGGCGAACTAAGAAGGGGATTTAAATAAATAAAATTAAGAAGAGAATACTTCTACTACTCAGCCAAAATAAAGAAAAAACTACATGAGAATTGATTATAAATTAAAATAAAATTAAATATTAATTTAAAATAAATTTTAATATTTTTAGTACATAAATCTCCTTATTTCTGTATGTTTAAATAATTCTTTGCATACTTTTAGGCTCTTCTTAAATTGATTTTAAATCTTAAGTAATGTTTTTCAGTCTTTTGTGACATTTTGTGAATTTTGTTGTGTCTATTTTGTGAATTATTTTAATTCCGTGAATAAATAATTTTTTTATATTTCTATAAATATTTATTATTATTTTTTTTTTCTATATCCTTTATCTGGTAGCTGATTCCCTTAGCTTCTCTGGCCAAACCCCATTTTAACGGACTGCTGCCTGCCCTTGAAGAACCTCATTCTATATGTTTTCATACGCACAACCACATGTGGGATGTGACCAAGGCATGGAGGTTGGGTAAGGGGTTAGGTAAGGAGTAAGGGAAGTATGCAAACGGGTGTATGCAAGGGGGTGTCGAACGGAGGGCACACACACAGAGTGCAAAACCTTTAAATGCAATTACGACGACCTCATGTCGCATGTGAACTCATGTGTGGAGAGTCGTCGTCACAAAACGCCAATGATATGCTCTCGAGTGTCTTTTGTTGTGGCTTAAATACAGAACCAGGGCAACTCCCCTTGTGTCCTGCGTTTGCTCCTGTTTTTACAGCCTCCTTTAAATTTTGAGCGCGCCAAAAAAAAAAAGCTGCGACGAAGCTTTCCATTCGCTAATCGGCCTGATGCACACACAGTTGTGTGTGTGTGGCATATGCACCGCTCCACAATCGCATCATTTTGAGCAATTAAGTGTGTATTATCCTTCGCAGCGTCTGTCAAAGGACCACGAAAGCAACTTCAAACCCCCGATTTCGCGAGCTGCGAGCTGCTCCTGTTTCTGTTCCTGTCCCGCCACCGGAAGTACATTGAATATGCGCCTGTGAGCGTGTGAGAGTGTATGCAGTAAACGGTATATGAGGCTCACTGGAAATATATATTTAATATTTATAAATTAAATAATTTATTGATGGACTCAACAGAAAATTGTATGTTACTTACCTGAGAATCTAAGATTTGATGAGGAGTTTATTTTAATGAATGATTTTTAGTAGTGAACTTTTGATGGTTAAGTCTTTGTTGGTGAATTGTTGTTGGTGTATATTTATATATATATTATTATTGTAATATTTCTGCACACTTTATAGAATAATTTTAATTTCCACTTAAAATAAATATTAAACTTTATTTTCTAGCAGTGCATCTCTGTCTGCTTCCCTCTCTCTCCTATAAAATCCGCGCTTTTCAAGCGCAAATTGTGCATTTATGTCGACAATGGCGAGCCAACAAAGGCAGCGGAATGGGATGCGGAGTACTCGTTATATGCGATTGGGACATGGGATATGGGATATAGGATATATGTATGTATGGGATATAGGGATACGCGGTGTTCTTATGCTTCGTATGCAGTTCTCATTGTGATGCCAACTTTTACTTTTGTTCGTTGTGCCAACTAACTGAAGGCGGTCCTAAGGCGTTTCGCTGTCAAGTCGCAGGGGCTAAAAAAATATGCTGTAATTTATTTTAAACTAGGAGAAACGAAGACCTAGGAGTTAGTTTTAGCAGAAATTAAGTCTTTAAAATTCCAAGAAATTTTTTAAATATTTTAAATCCCAGTCATCGTTGAATTGATTATCAAGCAAAGTGCTCAGTGTGCTTTCTGTCAGATCGAGTTTCAATAGAAATCATTTGCCATTCGCAGTTTTGGTTGTCCATTTGGAGAAAAGTCAAAAGAAAAAATATAAAAACCGCTTATAGATTTCGAATTCAAAGATGTCTGATCGCAAAGCCGTAATCAAGAACGCTGACATGAGCGAGGAGATGCAGCAGGATTCCGTAGACTGCGCCACCCAGGCTCTCGAGAAGTACAACATTGAGAAGGACATTGCGGCCTACATCAAGAAGGAATTTGACAAGAAATATAATCCCACCTGGCATTGCATTGTGGGACGCAATTTTGGCTCATATGTAACCCACGAGACGCGCCATTTCATCTACTTCTACTTGGGCCAGGTGGCGATTTTGTTGTTCAAGAGCGGTTAAAGTCTGGTCGAGATGTGGGAGGAGGTGATGGTGAGGATGCCTTTTGGAGGGGCAAGCACAACAACAACAACAACAGCAACAACAACACGTACATAGACACGAACACTGAGAGGAAGAGGTGCAGGATCAGTTGGAGCAGGTTGCAGCATCAACAAGAAACAAAAGACAATAAAAAATAGTTGACATCAATTTCAAGTATTTCTTTTGCTTATTTTTATATTTTTCAGGTTTATATCGAAGAATCTAGGTGTTTTTTTTTTCCTTTTGAACTTTCCCACTCCATTATTTTAGGCAAACTTTTCTTTCTAGCCACTCTCATGCTCCTTGGGCGATTTTTCATTCGCTTTATTGCCCTCTCTGGGCTGTCACAAACAAGTGTTGGCCAGCCAAAGGCAACCACATACACGCCCACTTGCCCGGAAGTTCTTCTAGCCAGCATGTCTCCTCTGGCCAATTTAAAAATTCAATTTAATTTCAATTGATATTGGAAAATCTTTCTGCGAAAACCCAACCACATGCGCAGCGGGGAAGCCCCATTAAGAAAGGCGACAGGAATTTTCCAACTCGGACTTGGACTCGTCGACAAAAGGTGCAAACAGCCAAAGCAATTACATCACAGATTTTCATCGACACAAAGTTTTCGTTGATAATTGAAATGGGGCTTCCTCTTGGTTGGTTGGTTGGTTGCTGGAAGCCCAGACAGAAGGAGCCATAAATTATGCACAGGACATGAAGGACAGCCAGTAAAAGTAACCACCAACCCTCACGCTCACTAATTGCCTGGTCCTGGTCCTGCCAAGGACCTCCGGGCAGCAGATTGCTCTCCGCTCTTCTGTTTTCCTAGCAACGCCGTCCTCGTCGCCTTGGGCTGTGAAAGATTTGCCACACGTTCCGGCCATCTCATAAATAAAAGCAAAATTTCATTAAGACAAATTATTGTCTATCAATATGTTGCCACAAAACAGGAGCTGGGAAGTAGAGCGGGCCAGGACATTCATTGCTCATTTGCCAGCCCGCTGGTCGACCTCCCTCTTTGGTATTTGTATGTTTACATAATAATATTTGCGGCTCATAATTGCATAAATTTTTAAAGCGAAACGCGTTTCAGGCTTGTGTGCAACCTGCAATCCTCATTGTTCTCTTCTGACCCCTGGATATCCCTTTTCCCAGGCTCGGGGATACCCTAACCAAAACGGCAGAGTTTAAGGGGTACAAATATATTTTAAAATTGATTTAATTGTTTGATATAAATTTGTAAAAAATTATTAATAATAAATAAAATATAAAGGTCTACAAATATTTAATTTAAAGGTTGTTTAGGTAGTTTATTTGATATTTTAATTGTTTCATATTTAGAATATATTTTTAGTTTCTTTCTAAAACATTTTAAAAAGACATTTTAAGTCGTTTTTTCTTGTGTAGAATATATTTTTGATCTTAAATATCTTTAATTTTTAAGCAAAGATTTTTTCGAAATTAGTTGTTTTATTTTTTTTATTTAAAAATAAATGGTATTTTTTGTTTATTCATTTTAATTAAAGAATGAATTCTCTTAAGTACAGTTTTTATTAGATTTTTCTTAATTTTGTAATTTATTATGTAATCTCTGATTGATTTTTCAATTTTTAAAACTCCAAAATGTCTCAATTTCCTTTGATTAAAAATGTAATTATATAATCAAACTTTATAAAAGTATTTTTTTTACCTTTTTCTTAGAGTATTTAATGCCTCGACTCATATTTAGTTATTTTCCCATTGTTTAGCATTGGTTTTGGGGTTAAATACGTAGAAATTAAATTAAATATGCCCGCGGTTAAATGTCGTTGCACAACCCACAGGTTGTGCCCTTCCGCAAACACACACAAAAGGGATTGGGACTGTGGGCCTAGGCTTAAATCCAATTACGATGATAACCAGGGGGCGGAGTTTTCAATCAGGTGAATAATATTTTCCCAAGCCACGTGCTCGAAAGTGAGGCATCAAAAATAAATATTTTCAAAAATATTCCCAATAGGAATATTTGAAAGATAATTTTCTCATGAGGGAAGATCAGAAAGAGGGATCCCCCTTCTTCTTCGCGGCGGCGACACTTGACTTCCCACTAATTGTTATGACCGCATAAATCGACATTTATTACTCTGCCAGAAGAGAGGAAGACTCCAATCCAATCCAATTGCTCGGCTGTCACAGAGTTCATCGATTTTCTCGGTTTCGTCTTCAAAGCCGCGACTGCGGCTAGAACAAATCGAGTGTGAAATTCGATAAGTGGCTGGGATTGTCTGAGTTTCCAGCGGGGGGAGATCTTGTTTACAGAGAACACCCAAAATCGACGAATACAAAACTATTATGGGAGCCATGAATTCTGAATTATGCTCCACTTTAACGCGACTTTTACGATGGCAATTGAAAAATTTGTTTCTTTTTCTTGTTCTCCGGCGCAGAATAAAAAAATTTTTGTTAAAGTTTTGATTCATGATATTTTAAGTGGTTTTGTGACACTTGACAAGTGTATATATTTTTGATTTGTTTTGAAGATGTTGTAAAGAAACTAAATAAGGGATTTAGATTAAGAGAAGATAAGGAAAGGTAATTTTTGAAACCCTATTTCAGTAGTTCTTCTTGTAAAACTAAATTTAAAATGTATGTTTTTTATTTATTTCTGTTTTAATATTTTAAGTAGCCTTTTCTTTAACTTTCAATTTTTAATTAAATTTTGTAATATTTCTATAAATAAATAATAAAGCAGAATTCTTATTATATTTAGTAAAACCCTTCAATTTCCCGCACATTAATATGTTAGGTTTTTTTAAATTAAATAAATATAAATTTATACATTTTCAAATTATGTTTTAATTTTTAACCTCTTTAAACAAGTTTTTTCCAAGTTCTTATATAATTTTCTATTTTCTTTTCTATTTTTTGTGTGAATAATAATCGTAAATAACTTATTTAGCCATAAATTTAGTGCCGAAAAATGACATCTACCCCCCTGATGGCCCCCTTCCCCTTTTGGTCAATAAAATGATTTACATGAAATTCCCATTTTCCCAGGGCCACTTGACTTGGCGACGCAAGTCAACCTCCCCACTAACCCCTCCTCCAGCTCAACTAAATCGCGACTAAGTATTATACTATATAGATTATATGGCCACGCACATACACTCTACACACACACACACACAAAACACACTAAAGACACTAAGCACGACAAAAAGACATTAAACACGACAACGAAATAAAAAAACATTGAAGTTCCTTATCAGCACTTCCGGTTTTCGTGACCAATGTCTTGGGGTGTGCACACACACCATATATACACACACACAATGTGCCTTTTTGGTGTATCAGTTTCGCACACTCTCCGGATCTGAGCCCGGGCATGCAAAGGTTATAGAAATGGAAAAGTCGGGGTTATGGTTGGGGGATTGTAACCCTCTGATTTTAGCCTCTATTCCCCTTCCCCCCCCAAGTTAGTCTTAATTTCTGGACATGCTCTTGGCCACACTGGTTATCCTCCATTATTCATAAATATGCAAATGCCAGGGCGTAATAAATTCCAGATGCATGGCCAAAGGCTGCGGGTCAATTTCGAGCTCACGCTCATGGGCTTACAGTTTATACACTGAAAATATTTATTGTATAAAATAAAGTGAAGTAATTTATAAAATCCCAAACAGACCTTTTAAAAAAATGTCATCTAGTTATTAAAAGAGAAAAAATTTCAAGCAAAACTAAATCTATTTCTTTTCCCTTAATAAAACCTCATGTTCCTTGTATTTTCCCAATTTTCCTCTGTGCATTTTCGTTTGGCTTTGGTTCTTTGGTTTGGTTGGGGTGGTGCTTGGCCTGTTTAGCACTCAATCTGAGGCGGCTCCTCCGGACCACTGGCATATGCCACATTACCTTGCCGCAAATTAAATGGTCTCGCGTTTCGGCTCAGTTCTGCCGAGGACTCCTTGAGGTCCTTCCGTTGGCAGGCTGGGATTCTTGTTTAAGGGGCTGGCCAGGCGGCGGCTGGTTGCATGTGGTGGGCGTTAACTCAACTCATACACCCGAAGGACACGAAATCCTGCAGAGATATTCCTAAAGGCACAGTGAGATGCGGGCGTGACAACTCACGAGTGGAGGAAAGTTAATTGAATTTTGTTAATGATGAGAAGGATTTAATTTTTTTTATATTTAAGGTATAATTATCAGGGGTTTTTCCATGATAAAAATATGTGTAAGTCCTCCTGCTCTCCCCTTACAAAAGTCCTGTAAAATGGTTCTTAATCATCGCTCTCCAAAGATGATTGTTTTTCGCCTTGACTTTTGATTTAAAACAAAATAAATCATCAATTTTCTTTTTGCTCTAATACAATCAAGACAACCAGGACCTCCCAAAACCCGCTAAGGACACCCCCTACTGGCGCCGGACTGTGTATAATGCGCACAATCGCAGCCAGGACACGAAATCGGAAGGAAAGGAAGTCCTAATGTGTGGTGGTTCGAGGCAGAGTCAGTTTCGAGGGAGAACTGTTTGCGCAGCACAAAGTGAGTTTTCTTTCTTTCTTTTTTTTTCGAGAAGAAGAAGCCGGACCTTTGTAAGGAAGGATGGCAGGACACACACACACTCACTAACAGGGAACAGGACTTGTGCTTGAGTTTTGCCTGGGCAAACAAGCGTATAAATTGAGTTATAATTTGATTTCGCCACTCCTTTGGCTCCGGATGTTGGCTTCACCGTTTATTTAAATGAATCCTTCCCCGGACATGTGGCAATTGGTTGTTATCCTCTTGAATTTTCGGGGTTTAACACAAGGGCTCTTGTATACAGGAAAACTATGATTGGTCATACTTGTGACTTCTTGCAAGAAACGGATGTGTAAGAGTGTGGTTTTTGGTTTTGATTTTGAGGGCAATTAAATTTAAATAGAATTTCCTTTGAAAATTGCTTTGGCTTTTCCAACTCTTTCTCTCTCTCTAACTTGAAGCTAATTACCTTCCCTAAGACAAAGGAATTTTACTGCCTGAGAAAATCTGCTGCTGCCTTGCTCTCATTTACTTAAAATGTTGCTAAAAAGTATCCTTTGTGGGTAATATTATTTTTAAGAATTAAGGCAGGCAGAACTAATACTTTTTTAATTAAGCCAATTTGCGGGTTCTGGTGGATCAGTAAAGGCCACTTGGGGGCGGCAATATGCGTACAATGTGATTCGAGATTTTTTTTTATATACTTTTTTTTTCAGCAAACCTTTCTCTGTCGTATTTTCTGTGTATATATTTTATTTTTTTTTGCATTCTTAATGCTTGAAATGGCAAAATGGCAGTTTACGCTTGCTACACATTTTGTCCTGTTTGCCGGCGGAATAAACCCCAGACCCAGATCCATTTCTGCCCCCTCCCCACCTCGTTTCTTTCTTCTTTTTTGCCACATTGAGTGGCACTCTCAAGCATGTCTTTACATCTCTTTACGCTTGGGGGGATTACTTTTGGGCGGGGAAAATCAAGGGAACTCTGTGGGGAAAATGGCCGCCCTCAGAGATATATACAAGTATACTGTATGTTTTGAGTTATTACTTTGCATATCAACGAACACATGGTGAGTCCCAAGATTTATGTTGCAATCGGGGCTTGTTTATGCTTTCGATAAGGTCCGAAAAAGGCCAGATAAAACCGTCGACGAAGAACAGATTCAAAAACTCAAAGGCAGACTTTACTTCTCCAGGCTACAATGTGTCTTTTTCTCTGTATTTTTAGACATTTATCAGCAAAGCAAACACAGAACCCAGGGAGACAGGCAGGCGCAACCACAACTTAACAGCAACTCAAACTTTTGTTTTGTCTGCCCGAAGTGGTGCCCTCTGTATCTGTATCTGCACGCTGTATCCGTATCTGTATCTGTATCTGTTTTTATGCACCCGCATGGATCTGTCGGATCGCGGCGGCTGAAAATCGATCTGCAAGTGCCCCCGAACAGAAAGCGCAGAAATGCGCAAAAAGTCACGTAGTCAGCGAAACAGACAAAACCATATAGACAACGATTTGCCCTGATATTTACGTACTATATGGCGGGGTGTAGGGATGAGGAGGGACTTGTAGGGGGTGGCAGCTGCACGTGGCATTGATCTGGGGCCACAACTCCAACAGGAGGAGTACGATTAGGTGACTGCCAAAGCACAAAAGCCAGAAACGAGTTCACTTCAGGACTACACTGAGGGAAATTGGGAAGAGATATATTTTATAGAGAAATATTTATTACCAAAAAATGAGGGGAATATATAAATAGGATATATACAAATCAAAGAGTTAGGTTGATTTTTAAGAATTTTAAATATCGAAAAATATCGTTAATATTGATTGTAATTAATTTTTCTCTCTTTTTATACCCTTGCAGGGTATTATAATTTCAGTCAGAAGTTTGCAACGCAGTGAAGGAGACGTTTCCGAACCTATAAAGTATATATATTCTTGATCAGCATCAACAGCCGAGTCGATCTAGCCATGTCCGTCTGTCCGTCTGTCCGTCTGTCCGTCTGTCCGTCTGTCCGTCTGTCCGTCTGTCCATCTGTCCGTCTGTCCGTCTGTCTGTTTCTACGCAAACTAGTCCCTCAGTTTTAAAGCTATCTGAATGAAACTTTGCATATAGTCTTCTATATACTCTCACTGCTATATATGTCGGAACGGGCCGGATCGGACGACTATGTATATCATATAGCTGCCATACAAATGTTCGATAAATTTTTAGAAAAAAATTATAACTTGGGTGTTTTTTAACATTTTTGCACTATTTTTTAGATATGGCCGTTTTATATTATTTCAGATTTTCGGTAAAAATTTTATGAAAATCGGACGACTATATCTTATAGCTGCCATAGAAACGATCGGGAAATTAATAGGAAAAAAATTATAGCTTCGTTGTTTTTCAACGTATTTTTATCTACTCTGAGGTATAAGCCTTTTTTATTATTCTAGAATTTTGGTATAAATTTCAAAAAAATCGGACAACTATATCATATAGCTGCCATAGAAGCGATCGGTAAATATATAGACTATGTAAAGCTGTGAATGTAAAACTGTAACTGTCAAACTGTGAACATAATAAGTATAGGTAAAATGTAATGAAACTCGGGTTTGTGAGTGTTTTCAGCATTTAAATCCATAATATAAATATCAAAACCAATCTGCAAGGGTATACAAACTTCGGCGTGCCGAAGTTAGCTTCCTTTCTTGTTATCGATTCTTTTTAGCCGATATTTGACAGAGAATACATATTAATCTATTTTGGTATCCATTTATTCATCGCAAAATCAAAATATCGATATTTTCATGGAATTTCGATCAAATATCGATGAAATCGGGTACTAATTTTTGATATACCATCTCAATTTGTACAATCCTAATCCCCTTCCATATAACCCATATATTTTTCTCACTGTATTCTCAGTACCAAATGGGCAATTAAAGTGTCACAAGTTCGGGACATGCAATATTTCATGACGCAATGCCTAAGATTATGAATATAAATGCAAATTAGTCCTCGGCTAGTCTCAGCCCACCTTGCCCTACCTCAGCCCACCTTTCTACCCTTAAGCTTAGCTCACCTAGCCCCGCCGATTTCCACCTGTCTGTTGTTGTGGTCAGCAGGAGAGGAAGGAGAGGCAGAAAAGAGATGGAATGAGGGGTTAGCTGGAAAGCGGGAGCGTGACAATCATTAAAAGTCAAGCGACGACGAGGACGAGGACGAAGGACCAGGGACGACGAACGACGAACGACGACAACGTTGAAACGTCCGACGTTGAACAATCACTGAAAATGACTAACGGTAACCACGATAGCTCACATCCGGACCAAAAGTCCTGGCCTGAATACTATATACCACACCATATTCCGTACGAAGAAAAGCTTTCGGGGGGACCCGTGCACGTTGAAAGAAAATTACGCTCTTATCTCGCTTCCTGTCGTGACACAATTTTCTATCATAGAAGCCACTCGAGGAACCGACTTCGTCCTGATGTTGTTCCGTAACTTGGGTCAAATACATAAAGTTATTATTGCTTTTACTATTTCGGCTTTTGGGAGGGGTGCAAGAGGGGTCTGAAAAAAGTAATGATAAATGTGCCACGCTCACGTTTTCCAAAACTCTGAGCTTAGGGGTTTTTGGGCCATTATTTACTAACACACAGATTTTTTTACGAAAAGTGTCACTGAAATGGGTTTTAGGCTAGAATTACATAAGCCAAGGGATCATTGGTATAATTTCAGGAAGGTAGGGTAATTATATTTGAGTCACAAAATTCAAGAAAATCTAAATAAACGGTGACTAGGAGAAACAAGTTTCTTATTTTTTCAATATTTACTTCTTTACTTTGATTAAATCATTATACAAAGTTTTAAAAAGTGATTTCCCAGAACACCTTCTTCATTTCCCATTAAAATAACTTCAGGTGTTGGCTTATTACCAACAGTTCTTTCTAAAACCACTTTAACTTCCTAAAATTTAACCTTATTTATGTATTTTAATCACACAACTAAACTTCTAACAGGTTACTATAACTGAATCTTAACCCAGAAACATTGTTTTCGTAACCCCCAAGTAATGGCCATTTAATGCATAATTAAATTGTCCAAGCACATGCAAGCGAAAGTAAAGATTACAATTTTTTCTATGAATTTCATAAATACTTAATTAAGTGGGTTTGCTTTCTGCCTCTTCGTCTCTGTCTCACTCCCTTCTCTCGTCTTGCTCGTACTCTCTGTCTCCTGAACGTAATGAGATGAAAATTGCAACAACAAAAAACATATATACGCTACGTACGTGACAAATTGAAAAAAAGCGCATCAGTGGAGCGAAGTTAACTGGTGAGACCTGTGTGGAATCAACCATACCATATTGGACAGCGACATCGTCGTTTCTGATGACTTGACCAAGTACAGCGACAGCTACTGTGACTGACTTTTACGAGTCCCAGTAAAAAAAAAAAATAAACCAATATCTCAGAACGATGTTCGAGGCGAGTGTAAGTGGAGCTTGGAGCTCCCTCCTGTATGGGACCTGTATGGGGGCTGTCGTAATACTATCTAGACACGTGAAATGAGTTATCAACGGTTACAGTGGGGCAAAATGTGAGGAGGAATGTGCCTATAAATATTATAATTACTTTGGTTTTGAGTGTTGTAACTTGTTGTTGTAGAAAGAGAGTTTTATAAAAGGTTTTATGAAAACACAACACTTACCTTCTGAAGTTTCCTAAAAAATAAACAAAAACTTGTATTAAAAAATATTAAATAAAATATTTAGGGTTATAAATAAGTTCTTAAAGGTAACTGTATAAAAATAAATATAAATTATATTATTAAGCATAACCTTTTATATTAAAAATAAGTCTTATAAGTTTTCAAATCAATTTAAAATGTTAGATAAGATAAGATTTAAGTGTTATATTCGATCTTTTCTGGCTTATTTGAAGATAATTTTTTCGTCTTTGTTTTCTCAGTACAGTCACCACTGTCCACGACGGACAATCAGCTCGCGAATAGTGTCGCTGTAAACTTAGAATCGGCACATGACTTAAAACTTATTACCATGACGCAGATCACAAAAAAAATGTCTCAAGGGAATATTGTCAACCAGCGGTCCAAGACCAATTATGACTTTTTACAGATGCCCATATATGTAGATATGGATGTGGCTATGGATGCTGTGGTCATGTTTGTGGAGTAAGCAATACTGTCCTATGCCATTCTGCACCTCGTTTTCCCTGATTTCCTTCTCCCCAAAGCCGAAGGCTCATGGCTCATAACTTTTTCAGTTAATGAAGACATAAAACCCAGTGCTGTGGCTGCGCGGCTGCCACGGCAGCTAAGGGCAATAAACACAGAGGCAGAAATAGCAACAAAAACAAGAGCAACACCAGCAGCAAAACAACAACAAGGAGCTTGCCCCTTTGCTTTTGCAGCAAGGTATTTGTTTGTTCTTTTTCTGCTGCGATTTACTTTTTCGCCTTTTGTTTGTTTTTGCAAAATCACAAGAAAGTTGCGCCCATAAGTCTGCGGAAAACAAGTTCAGAGATATCTCCAAAGAGTGATAGCACGGGGTTTAGCGGGAAGGGGTTTTTTCTTTGTTTTGCCTTGAAATAAGGTAGAAAAGAGGTGTGTATTTGTGGAGGAGAGTAACTACAGTGTGGTCTGTGTATGGAGAACACTCTCTTATAATAATAATAATATAATATACATTTTATAAACAATTAAATTGAAAAGTTGAGGAACATAATATTAAAATATTTATTTTAATTAGGGGTTTAAGATACTTGATTCTTACAGTAAACCCTTAATAGCTTTAACCCATCAATTGTCTTATTTAAAGTCCACTGTATTTTCAGCGGAGAGTATTCTATGTGGCTCTCTGTCCTTTTTTTTTCACCGCTATATACCAGCAAACGCCATTTTGTGCAAAGTTGTTGCTGTCTCTGCTTTCTGCTGCCGCTTCTGCCTCTGCTGCCCACTGTCGCTATCAGCGCACATCAATGGACCAGCGACCAACGACGAGCGACGAGCGGCGACAGTGCGGCGACACAATTTGGCGCACATTACGTATACGCAGCGTTGGCCAAAGCGAAAGAGCAACAACCGAGGAGCAAAGCAACAGAATAGCAGCCAGCAGCAGCAACAGATGAGCGAGCGGGATGGACATAGAATATGGAGAGATAGAGAGCGCCAAATGAGCAGCGACTGAGAGATATGATAACGGCAGCAGCAGCAGCAGAGGCGACCAGCAGCAGCGACCGCAACAGAGGCCACGCCTCCATTTGGTAATCTCAGCGGACTTTTCTTTTGTTTTCAGGCCCACCGAAAAACAACAGTCAAGGACCTCTTGGAGAGCCTTTGTCCTTGGCTGGTAACCTCTTAACACACTTCATTAATCAAATGCCAGCAGCAATGCATAAAGCTGGCAAGAAAAAAAACAACAAGAAAAAACTGACTCGCCAAAAGAGCAACAAGCAACAGACGAAATTCGCCGTTACTATTGAGGCGAATTCAAGCTCTCTCTCTCTGTTTTGCGGAGACAAAGCTCCACCCCAAGCAAAGTAGAGCGCAGACGCAAGAGTACAAGGAAGAGAGCGCCACATTGGAGCATCTGAGGGAGAGGGAGTTCTACTGCTGCTGCTGCTGCTGCTGGGACGCCAAAACTTTTTGCCGCTCAGTCTCTGTCGACGCAGACGATGACAAACGAATGACAGACAGCACACTCCACTCTCCGCTGCGCTGGGCTCCACGCTCCATGCCCCCAACCAAAGTCAGGCCAAGAGAGAGAGAGATAATAACAAAGAGATAAGGGAGACGACAGCGAAATGGCGACAGCAGCAGCAGCAGCAACAACAACAACAACTCCCATTGAATGCCCGCCAGTCAGAAGCGTTCGTTTTGCCTGTATTTGTGCGCCTGTGTGGGAGAACACTGTTGCACATGCCAGGGATAGGAAGGAGGAGCAGGAGGTGGGTGAGGAGGTGGCTCTGCTGCACGATTACCTCATACTGTAAATTGCATCTCCACAATTGTATATGTATGCATATAAAATACATGTATGCACTGCATGCGTGTGAGAGTGTGTGTTTGTGTGTGGGTGTTTGTAATTTCCTGATAATTAAATCTGCACAGAAATTATTTCACTCTCCACTTTCGCCACTCTCCTCGCCTCTCCTCTTGTGCGCTTTTCTCTGCAAAGAAATTAATGAAAAACTCGCAATTGGGATAATGAAAACGACTTTGCCCAGATACGTTTTCCCTTTGGCCATTAATGTGGCCATAATTTTGGATTTTAGCTCTTAATTAAGGCGGCTTCTTGGCTATCGAGGTCATTGTGAGTGCTGTGCGGTGCTAAGAGGACATTACACATAGGGATACTCTTGTAAAAGGAGCTATTTGTAGAGATGTATACAAATTAAATAAAATAGTATGATCTTTTAGTAAAGAAATATGTTTTGGTAAGTGTCATATCTGTATAATTATGACACTATTATAAAACTACTATGTTTTTTGTATTTTTCAAGTATAGGATATTAAATAAATAGAATTATTAAAAAGATTCTTTATCTAGTTGATAAAATAATTTTTAAAAATCAATCAAAGGCTTGTCTATAAAGCTTTTAATTTTGTTTTTATTAAATTCTACTAAACCTATTTAAACTAGAGTCACCATTACATGATAATTGTTCACGTAATTGAATCACTTCCCTTACAAGATTATTCAGTATACAGGCAAAGGAAGAAACATTTGATAAAAGCCACTTATTACGTCTAAGGGGCAACGTTTTGTGGGAACTTGGTGTTATCTCCGCTGGGGATTTCCCTCTCTATGCCTCCCCCTGGTACAGATACAGACAAAGCATGATTTAATTTCCTTTCGCCATGCCCTATTATAGAAAAATCACTGCTGCATTCAGTTTGGTCCCAAGATATTGTGTATTTTTAGTACCGGCAAGCCCACAGGCAGGCGGGCAAGTGACCTTGAAATAATTGGCTAAAATCCCAAAGCAAAGTTCTGCCCTCCAGTTGTGCATGTACTTTGGTAAATTTATATATATATTTTTGGTTTGGCAAGATCAAGTGCGGTCTGTAAATAGAACAATGGCAGCTTTTTCCCCATTTTTCCCACCCTCCCCCTAAGGCTATTGTTCGTGTGTGGCGCCCCCGCAAAGAGTTAGATAAACAGCTATGAAAACTGCAATTATTAATAAGGCGCAGCGCATTTCGGATGCCAAGATCCGTTTGCTTTGGGCCAATTATACGTTCCATAAACCTGACCCAAAACTACACAGCTAACTACAGATTTTTCGCGTATATTTTACGAGATGGAACAGAAAACAAATGTTTTTCACTCGCCTGACTTGCTTTTATTATGGCTTTTCCACCGCCCACCCGATCTGGCTATGGGCCCGCCCTCCTCACCTATGTGTTTTTCTTTTTTCTTTTTTCTTTTTATTTTTTTCTTCTTATTTTTTTTTCTCTCTTGTAATAAAGGAAAAATGCGAGCAATGCGCTGGAATTGGAACGCAGCTGAAGGCAGAAATATTATTATTATGCAGACTAGGATCTAGGGGGGATACAAAGGGGAGTGCACCCAGAAAATAAAATATTTAAAATGAATGATGAATTTTTCTATAATATAGATACTTAAAAATTCAATATATTTCAGTTTACGATACTTTTGGGGACGGAAAATGAATACTGAGTAGGACTATAACTAGTTGGGAATTTTAGAAAGTTTATTTCTTATATTAAATACATAACATATAATTAAAATATAAATAATAAAATATAAATATAATAAATTAATGAATAGCAAAAGAACGGATTAAAATTTTCCCACACCAAATCTGTATTTATACCAATCTCTCAGCATTTACAGGAAATTTAATCGAATTCTCACATTTTTTATGTACAATTTTTTCAGTGCTTATGCTGGGTCTTCTCCTCTGGCATGAATAATTAATGCAAGCGAAATATTGATTGCATGTACTTGAAAAGAGTTCCAGACGACGACGCCGTCAGACGTCCGACATCCGACATTGTCGGGCATAGGCCCTATGCTCGTATGACAAACGACTGACACGCGGACTGAGCAGGCGACAAATCTACACCGTACCTCCTCCTCCACCCCTCCCAGGAGAGAGCACCCCCTGTCGGAAGAGCAACCTCCACCCACAAGACTACCCCCCAAGCCCTCTGCCTTTTGCCTGCCCATTGGTCAGAGGGTGGTCCCTGTCCTTCGATGACTTTTCCAGGGGGCTAATAGAGTGGGTGTTGCATAAATTTACACAGCGGGTATGTGGAAAGAGGTAGAGAGAGTCCTTACAGGACCAACAGGGGTTAAGAGGGGGCTCAAGCAAGTCGAGGGGCTAACAAAGGACACTCCAAAAGGGGTTAACACACACACACACAGGAGGAGGCCAAAGAGGGAGAAAACCAAGCCAGAGTTAGGCCTGAAACTTACTTACTTGGCATGTGCATGGCCATGTGTTGGGCTTTAACAACCGGCCATATAGATAGATGGCTTTGATAACAAGGTTAAGTGACGACTTTTCGCTGATTTCCCAAAAATGGGGGAAATCTAGTCTAAAGGCGGGACTTCTTAGGTATCTATTGATATATAAAATGTTATGATAAAACCTTTAAGCCATTAAGGTTTAGGGTTTATAATATATCCAAAACATTAAAGTGGTTACGAAAGTTCTTGAGAAGACAATATATGAGGGTTTTGGGATAGTCATTAAGGTAGATTTTACAGATATTAATATCCTGGAGGATTTATTGCTCAGAATAAGGTTTATTTCTTGAGCTAAATCTATTTTTCACTAGCTTCATTACTTCATTATTTTGTTAAAGGCTAAAGAATAAATTTTATGGTAAACTATACCTTGAAAATCCTATAATTTTGCTTCTATATATTTTTTAATATATATTATTTTTCTTTGCCACCACAGACCTCTTCTATTATCTCCCATAAAACACAACCGTCGTCGCCTTTATGGCTTTCCCAACCAATGGTTGGGCTGGTCTCCGCTCCACCTTCCTTCTCAGCCAGGTGAAAGCCCATTGGATTGGGCAAATCGGCGAGGTCTCGGTCTCCAATTTGGAGGAAACCTCTCCTCGAAAAAGCCTTTCCTCCAGGCCTCTTTTGTGTCTCTTGGAAAACTTGCGTGACTTCATTTGCATGAATTACGTTGCGTTTTTTCCCGAGCGCCGTCGTCGTTAGTGTCCTTTCGCTGCCCACAGAGCACACCTACCTGGCGAAGGAACCCCAAGCCAAGTCACCACTACCAAGGCCCGGCCACGTGCCTGTGTGCGGTTCGGTTGGTTGGTCGAAGTCGGAGTGCCTGGCTCCACCCGTTCCTTTTCATAATTGCCACCGCGGTAGTCAGTCTCCTTTTTTCCTTACACTCTTCCCTCCTCTCTTTTTTATTTTTTTTTTGGTATGGAAAATAGTTGGAAAAATAATGAAAGGAAAAAGAAAAAAGAAACTATGGCGCATAGACGAAATAGTCTCGGCGTTCTCCACGCTCCGCTCCGCGCTCAGTTGATTTGAGTTTTTCTGTTTTTCAGTTTTCCGCCTGCCGCCTGCCGCCTGTTTTCTGTTTTCCATCGTCAGTCGCTTTCGAGGAGCTTTGTGGGGCAGGTGTGTTCAGGTGGTTTTTTGAGGCTGCTCCCAGTTCCATTTTTCGCATTTTCCACCAAAAAAAAAAAACATACTGTGAGTGCCTTAAACTGGAAACACACAACAACTCAGAAGCCCTTTTTGCCGTCGGTTTATTTGTGGGGTTTTTCTCAATATTTCCCCCCCCACTAACCTCGAGACGCGTGTGCAAAATAAAAAAAAAAAGGAAACCACAAGCCAGACATTTGCAAAGATTTTTTAAACAAAAAAAAAGAGCAAACACCCTAGCCCCTTGGTGGATTTTATGCAAATGCAATTGTGTCGGTTGTCCACCCCGGAAAAACTTGTGTTCTTGATTTGCGCAAAAAAAAGTGATTTCTAATTGTTTCGACTTCTCCGCGAGAGAGAGTGAGCAAAGGAGCCTAGGGCGGAGTGTGTCAATGTCAATGGAAAACGGATTTTCCACTCTCATTCAGCGACTTTTGGTTTTCCGCGTGGATATGCAATAAGCCCAGATTAATGACGTCCTTGTTGGAGATTATCATGCGATCGAAGGCGATTGCAAGGAAATTCAATCAGGGTGAGTTAAGGAAATTGGTGAAAAATTATATATTAAATTGGTTAAAGGAAGGGGAATTAATTTGTAATAAAAAAGATGGTGTTCAAAATTATTATGTTTATTTTTAATTTATTAATTTATGTTAAATTAAATAAGGAGTTTCATTTTCTGGGAAATATATTTCCTATAAGTAACACACTTATATATTTTATGTTTACATTTTGTACTAAATATGAATAAATCAAAATTAATTTTCAATAATATGCTTAAAAAAATATTCAAAAATTCTTAAATTCCTAATAACTTAAAACCACAAAATTGTCATAGTTAATAGGAAACAATTAAAGATAACTTAACCCCATTAAAAAACGCGCAATTATTACAATTTCCCTCATAAAAAAACCCAAAACAGCCCCAATATCACATTAATAGTACCTTAGAGACCCATTAAAATATAATCCAGAAGGAATAATTAATTATAACCACTTGTGCCTAGACCAATTCAATTAAAAATGAATTTTTAGGAGCCTAATTCAAATCATAATCAATTATTTGAACAAGTGGGGCCAACTTATCAAATATTATTTCAACACAAAAATGTGAAACATGACTTATTACTCGAACACCCTTGAACACTTGAAGATATGTCTGAATATCTAAGAAACACTTTCGATTCTCCACACAGTTGAATAATTATTTTCAGCGAAAAAAATGAAGAAATATCACAAGTAACCCCTGGGGAGCCATAATATAATCTTTGTCCGAGAACTGCAATTCAGTGTGTGGATCCCTAGAGACCCAATCTTTGTACGACAGCGGACATTCCAACTCAAAGTCCGAGTCAGACTTGGGACACGAATTTTGGAGTCACTCTCGTGGCGCAGCTCGTGCCCTTAAACTAATCTTAAAAAAACAACCACAAGTATCCCAAGACATCTGTTTCAATTAGGCAAAACTTTTGTTCGTTTTCTCACAGGCTTTGTTCTCTTTGGGGTTTTTGTTTTTTGTATTGTTTTTTTGCGTCTTTTTGGGTCTGCAGATAAACCGATTTTGTATAAAGAAATGTTTTGAAACACGCATACACAGATTTGGCAACCGTTCTCTGGCTCAGATAAAGATAGGAATTTGTCTTGAAAAGTGACATTGAAAGGGCTTCGGACATGTAATTTTCAGAGTGTTGATTAGCTGCTTAACTGCTAATTTTAAAAGCATTTCAGGGACTTAGGCACTAAAAATCATATAAGTTTCGTTTTAATTATTTGTACTTTGAGTAAATACTTTTTTCCTTTTTCGATCTTTTCGACGACGAGAATCTCACTTTGATTAATGTTTGAACGTCGTAAAAAATAGTCCGGATTTCCTAATTGCTTTTCTTATATCGTCATTGTTTTTGTGTTTCTTATTTGCTTTATTTAAAATAGAAATGATTCAGGCAATGCGCACTTAAGTCGGAAGATCAAACCCTGTGGGAATTTACGAATTTCCGATTTGAGTTTATAATTATGCCAGGCGGAGTTGACTTGATATTTTTCATGGAATTAAATGCAAGTATAAAAAAAATTAAAGATATTGAGAGACGTGAGTCTTATAGGGATAAAGAAAATAAGTCTTGAGAGTAATAAAAATAAATATTATTAATTTAGAATTCCAAGAATTTGTGTGTTATATTTACTAAAAAAAATATTGAAAAAAATATTGTTAAAGCTGAAAAGATCTCTGCATATTATTATAATAAATATAAAAATTTTAAATATATATTTATGTACATTACAAAAAAAAAATGTATTTTAAAATTAGGGATGAGTTGGGAAAAAATTTAAAAAAAACTTACAAAATTTATTGCAAATTTTATGTATCGATTTAAATATCGATTATACTTCGAAATTTTCTAAGCTTGCTCAAACCTTTTAAATTATTTTTACATTTTATCCCCCTCCATAATTGGCCATTTTATGACTCCATCATGATCATTCTGTCCCAATTAACTTTTTAATGTACCCTAAATTCCAAGGCAGACATTTTTTATGGTCCACTTCCCCTCAAAAGAGCTACTTACCCCCACAATCTGACACGAGTTTCCCCCCCAAAAACGCAAAAATCCCCAAACGAAAACAAGAAAAGAATCAAGAGGAATGCTAATCTCCAAGGCGATAGCCAAAAGTTCCTGGCAATCGTGACCATCACAGGCATTATCATTACCGTTATCAGCGCCATCGTCGTTAACATTATCATTATCATCAGCAACATCGCCTTAGTCGTCCGAAGAATCGACTCTGGTCGATGGTAAAAAAAAAAAATCGTTATCGCCCTCGAGTATCAGCATTTTTATGACCTGAGAATCGATTGTATTAAGAGCTATTAAAATATTTTCTAAAACCTGCTGCTATCATATCATTCAATTAGGCAAGAAACGGCTATATATAGGATCATAAAACATAGCATTCGGTGTCGCCTGATAGTGATAGTGAAGCCTCAAACACCAATCATTCGGATCGGTTTCGGTTTATTTCTCAACACATTAAAGCCCCATAAATACATCAAAATAAAAGTGTCGCACGCAGAGTATTTACAGCCCCTTTGCAGATAATGTAAGGAAGACATATGGATTGGCCCTCTTACAATATTTTTTCGGAGTGTAAACTTGGTCAGATCGCTGGGATCAGATACAATTCGCAGCAGACAAAGTCTGTCAAAAAGCTAGCAACAAGAAATTTCCACAGATAAACGCCAGATAAGCGCCGGGATCAAGATTATATAGCTCTCGGTGTTTGCTTTTCGGTGTATACTGGGTTATCAGGGGGCCTCACACTTTATGGCAGGTGCTATTGGATACTCTATAAAGCAGTAATTTATGAAGTTCCCTCCGCGCTACTTGACTTTTGTTTTCATCTTTTCAACGTCCTCCAGTGGGTGAGTTGCTAATGTCTTTTTTTCGGGCTTAACCCATATTTTTTTGAGGGGTTTTAATTGGGTTTTATTTAGTGGGGATTTTTTAAAGAGATTTTTAAAGGGTAAATATTTAAATAAATATTTATGCTTTACTATTTTAGTTTTTTATTTATCAAGAAAGCTTGCCAAAACTTAGAGAATGATTTTTAAAAATCAGCAGACTTTTTATAAAATTTTAAAATATTTTTTGAGTAAGACATGGAGGTTATACATTTCATAAATATTTAAAAATATAATGCCATAGGTTTATTTGAAAAAAATGTTAGGGTTTTCTAAGCTTTTTTAACTTGAAAAGAGGTAGAAATATTTCAAAATCATTAAGCTACATAAAATATATATGATACTATTATATTCAAAATATTTTAAATATACTTCCAAAGCCTTTTTCATTGATTATTTCACCTTAACCCACTCAAAGTTTTATGCAGAAAAACCTCCCAATTTTCACCCCACTTAACCCACTCCCTCTCTCACCATTCCTGTTACCCAGAAAAATATGGGTTAAGTACACATGGAAAAGCGATCTACAGCAGAAAAGAGAGAATCTATGTTTGTATTTCCTGATGATATCATCTATCAGAGCGCACGTCTCACAACGGTTTTATTGTGCACTTGTTCGCCGCTGTTTCTCTCTCCTATTTTTTTGTGAATTGCGTTGCTTCATCGCATCGAAAAAAATATCATCGGCGCATGCATCGCACCTGATATTTTTATGGATTTACAGCACCCCCGAATTGTTCTTCCAATTTCGACAATTTATTACCAAATACACAGGCTTTTGACATTTATTTGCTCGTTTTCAATTCGATTTCGATTCGATTTCTCGGACGCCCCATCGAAGTTTTACTGTCCGAAAGCAAAAGTGTTTTTTTATATTTTCTTGTCGACCAGTCAACCTTGTTGTCTAGGTGCTATAGAGGATCGGAATGGAATCGGACGATGATAGCCCTGGGCAGACCCTGCGTATACTTTATATGGTCGAAGCGAAGGCGCACATGTTAAATGAGGCGTAGTGGGTAAATGGGAAAAAGGGGTTATAGAAGTCAGAATTAGGTAGGAAATGGATTATTCAGCTATGAAATATAAAGGATTTTGGAAAGAGTGAAGTGCTGAAATCGGTTAAGGAGATTGAAAAGGATACTGATACATCCCAAAACATCTTAAAAAATATATATTTCCATTATAAAAATATTTAAAAATTATTTAATATTCTTTTTAGTTACTGAAAATAACCTCTTTCTTACAATAAATATTATTTCTAATTACAAACCTCGTTTATTTTCATTTAACTCTTAAAAACCCTCCCCTTAACTACACCCCTTTCCTACAACTTTTTAGTAAAGGACACCATAAACTTAATTACCTACTAATTGATCCACACACTTGCCTATCTCTTTTGTGTGAATTACAAGCCGCCTTCGTTTACTATTAATTTCCCGGCAAAAGGGGATTTTCCCAACTACTTGATCGCTTGTTCGTGGGGTTTATCTGTACGACCCAGTCGCATTTGTCTTTTGTTTACAAGGCGGTTACGTCAAGGCTTCTGTTTCTGTTTCTGTTGCAGATAAATGGCACTGGACTGTGCCAAGAGATCGTTTATTTAGATGGCGAATTACGGGGAACTATATACGGGGTTTGGTTCCATGGAGTACTGTGAGATACACAAGTGGTATATGGGCGGGCTTGGCTCTATCGGCGTAACTGTCAGTGTCTTGTCACTGTTCTATTGTTTATAAGTGGAGCTATATTTATGTTTTGAAGATAGTTTCCGATATGCGGGAGGTATTGTATAAATAAGGGGTATTTTCTAGTACTCTTCTTACTTGATACGTACTATCTCTTGTTAGAATATACGGCCAGATGTGGGGTTTTACTAAGAAGAAATTACAGTAAGAGTTCTGAAGAAGTAAAGTTATACTTCATTAATATTTATTTGTAATTATATCTATAAGAATATTTTCTGAAATATATTTCACCTATCATATATCTCTAATTTCTTCACTTTACTATCTTCAGTTTAAAGTTCACCTCGACTTGGATCATATTTATTCTATTCCTGTCAACTTATAATC